TTGTGTCCTAAATTACTGGTTTTTGACGGTGCTTTGACAGCTTTTGACGGTCGTTAATTAATTATTTGAGCTGCAGAATAAAAACAGCTCCTTGCTAGTTTACTGAATGTAGAAACGGATGTTGCAATTTTTGTTGCTAAAGGAAACAAATGAAAATAGTCTTGTCTGTTGGTATGTCGGTTTATCTCTCTGTATTGAAGAGCTTTATGCTCAGGCAGAAAACAGTGCAAGTATATGTTTTTTGTTTTTTTTTTTATAGTGAATATGCACACCAATGCTTAGCAATCTTTAATGTGTTGCATCCACAGAAAGTTTTAACAATAAATGAATTTCTTTTTGCTATACAAGTACTTCAGTTCTGTGCGATTTCTGAAAGCGGATACGAGTATGATATGTATGTAGTGTGGCATTTGCATACCATAAGGAATTTTAGCAAGCTGTAGCATGTAAACATGAATTTTGTTTATGTCTGGACCACTGTACAATAGAAACCGCAAATCGAACAAATCGCAGCACACATCGGACATGTGAGGAACACAGGCTGTAGCTGTAACACATAAAAGAAGCGGAAATGACTCTTAGCAGCACCAGAAGGCCGGACAGTCCAACTATTCAGCGAACTAATGCCGACCTAAGGAAAATATAATTGCGTGTGTGTGTGTGTGATAGTGACTGTGCGTGTGCGTGTGTATGTAAAGTGCGTTTCTGGGCAATGTTACGAGACATTTGCATGCAACCGTCCGTCATCTGGTTTGAGTTTTGTAGGAGCGTGCGGCCTATAATACCACCACCACCACCCCCCAACAACCGCTCGGGCACACTTCTCCAACCGTCCACCCTATCAGAGCCCATATACCCAACGAAGTACCGAAGCAGCGCCGATTGTGCTGAGTCTGAGTGTTAGCCGGAGCTGTTCCCGCTTCTTCGTTTCCGTCTCCGTCTGCGTTATCGTCATAGTCTTGGTTTCTGGTGCTGCATACGTGCCCAACAAAATATTGATTTAAATGAGTTTTGGTTTCGGTTTTCATTTCCTATCGAAAATTCTAACAATCAGCAAATTGTGCTGCTCAATGGACTTCTTTTTCCTCAAGCACTTTTAGTACCTAACATTCGTTAGATATTTTCCAAGCAAAATGCATGATAAGCAAAATATTGCACATTGATGATGAGCTCTCCGGCTGCTCTGGTCATGGCCTCAGATGTGGCAGTTTCGGGGTAATAAATGTATATATGTATGTATGTGTACAAATACATATGTGAGTCCGCAGACTCGGAAAGGAAGGATATATGGATGTATAATTTATGCTGCCTTCAAGAACAAACCAAGGCCATAGTAGGTTTAGCAGATGCTGTCAATTTGCTTTTTATTGATGCTGTAACTAATTATGAAAAACACAATAATGCTCTTACCTCTTAATTCCCAAAATATGTTTATTGCATGTTCTTGAATCCCAACAGGCCACATTGAATCTTTGGCAAACTATGGCAATCAGCTTTTGGCTAAACTATCTGCCACAAAGCGACAACAAAAACCCAACAATATGGGCGAGTGTAAATAGCCAGTAAAAACCTTTAAACTTTTTTGGGGGGCTATGCATTTAATATTACTTGGAAAAGTCATTTGAAGTCGCACACTGAGCAAAACCGCTCAACTGTGGGCGAGACAGTCGAGCACGACGGAGCGAAACTTTTGCTTCGGTTTCATTCACCTAGTGGCATAGAAAAAATATTTGAATATAATTCTAATTTGCATATTATTTGGCTACTTTCGTGTAGTGCAGCTCACAAAAAAAAGCAAGGAAAGAACTCGGACTCTGCCTAACAACTTAAAGTGGAGTTTACGTTCACGCCTAACAGGCTCTCAGGCGCATTAGGCATGCTCTTAAGGTAATACGAGTAGAGCAGTGGAAAAAAAAATACATACTATACATACATACATACGCACGTACTAGTAGGTATGGGTGTGTGTTTGTGTGCGTCAAGCCGCGGCAATCTGCGAGATTGCTACAGTGGCAACAAAGCTCTTAAAGTAATTAGTGGCATAAATTAAATCTCCCAAATAACAATGGGCAATTGTTTCAATGACCCTTGTGCCACTTTTAATTGTTCCAATGCTGTGAAAGTTTCGGACGTAGTCCCGGCCGAGAAGCTAGAAAGCCAGACCTACTACTAGAGAAGTATTAGAGAGTGAGGGAGAGAGAGAGAGAGAGAGAGAGAGAGAGAGAGAGAGAAAGCTGGGCATAGTAACGAGTTAAACAAAAACGAAAAGGGCTCGCTGCCTTTTTTGTCGACGCAACTAAGCGGCCAAATGGCGTTGCAACAAAAGCGCCCGCAGGACATAAATAACTTTTTATATATTTCATATGTTTTTATAGAAGGTCAGCACGAAAAAGTTGGCACTTTTTAAATAATAGTATAAAATAGGGCGCATTCCTTAAAAGACGCTTCTTTTATGTGTAAAATTGCTGCTGGTTGAACGCTGCTAATTAAATTGCAAGACATCCTAATGCGAAACTATGTAGTACGAGTATGTCGAAAGCGGCACTTTAAAAGCAATTCAAACATTGATTTTCAATTGATTTTGGCTTTTGTCGCCTTTCGTCATAAAAATACTCATCGAAAATTACACGCCAAAATAAAACAAGCTGTTGACTTGCCAAATAGCCGTGAAATATTCCCAAAGGGCGTAGGTGAGCAGGTAACGGCAATGGCTTCGTTTGTCGAGAATTCGCTGAGACAACAAATGTTGTTGTCCACCCAGACACCCCATTTTTGTGTTGTCTGTCTGTCGTCGTCGTCCCTGGTCCGCGTCTACTGCTGCCTTGTGACAATAACAAGCTAAAAGAAGGGTGTGTGCAAAGGATGCGAGGTGGGCAGGAAGAATCCGTGAGCCGTACAGCCAGCGAAGAGCCGGCAGCAACACCAGCATCAGGATATCGTAAAGCGACACACAATCACACATAAAATTTTACAACACGAGGATGTTTTTTATTGCAATGCCCCGGCCCGGCCCAATCGAGAACTTAAGTAGCCAATTACTGGAAAGTTCGAATTCTTTACTACACACATACATTTATACTACATATGTATATATATGCATGCGTACATACATATATAAGTACATATGTATAAGCAGCGACGCCTCAATCTCAATGGTGTCGACGGCAATGGCGGCGGGTATGCTGCCGTGGCTCTTGGCAGCAAGTAAACAACAAAACATTTTTCTATTTAATTAAAATGAATTTACCTTTGCCTGCTGGCCACACATTCAAACATACACATACGATGCCTGATTTATGGACGCGTACCAATAAATTCTGATGGAGTCGGTGCCTGCGCTGGAACCATTTAAATCACGCACCGCGGTTTTAATTAAAGTGAATTTATTTTGAACTTATCTGCCACACAGATATTTGCTCAGTTCTTTGCAGGTAGTATTTATGGGTGGGCGCTTCAATTATGCTCAAGTTCTGCCTCCCATTAGCGCTATAACAATAAGTATTTATGTTCTTAGTATAGCCCTTCACAAACACATCTATTTTTGGCATCAAACCAACAACAATTACAACCAAGGCTGGACATTAGCCATTCGTTAATTGTTACCCCGTCCCTGCGGCAAAATGGCATTCCCGCTAGCATCCTGTCATAATTACGGCCTACACAGTGCGCCTAGAACAACGACCAATTCAAGTGCTGCTTGGCGTTCACGTTCTTAAGGCTTCGACTTCGGCTTTGGCTGCATGTGGCCACTAGGCTGTTATTATGAATCTGAAGCTGACTACAGCAGATCGGGTTTCGCTATTAACAAATAATTAATCATACGGCCATTGTGTAATCATACTGCCGCCACACTCTGATGCATTTCATACACACACATACATACATTCGTATGTATATACATACATACATACATGTATAGGAATACATAAAAAATGTAAATGCACATCTCCTGAAATCTGGGTGAAAATGAATAGTTGAGGCAAGCAAATTAATCATGTTGTTAGACTGCAATGGGCGGCTTTTAGCAGACTTTATAAAACCAATTTCATGCATACATACATACATACTTGTACGTGAAACCCCGCTATTTGTACAAGTGAATGTGCTTCTCGAGGGCCCACTCAAAGCTCGATATAACCGTAGGCGGCAACTAAGAATACCAGGAACACTATACACACATGAACGCAAATCGTTGGCTATAAATCTCCCATTTACCTTTAAACTCGAAATACTCGTACTTACGACCACCGTTACTGACTGCCGCTCTTTCTCTTACAGTTTCAGAGCCAAATCCACTAACAAATAAAGGAATAAATTGCCCATAAAAAGGATTTTGCCAATGCCGGCTGCAACTACAAATGCTTGTGTTTCGTATTTACCGCTGGGAATGATATTGTGACTTTACTGTTAGTTGTGGGTTCACTTACTTGTATGTACTTAGTTTAGCAGCATCTGCACAAATTTAGCAGGCCTTTTTTTATTATTGCTTTTACAAGCCCTTTTAAAAACTAAACTGATGCACTTGATTCTATGGAAAAATGTATGTATAGACATTTGTATTTTGAATTAATTTTATTCTTAGGCACTCAATATTGGCGGTAAAAAGTTTGATTTACGCCGTTTCGATAAAACTCCACAGCTTATCGAAAATCAGCCCCGAAAAATAAGAAGTCGGTATCGAAATAGAGTCACTACAACTGCAGCGACAGTGACTTTCAAACGTTTCTTAATCCACTTTAAAAATCAATTCAAAATTTCGATAATTTTAAAATGAAGTTTGTTCTACAGTTGATTTCAATGCAGCATATTTGCATTGAGTGAATAGATAAAATTTGAACGAAATATATCATCATAAATAAAGTCTTCTGAAGAAATGGTATTAAAAATACCGCGCTTGTGTCTGGCCAAATATAGTCACAAGCTTGTGACTATCGCACATCTCGAATAGGTACATAGCTCGCAACTATACATCGGCTCTAACGCGTTTTGTTTTTTCCTGCATTAATTACTAATTGCTCAATAATTTTGTTGTGATTATGTGTACACATAAATGGCCAAATATTTCTAATACATTACCCGCATCGCCTTAATTCATTAATCGACAAAAAAAAAAACAATTGCACATTGTCTTTTCGGGAAACTCTTCGTTCTACGGCAGAAATCGAATGTGTAGACAAGAACAAGTTGCAGCGCATTTGTGTGCTAGTGGTAGTGAGTAGTGTCGGTGTGTACGTGCGTATCGGTGTGCACTGTGGTCTTGATGTCTACGCTTTTTCCCAGACGAAGACGTAAGCATACAGGCAGGTGAATTATTGGTGCAATACGCTGCTTTGGCGCGGCTGGGTGTTGGCAACAAAGTCAAAGCTAAAGAGACAGCCACGACAATAGCAACGAGAACACGAAACAAATGTTGCGTTTTCTAAGTCGGCGCAAGGGCCGAAACACCAACAACTATGCGGAGAGCAGTAGCAACGCAAGGGGCGGTGGTGGTGGAGGAGGAGGCGGTGGTGCGGGCGGCGTCATTGCCAGTAGCAGTGCCTCACAGATCAAGCCACAGCGGATTGTTAACAAGAATAAAATCGACTGCCGTGTGATACTATTGGACAACACTGACCTTTCCATCGAATTATCGGTAAATATAGAATTACATTTAGCTGAAATGAAACAACAACAATCGGGCAAAGGGATTGGTATCAGATTGGTTTGCTTTGGCTTGTTCAAGGTGGAGCGCTCAATGGGTTGAGCTCAAATAAGTTTTGTGATTCTAAATATGTGTATAGTACATGTGTGCGAAATACGCTGATTTTCACATAATTTACCTCGCTAAAACAAACGTGATTAGTTCAGGGTCAACTGTATAGTTTGACATTAATTCGTATGCTTTGTTTGCTTCTTTTGCAGAAAAAAGCACTGGGTAGCTTCCTCTACGAGCAAGTCTTTTACGCTTTGGATATCATTGAAAAAGATTACTTTGGTTTGCAATTTATGGACGCGAATCATGTCAAACACTGGCTGGACCCCACCAAGCCCATTAAGAAGCAAGTGAAAAGTGAGAAAATTAAGCATTTGTACATCAAAAACAAACGCACATTAATATAACTACTTTTACAGTTGGACCACCGTATACATTCCGTTTAAAGGTCAAATTTTATTCTTCCGAGCCTAATACACTGCGCGAGGAACTGACGCGCTACCTATTCTTCTTGCAACTGAAAACTGACTTGGTCGAGGGGCGTCTTGACTGTCCCGATGACAAGTCTGCCGAACTTTGCGCGCTGGCTCTGCAGTGTAAGTTTGTTAAATGATTGCTTGAGCTTCTCATCACTAATGAGTTATAAATTGTAGCTGAGCTGGGCGACTATGATGATCAAGCTCATTCTGCTGCGACTGTCTCCGAGTTTCGATTTGTTCCTGAACAAACGGAAGAGCTTGAAATTGCCATATTGGAAGAGTACAAGCAATGTCGTGGACTCACGCCGGCTCAAGCCGAAACAGCGTTCCTTAACAAGGCCAAATGGCTGGACATGTATGGCGTAGACATGCACACAGTACTGGGAAAAGATGGCTGCGAATACCACTTAGGTTTGACGCCCACTGGAATTCTGGTGTTCGAGCGTGATCAGAAAATTGGTCTGTTCTTCTGGCCCAAGATCAGCAAGTTGGATTTTAAGAAGAAAAAGCTTACGTTGATTGTAATCGAAGACGATGACGAAGGACGTGAACAAGAGCATACTTTCGTGTTTCGCTTATACAACGAGAAGGCCTGTAAGCATTTGTGGAAGTGTGCCGTCGAGCATCACACATTCTTCCGTCTGCGCGCACCTGTTAAAGGCCCTTCCGCCCGTCAGAACTTCTTCCGTATGGGCTCACGATTCCGCTATTCCGGCCGTACCGAGTTTCAAACAACACAACAGAGTCGGGCTCGGCGCACCGTACAATTCGAACGTCGCCCGTCGCAGCGATTTGCCAGTCGTCAGTCGCATTTACTGCGGGAACGCCAGAAGGAGTCAGCGGCTGCAGCTGTGGCCACGGTTAATGCACGTGCTGCCGCTGCTGCGGCTGCCCAGCAAGCGCCCAATACTTCCATCCAAACTCAGAGCATTGCCAACGAGAACAACAATGAAACGTTCGACTCACTCATTTCCACGGATAATTTTAACACCGTGACACCATCACCCTCTGTTCTAACTGTCATTCAAAACTCGGCCATAATTGAACCAGACGCAGCATGCAGTGCTTCCATAAGCTCGTCTACACATGCGGCAGCGACTTGCAGCACATCCCTAGGCCGCAACTCGATCAAGTCTAACTTTAGCAACGACGATCCGGCATATAGCAAGATTGGATCCATTGGCAAAGCGGCTGGTCTAACTGTTAAGTGAGTACTTAATGGGTATTTAAAGCGTGTCAGACTCAAGTGTCACTATCATTTGCAGATTGGAACCCGAGTACACACCACCGTACTCTCCGAATTCAACGAAGAACTTCGATGAGACCAATCCATTTAGAAATGCGTCTGCTTCGCATCATGGCTCTTTTGGCAAAGCTTCCATAAGTTCGGGACAATACAGGTATGTTGGTTACTTCCTAATATATTGATTTGGAATATGCAAATTTCGATGTTTAGTCTTAATTTTAAATTACGTTGCTGTCCTTACCTACCCAATTTTCTTTAAGTCTTTGCATATTCTGAACAATGCTTTACAATTGCGACTGTTGTTTTGCTTTTTGCGTATTAAACCACTTGTGATTCTGTTAACTAATATATGCCATGCCACTCTCACAGTCCTTAAAAATTGTATACTCGTGTTTTACTGTATTGTATTTCTAATTGTGCAGTGTTAAAAGCGGCCTATCGGATAAAGATAGAGAGCTAGATTCATTACTTAAGTCCATTGTTAAAGATCCATCCCCATCAGTGCTTGCAAACGAAGCCGTTAACGATGCTAACAGTATCAGGTAGCGTAAATAACTTATGTGCTAGTTTGTGCGTCAAAATTATAAACTAAACTATGTATTTATTATGAACATTTCATAGGGTGACCATTAACAAGACTTTCGATATGGACCACAATACTGAAACACTGAAACGCCTTTCCAATGCAAAAGAAAAACCTAACAACCAGGTGAAGCTGGCTAATGTTGGCTCTACGTCGCTGCCACCTGGTAACATAAAATGCAATATTTTAAAGGGTAAGTCATTAAAATCCACCCAACCATGAATCAACCCAAATAATTCACTATCACGCAGCACGCGTCGAAGAGGAATTGGGCGCTAGTGGCAATGCCAAGTTGACCAATCAAATGTTTGTACCGGCAGCTCATACCACCAACAGCAATCCAACGAGCATGCACAACAACAATAACAACAACACACACAGCGATGGGCCCGATTCGTTGAATGCCACATACATTTCAGTGGTAAGTTTGAGTAAAATTGTTAATAGACATCAACAAATCCAAACACGACGCACATGTTTCATGCATTTTTGTACGTTTTCGTTTTCTTATTTGTTTGTGTGCACTTCATGTTTTATGTGTTGTGTTGTTTGCTTTGTTTCGTAAACGCTAAACACGAAAAATGCGGTACTAGGGCGGCGATAAACTAACCCTGAGCATAACGGAACAAAAGCCGGCAACTACCACCAGCAGCAGCGGCAGCAACAACTCTAATGGCAGCTCAAGCATTTATAATCCAACATCGTCCAGTGGCAGCAGTAACTCGCCATTCAGCAATGCCACATTTGTTACCGGCTTCACAACGCCATTGTCGTCAACGCCGCCGCCGCCCCTGAACATGCTGAACAACACAAATGCAAATTCTGCAACCGCAGTAACAAATGTAACAACAATCATTACACCGTGCAGCACAGCAGACAGCACCACGGTAACTGCCAACAGTAATGCAACAGAATCGGCCGCAAGCAGCGGAGGGGTAGCGTGCGCTGCGACTCCACTGCTGTCTAATGCCTCGGCCGCCGAAATACTCATCAATGAAATATTTATTAACAATATCATAAACAATAATGCGACGGCCAACAAGGTCATTGGCGGCAGCAACAACATCAGCTCTGCGGAGGCAACAAAATCCAGCGCGCCGCATACGCCAAGTGCTGGCACTTTGCTGTTCTCTACGCTAAACGAGCAGGAGCGACTGGAGGCTCAGAAGGCTAATCACAGCGAAACGGATGGTGGCAGCTTTGTGGCGCAGAGCGAAAAGGTTTGCACAAATACGGGGCTGGTTTGAAACAACACAGATCTTTTTTATATTAATTTCATTTCAATCTTGCCTTCCTAACATTTGTCTTCATTTGAAAATGCATGCACCTAACCCCAAATTTTCTCAGTATCTTGCCCAAATGAGATAGCGTTTAATCGACAATTGCTCTTTTCCACAGAAAAATAATACTAATCATGACAATAATCGCAAGCCGTCCAACAGCAATGATATGGTGTCGCCCTGGCTGGTCTCATCGGAAGTGGTTTCTGCGCCCAAGGGACGCGAGCCGACTATCATTCGCAAATCCGTTATTACAACACAGTTGTAATTATTGTTTAACCCTATTTTATTTTAATGTTTAAGCATAAATGTTCGTATTTATAAATCGTAGCTACAGGAGCGATCTAGACAATTGCAGACACATGTATTTGTATTTTATAAATTAACTTTAGATAACTTGCAAGCATTCCGAGCAGCAAAGTCGACAATGAAAGAGCAGGTCCAATCAAAACATAAACTGTCTATCAATGTGCCTTAAAAGATACATATAGTATACCAACCTATTAATGCTTAAATACAAAAACCAATTGTGCTAAAGCCGTGTACTTAATAGAGAAAGAGAATGAACAACAAAGTTAACAATACATATACTACTATATCCATTTTATAAATATATACACATAAGTGCATAGACTAGACTTGCATTATTAACAAACAAACCAACACGTGATGATTTTCTGCCTAATATACAACGCTATATTAGAGCTAAGAAATATAAAAAAGACAAAATTCAGTATTTCAATTAACGGACAAAAGAACAACGAAGTCTATAAAACGAATGCATATTAAACAAAAATTATGATATTTGCAAAAATATAAAATACCTACAATTGACTGAAAGTTTATGCAAATCATGTTGATTGTATAGCTAAATGAATTTCTATACATCAATTGTTAAATTTTAAGTGAAATAAACGTATTAATTTGTCCATCAATGTATACAAAACCAACGTCAACTTTATAATATTTAAACGTATAAATATACAATAAAATGCATTTATACAACAACATTGTGAAGATCGTGTCTCTAATTACCAATAGAACCATTATATGGTCATGCACTTGACTCCCTTCATTTCAAAAAATAAAATGTATTTTCCGAGACTCCCTCCAGCTGGGGATGAAGTTGTCTGGAAGTCAAAAAGCAGCTGCATGGCACATTCGTATGTGTTCGAAAACATTTACACACATACTTGGGTATGCACGTGTATGTGTGTGACCTCCCGATCTTCAAGCGCACGAGAAGCATCTGCAGACATGTGCGTGAATTTCCAAGATATTTTCGCCGAGGGTCATGCACTGCAATTAAAAGACAGCCGTCGCGGCGGTCCATGCGGCCGATTCCGCTTCCAAAACGGCGATGCGACGCTGCTGTGTACTTGTACGAGTATTAATTTTATTTTAGGAAACATTTGTTGATGCTCAAGCATGCATATGTGTGTTGTTGTTTTTACGCTATTTATAGTTTTTCCGACAGCGGACAACAAGAACAACAACATCGATGAGGGGGTAGTCATAGCAACGCGATGCGTCTGATTTTTCTTCTGATTCTGCGTCTGTTGTTGTTGTTGTTGTTGCTGGTGCTGATCCCATGCGATGAGCGAAATGTGTACTTTTTTGGAAGAGCTGAAGTCTCTAAAGATGCACACATATGGCAGCCACATTTTTGACGTGCGACTGCAGGCTCACCTCAGGTTTTGTACCTTCTCCCTCTCCCTCTCCCTACACCACCACTACCACTACCAGCTCCACCTCTCTATTAGGGGGCGTGCAAAATTTCGTAATTTCCTGTGCTGGTCTAATTATACCAATAATTTCGTTGTATGTGTAATGTTATTTGGATGCTATGTATTTATTTTTCAGACTGTATAATTTTGCATGCTTTTCCTTTCATCGTCATTTGCGACAGTTCCAATTCCTAATTCTCAATTATAAATATTAATTATATACATATATATGTATAGATGTATAATACAATTAAGTGCTTGCAGCCGATTGGTCGGTTGATCGATTGAACGATTGGTTAATTGACGGGTTGGCTGATTGGCAGGGCAGCAAGAGGTTTAACTTAAATTTTAAGAAGATTATTAAAATTAATCCGTATTAAGTTCTAATGCGCTTCAGGCGCCTCTGCGGCGGCGCCTACGGGTCGGAGTCAGACTATGACTATGTTTAGAAGCACTTGCGGTGCACAATGCCGGGGCCGGACTCATCGTACTCCTGCTTAGAGATCCACATCTGCTGGAAGGTGGACAGGGAGGCCAGGATGGAGCCACCGATCCAGACGGAGTATTTGCGCTCAGGTGGCGCAATGATCTTGATCTTGATGGTAGAGGGAGCCAGAGCGGTAATTTCCTTCTGCATGCGGTCAGCAATACCTGGATACATGGTGGTGCCGCCGGACATGACAATGTTGGCATACAAATCCTTACGGATATCCACATCGCACTTCATGATGGAGTTGTAGACGGTCTCGTGAATACCGCACGATTCCATACCCAAGAAAGAGGGCTGGAACAGGGATTCGGGACAACGGAAACGCTCGTTGCCAATAGTGATGACCTGGCCATCAGGCAACTCGTACGACTTTTCCAATGAGGTGGAGGCAGCAGCTGTGGCCATTTCCTGCTCAAAGTCCAGGGCAACATAGCAGAGCTTTTCCTTGATGTCGCGCACGATTTCACGCTCAGCGGTAGTAGTGAAGGAGTAACCACGCTCTGTGAGGATCTTCATCAGGTAGTCGGTCAAATCGCGGCCTGCTAAATCCAGACGGAGAATGGCATGGGGCAGAGCATAACCTTCATAGATTGGCACGGTATGGGAGACACCATCTCCAGAGTCCAATACAATACCAGTGGTACGACCGGATGCGTAGAGGGATAGCACTGCCTGAATAGCCACGTACATGGCGGGCGCGTTGAAGGTCTCAAACATGATCTGGGTCATCTTTTCACGATTGGCCTTGGGATTCAGGGGGGCTTCGGTCAGCAGAACTGGGTGCTCCTCGGGTGCGACACGCAATTCATTGTAGAAAGTGTGATGCCAGATCTTCTCCATATCATCCCAGTTGGTAATGATACCGTGCTCAATGGGATACTTCAGCGTGAGGATACCTCTCTTGGACTGCGCCTCATCGCCCACATACGAGTCCTTTTGACCCATGCCAACCATCACGCCCTGATGGCGAGGACGACCCACAATTGAGGGGAAGACAGCGCGGGGGGCGTCATCTCCAGCAAATCCGGCCTTGCACATGCCGGAGCCGTTGTCAACGACTAATGCAGCAACCTCATCATCACACATATTGGTGGCTGTTTGTTTTTAACTGTAATGGAGTGTGGAACACGGTTATTTTTGAACGGAAATTAAACAGAAAAGGTGTGGGATCCAAAAAATGCCGAGACTGTATTGAAATTTTGTGTTAATTTTGTATAATTTTGAGGTGATGACTGGAAATGCCTACTACACAAAGTGAATTAGGAATTTGCCATATATAGTATTTCACGTTCTCACAGGATTTTGCCACCAATGTTACATTAATTGAAAAATAAGCGGCATTTTAGCATCTCCAGTATATAAAATGTTCATATTTCCCGTATTTAAAATGATATTGAAAATTGTGCACTAACCGTTTGAGAGTCAAAGAAAAACTAGAAATCTAATAGCAACACTTTCGCTGTAGAACTGCGAGTGTCCGTTTGGACTGCAGTGCGCTAATATTTATACCATTTCCCAAAGGCAGATTTTCCAAACGTACACACACAGACACACACCATCACTACTCTCAGGCACATGCAACACGCCAGGCACACTCAAACAAACACATAATGCACCTTTACGAGAAGGGGAAATACTGATTCTGAATTTTTATAAAAATAATTTTTTCATACACAACTAATTTCGGAGAGCAGTCGAAAAAACGCAGAGCACGGTGTAAACAAAAATTGTTGAAGCACACACACACACACACACACATACACACGTATTATAGATCTGTGCTGTCTGTGCAGATCCTCCGTGGAGCAAAGCAAGAATTTTCTCCCGCTAACGTCGGTTGACGCGTTGTAGGCGGCCGTGCTCAGTTGTTGTTGGTTTCTGTTGTTTTTGTTGCTCTAGCGTTGTAGCTGTTTTGTCTAATTTTTAATGAACACTCGCACGTTGGGCCAATCCATACATGGCTTGGATGGAAATCTCTCAGCGACGAGCGCCAGCACAAAAAAAAAAGAATTTTGAAGCAAAACAAAACAAAATATACCCGAAATGTTAAGTACACGCAAATGCGCTCATATTTATGTACTATACGAATATAAATTAACGGGTGTGGGCGTTCCTCTGTTTATAAATGTGGGCACTACTTAAACTAGCCGAGTTGTTAATAGAGCAAACATTGTGCATTTATTGCTGGCATGCGCAAAAGTACATTGCAAGTGGTACATTTATTTGGCCTTAAGCAGAGCAATTAATATTTCCATCAATCATAGGTGGACCGTGCATAGGGCAGTCTCTAATTAAGCGCATAGATTTGAATAAAATTAAATTTTAATTAATCATTTGATTTGTGAATAACAACAAAACAAACACATAAGAAAACAATGTATTCAAATTTGTTGTTAGCTCATTTATTTTTATTGCCTTCTTGTTGAAATTGTTGTGAACATTGTGTGGAAATAGACAGCGCCAAAATCATTCTCTTTACGCGTTTGCTTGATATTTTTGATTATTTGCGCTCACTCAAGAATCTAGACTATGGAATTCTATTTTTATAAATTTCAATTCAAATGTTTAAATACATGTTGGGTGAGGAAACTCAGGTAAGACCATTTTGTTAGGGAATTTAAGAAAATGTAACATCTTTCGAAAATAGATAATTATCACAAAATATGGTTAAAGCCATTTAACCAATAAATATTTAATCTAACATCTTTGACAGTGATTTAGATTTCTAATAAATAGAGTTCAATGCAAATGCAAATATAATTATAATAATTAGGAAATTCATTTAAAAAAGTTGATACCTTTTCTGTTAAATCTAATGAAATAAAATCAATTCCCAAAAATCTAGTCTAAGATAGAAAAAATTGTATAGTTAATGTAAAAGTAAAAATATATATTTCTACATACTCCCACATTTCACATTTTCCTAGCTGTAGGGTATTGCGAAATATTGAATCATAATGCCAATTTCATTCAGTCAAGCACATCGCTTGTTTACCTATATAGTACTATAACTCGTGTATGTATAGTATTTAGGTAGGAGTGTGTATGTATTTGTGTTCTCTACGCGAAGCAAACTGATTGAATTGTGTTGGCCAGCAGCAACAAAAACATGCCAATTTGATGATACTGCAACAAATGTGTAAATCTAAAAATATTTATTATAAAAATTATGAATATATATATTGTATGTGTGTATGCATGTGTCTACCTCCGAGCGGTATACTTATGCCTGTACGTTATACACGTACCTACATATATACACACAATACATATGTACATTAGTTGTGTGCCGGACAGCGTCGAAAGCAAATGGATGACGGCCAAGCTGCTAGCGTAGTAGGCCAGCACCTTTTAAGGATGCGCCACAGGCAGAAGCGCTGAGCAGCGACGTGGCGTTTACGCTGGCGCGGACAGCAGCAACGACGCTTATTTGAATCTTGACAAGCAGCCGCAACGGCAACAGCAACAACAATCCCATGGCGCATTGCATTCCACGGCGTATTGCAATTTTGTATATTTTTAAATCGAATAATGTGCCAAAAAAATATTAAACATATATTTTTTGTGAAATGTTCCAATATGAGGGGTTTATTTTCGGTACGTCCGCGCCAGATAATTCGCATCATTTGCTTAACAACGCTAACACCAACTTGGCAAACACTGCGTATGCGTAATGTAGCTAGCAGGTGCGCAGGAGGCGGTGCAATCGGCGCAAAAGCGTGAACCGCGTGCGTCGTCTTATCACGCACCAATGGACGAGACACTCCAACAGGAAGATGCAGCTGGCCAGCAGTAGGAGGGCGATGGCAAAGGTGAAGGCGCCGTGAAACTGGGCCAACGTTAGCGCCTGGAAGGGGTCCTCGCGCACACGACCTATTTCATCGTGTATTATGCGGATCATGTCCAAGTCCCGAGCCCATTTTTGCACGTGGCCCGACTCGATGATGTGCCGTATAATCGGATTGATTTGGTGCAGCAGATGGAACTTTTTGGGCAGTAGCATTGTCACCAAGTACATATACAGATTCTCATTGCGATCGACTATTGATCAAAATAGAATTGGATTCGCTCATTAAATTATAGTTTTGGCTTTGGAAATATATACTAATGTTTTCTTTAAAATAAATTGACTTTGAGCCAAGTATAGTATATAAGAACAAGAAAGAACGCTACAGTCAAGCAAGCCCGACAGTAAAATAGCCTGAACTCTCCACATAAAAGGAAAATTAAAAAAAAAATTTACAATGAATTAAATTATTTAAAAAAAATGAATTAATTAAGTAATTAAATTAAATTAGAAGACATGTTTATGTTCAGTTTTAACAGCATACATTTCAATCACGTGCCTATGCGTGTTTGAATGCAGCACAAAGTTCAACCAAAGCAGCAACAACAACAACAGCTGCGGGCAGAGCTGCAGGCAGCGCATGGGCAGATCTGCAGGCAGCGCATGGGCAGCTATTTTATTTATGGCTATAACTTTCTTCACAATCGACCTATCATGATAAAACTTGGCACACGGACACATTAGTACTTACTGGATGTACCTACCAAAATTGATTTCAAAATTCCAAGAATTACCGAATTTATAAAAAAAGACAGGAATTGCGGGGGAGTGGGGGTATATCAGAATAAAAAAATAAACTTGACCAGCCTAGGACTTAGGGGAACCTCGATACCAAGTTTGGTTAATCTAGCTCTTGTACTTCCTGAGATCCTTGCGCTCATACAGACAGACGGACAGACGGACATGGCTAAATCGACTCGGCTTGTCACCGTGATCAAGAATATATATACTATTTGGTGTCTCTAGCTCTTATATTCACTGAGATCCAGGTGTTCATACGGACGGACAGACGGACAGACAGACAGACAGGGCTAGATCGACTCGTCTTGTCATGCTGATCAAGAACATATGTATATACTTTGTGGGGTCTGCCACGTCCCCTTCTGTCTGTTACATTTTTTAGCTCACGCAAATCTAATAAACTCTTGTACTTTTCATGTACAGAGTATAATAATTGCGATATTTGTCTTGACAAGTGCTCAAAACTTACTGCAAGTGAGCATTAGCGACTCAATATCGATATGGCATTTAATTAAGGCTTATTTTTCAGTCTTAAATAAAATAACCAGTTCGATTAGAGGCAATTGAGAAACTTACAGCAGTAGAGCCGGGTGCGTTCTATGCGCGGATTATAGAAGGAGTGATGACGAGAAACCGCCACAGCAATGGTCTCGTCTTCTGCGGCATTATTCAGGCACTCAACGATATTATAGCACATTTGAAACTTCTCGCGTATATATCTGAAAATCTGAAATGTAGACAAGCCAGTAACGCCGGAAATTAAATCTTTAATATATTTCCGTTGGCCTTACCTCTCCCCCCTTGTTCAAGTGACGAACGTTCTCGACGCTGCCCAAAATGGTCATTCGATTGCTGTAGATTTCTGCGAGATGGCTTATCTGATAAGAGCTACGGGGCGTTGTCAGTGTGCTGATTAAAAAACTCTGGTAGGTATTGCTAAAGAAGAAAGCCATGAAGAAAGAGACGCCGAACAGTATTCGTAGAACCAAAGGCAGACCATAGACCGGCATAGACTGGTTGAGCAAGACAGCAAGAATGCGTATGCATATAGAAAAGAAGTTGTGCAATTTTCGAAGGCGAAAGCCGGAAACGCGTTGGGCCACAAACACCGCAGAGGAGGTTGCGACCAGAAAAAGCAGCAACAGAAGCCAGGAGTCTGCCTTGAAGCTGGCCAAGAAGTTGAAGAAACTGTGCTGACGCTTCGCTCTGGCCACGCACCAGGTTAGATCGTCTTGGTGATATGGAATGGTGCTAGACACAAACTGACTAATGCTCGGATCTTCGTCTATGCCGCCGACAATCATGTCAATTTCACTGGAAGGTTATCAAAAAAGTACTTCATTCCCATTATACTATACATAAAAACAAATTTGGAAACCTACCCATCTATCAGCTGCTGGAACAGATGGTACAGGTTGCTATTCTCGATTTGAATGTCAATGTTTACATGCAGTTGCTCCGCAATCGTTTGCACAATTTCGTACTCAATACCACCCAGCTGCGGTTTATTTCCAACGCCCATCATGTGATCGCCATCCACTGTATTAATGGCTGTAAAGCCTCCATCTCCATAGGTATCAGCTTCACTATAATCCCAGTCCTTCTCAGTTCCGTCTGAGCTATTTTTGCTTTCGTCTCGATCGTTACTATCTACTTCATAATAATAATCTGTCGCCTCGTCGGATTCTTCAGATGTGCTAAATATATACGGTTCCCAAGGACGATACGCAGCCACCAGAGGGCAGCCGCTAAGATCCTTAGGAAACTTGTCGGTGAACTTGGCTCGCCGGTGTTCCTCGATTTTCGGCTTAGGCTGACTAGAGTTTAGACTACTGCCCATCTCAGCGCTTCTTTTTCTGAGTCTAGAATTCTCAATGGCATTAGTACTTCTCTCACGCACGTATGTTTCAGTAAAATTACTTTCGTCTTCTATTTCGCCACTTTCATTGGCAGTCATATCAGGTCCATTCTTATTTCGAAACTCTTTACTCTGATCAGCGTTGTCACCACCATTAGCTTCATTTCCATCACCATCTTCAAACTCACCTTCATCATCTGCTTCCATTGTTTTTGAATCGCCTAACTCAGCACTTTCACTTAAATTGTTAGCCACTTTCTCGGTATCGATTTCGTCAAAATGTATGCCGTTTCCTACTGGATCACTGAGCTCATCACTGTGGCCACTGTTTGTGGATTTCACTTCCGCTTCCGTATCTTCTTCATCTACATCACTAACATCGCTCTCATCGCTATTGCCCTGGTGCGCTTGGTCTTCATAGTTCTGATACTCGCATACATCCAATAGATCCACAGCTATAACTCGATTGCCACAATTATTATCCGGATGATATGGAAATGCCGTCTTGCCGTAGTAGCCAGTGTTCTCTTCGCTCTGTCCAATCACGTTCACGTTGAAGATCTTCTTATTCATAAATGTTAAAAGCAACTCCACCATCAGATCGGTCATTTCCTCATCGGTCTCCTCTACGGATGCCAAATAGACCACAAACTGGGCCAGCGGGTTCCAATTAATTTTTGCCTTCCAGTTCTCCACAATATCATCTAGATCGACATCCTCCAAACTCTCAATCACCAAAAAGTAACACTGTGGCTTCTCCTGCATGATCAGCTCCGACTCGGACGCTTGCTTTCCATGCAGCGTTGTCACCAGAATGGACCAAGGAGAGTCCTCGTGAGCATTAATTGCTCGCAGCAACTGCTGCTGCACATAGGGCACATTTGTTGTAACGCTCACGGAGAGTACAGCGCCGGAAATCACCTTATCCGAATTGAAGTACTTCCGAAGCAGTCCCACAGTGCAAGCCGTTTGCATTTTATCCTCCGTCGGAACTTTCATGAGATTAATGCCGAACCCGTGGGTATGAACGGACAGAGTTATGAGCAATGCAGCTGCCCAAAGGCGAAACCCCACAATGCGTAGGTGCTTCATTTATGACAAGTGGCCGATAAATGAGCCACGCCTTGTTATGAAATGAGCCACAACTAAGCCATGTGTTGTCAATAGACGGCCTCACGGTCTCTTGGGAGTCTCTGACTTGTTATTATAATTCAATTATGTTAATTTTCGACAATTTGCTCCACATTCATGATTCGATGTCTATTTATGAGGTCAGCCCCGATTGTCTCGGTCTGTGCAACTTTTCATTATGTCGTGCATGAAATTACTTGTACATATGTATATACACACATACAAGTATATGTATGTATGTATTTCATTTTGTTTGGCCCGTCATCGTCGTATCTGTATTTCATAATGGGTCGTCTGTGGGGACGCCTTTTATTGGCCAGCATATAGCGTAGTGCTCTGGTTTTAATTGTGTTCAGCACTATCAACAATCTCTTAATGTAATGCAACTCCAGCAACGACAACAGACTGTCGGTATATGCCACGCTTTGTGGACACGGATATGCCTTTAACCCTTCATACCCCCGCGTGACAAACAAACGGTGTAACAAACAGTGGTCAATTATATTCATTTATTTACTTGCACACACATCTTGGATGCTATTTAAAAACAAAAAAAATCAATAGGCATTTTTAAAATTCGGAAAATTCCTGTTCGGTTTTTATTGGCATTTAAATTGGAAAACACATTCAGAGCAACTGGCATTATTACTCTTTTAAAGAAGTTGGCTTGGAATGGGTTAAGGCCGTTAAAGCGGCTTGCTAGTCGCTTGACATTCAAGCCAAGTTAACTGTCGCCAACGTTTGCAGCCGCAGTCGCAACTTTAGTAAAGAAACAACAGAAAACTGAGCTACGGGAACAACAAGACCTGACATTTCGAGGCAATAAATAACAACTAAAATTTTCAGTTGCGTGTGCCTAAAAAGAAATATGTGCATATATACATAAATATACATATCTATATAGACTCTAAGTGAGTGGTCGGTTTAACTGCAGCGGCTGTCATAAGCTTGCCGCAAGCTGCACAATTTGTTGCAATTTTCGCATATTATTCAACTACGCACTCTTCGCACAACTTTGTGTGTTTATTGTTCAATAAATCCTGGAAAACTAAGCTCAAGCGTTGTCAGATAAAACGCCGTGTTTAGAGCCAATGCAGCACATTAACAGACTTTGTTAAAACTGATTAATTGCCAGTAAAAGTGTAGCCGGTTTATGGTCATGGGCTCATGTTAAAAGCCATACAGTATCGGGCTACAAACAAACTTGCAACTGCTGTTTGGGCCAATGGTTGACGCTGCTGTTGCCGCTGCCGCTGCCACCAGGCTTTTGGCGTGGTGCTGGCCTTCGGTCAACAGAATACATGGTAATACTGGCTTGGTGTAATAGCTGACCGATCACAGTTTGGAAGTGATCGCGTTTTCAATTGAGTAACTGCACATGTATGTACTAACGGGTATGCGAATGCAAAAACCTTATTTAAAGCGAAACCCCGAAACCACCTACCATTACCTGAGAGAGGAATTCGGTTTGTCGTACTTGTCATGATTTGCTAAAGAACAGAACACATCATTCATATTAAATACTATCATTACTCTGTGATTGCCTGCTAACACAAATTCTAGTCCCAGGAAAATTGTGTAGGTCAGACATTCTAGAAGACAAGACAACAATTACTTCTTTACGCTGTTTATAAACAAAATTCAAAGCTTAACTTATGTTATAGAAACTTTGAGAAAGCTATCTAATTAAAACTTTAAGCGCTATTTGATATTTAGTGATGTGAAAAACAAGTCTTTAAATAAATTTAAAATAATAGAAACTCTGATTTATTGAAAATGTATTGTCTAGCCGTTGCTAGAACTTGTCATACAGCGCAACTAAACAATTGTTTTCTTTTTATTTGGTTTGTTTATATTTAAATTTTCCGACAAGCTAGATAAAAGTACGTGATTTGGATTGGCATTCAAGTTAATGTGCATTTGGCAATTTATAATTGTACTATAGAAGTGCCCAGCTATCAATAACCACAGTCTGAGTCGGATACTTTGCTGAAACTGAAAGTAAATGGGCAAATTATGTGGTCTATTGTTTTTCTGAACGCTGAGAACGTCAGAAACCGGCTGCGAAGCCAACTGCCACACCCACGGCGTTGTTTGGGCGAATGTGTGTGTGTGTGTGAGTGTGGCGCAGCTCTAATTGGTCTAATAAATGCAAATGCAACACACTATGGCAAACACTTTAATAGTACATTATGGGGGGCGTTATAACTGTGTAGACTGTATAAACGTATAAAATTATGATTAAAGTGCATGCAGGGTCACCACATATGGGAAAATTGTGTATCAAAGTGTACATTAAGAAAGTACATTTCGTGATCACTGAACTTGCCAACAAAGTGCTTAAAATATTTATTAAATTTAAGGCCTTGCCAGCTGTCAGCAGCTCGCGGCACAGCAACAGCCACAGACAAAGCCGTTAATGAAACTGTTAAAAGCACTGGGTGGCCGGGTGGACAAACGCAGTGCTCGCCAGTTGATTGATTTAATTAAAAACACATTTGCGAGCGCAGACTGGGCAAATGAAGCAATTGCTAGACGACGAGGCATGCAAGAAATGCATTCGGACAAAAACGAGCACATTACTTAATTTCGTAATGTGCGAGTATCAGCAGAAGTTGCGGAATTTAAGTACAAAATAACTGAACGGCAATTAATCTTTAGTTTGGCGGAGTTCGTTGGACAACATCGCACCCATTAAGGCACGAAACACGAGTGCTAAAACACCTTTGCTTTGATTTGTTTTGTGTTTTGTTGACTGCCTTGCTTTTCTATAAATCATCAACTTTCGAAATGGCCAAAGCCAAAGCCGAAAGGCGAACCTTCGTGCCGGCAACTGTGGCTAATGAGCAACTGCAGGGCAGCATCGTGTGAAAGGAAAATAGAGATACGAGCTGGAGACAGGTACTAGCCGCAAGCGTTGCGCGCTGATACTGCAGTTTACTCGTATATTGCCACCTACTCTATCTCCATTTGCAACTCAATCTCGACTCAGTCACAGTTCCAAGATCTGTGACGGCTTCTGTCTCGCCTTGTTTCGCATGGTGTCGTAATTATAGTTGTGGTACGGGCATATTATGGCCTATTGTGCGTGCGTCAAGTGTAGAGAGCATGCAACAAGAGGCAGTCCAGCATTACATTAATCGTACAATCGTGTGTGGTTATGTCATGTGGCGTTGGGGCGACCACCCATCCGCAAGTCATGACTTTGGCCATAACGTCAGACGGCCTTGAACTGTAATCGAACACTGCTGTTAGAACCGGTATAATTAATTTGTAGCTTAGAATTAAGTATACGGCGCCTGTCCAAAAACTACAATTAAAAGAGCAGCCGTCGCCAATAAAAGTGAATGTAGCGAGGCTTGGTCGCATTTACATTCCAGCTCACACTCTCTCGGCATATCAAATGGTCTGACAATGGTTGCGGGCGTTGTTTGAATGTTTACGCATTGTTTGTTAAAGAAACAAACATAAAAAAGGTTAACAGTGTGATTTATGCGACTGCTCCACATGTCATTTTGCACACACAAGTCTGCCGCTGCAGCCGCTGCCTTTGGCAACTTGGCTAATTCTTGCCTTGCTTGCTGGCTATAAACCAGTTTCGTTATTGTTGCTGTCTCTGCCGCTGCTGCATTGGCCTTTTTTTTTTGCATAATAGCTCTCAGTTGGCTGCATGTGGCGCGAATTTGTGGCCAACATTTGCCACGTTTTTAGGTTACACAAATATTCCTTAAAAGATTTTCAACAACAAAAAATTCCTCTATCTCAGTGCCTGTTGCTGTTGTGTTGCTGCTGCCACTGTCGTACGGCCGAGATTTTTTTATTTGTATTACTTTCCTTTTTTCGGCTGTCAATTTCGAGAGCAATTCGTGCTCACAACTTGTTTGTGTCGTTAGATCTACTGCTCTTTTTTGCCGTCTAGAGCAAGTTGCTGACCGAATTGGGCCTGTATGGGCTTTCACTTGATGCCAAGTTATATGCAGTAAGCCAAAGAGCATGCAAATGTCCATATTATGAAATACGACACCTGCTCACCACTTACAGAAAGCGATTTGAATCAAATCACAATAAAGGGTGCAAACATAGAGCGAAACAATTGGCTTTAGTGCCAATCCAATAAATGACATTCAACTATAGTCTATTGACTATAAACATAATTTATTACTCACATGCAGTGTTTTAATGGCAAAACGCAAACAATAAGCAGTGAGCTGTGCATAAATGAATCTTAATCATTCTGAAGAGACTCTTTTCGTGCACACGATGTTTCGTTATAAAAATAAAGCCAATTAGCATATGAGCAGTGCACATTGAAATAACATTTAATGTGACAACCAGTGAGCAATTAAGCTAACAACATTTTATTTGGCTTAACACACTTTAAATTCTAAATACAAATATGTAAATATTTCGGCAGGAAAGGTCAATGAACTGCTCATCTATGCCTGCCGATGATATTCCTTAGGATGTATTTGAGAACATAAGAGAGCTATGTCAGACTATGTATGTATGCATATCCGGGTATATTTTTATACAAAACGTTAAGGTGTTAACATGTAAATAAACACAAGTGTCGTTTTTCATTTCGATAATGAACTTGTAACAGACAAAGCGTCGCCACCACAAGCAGCTAGTAAATTGCACGCCCCAAACAATTTGCCACACGCACACTTACCCACACACACACACACACACATACGCACACACATACACCTATACATATATGCACCTGGCGTGTGTGCAATTTACTCACGAGTGCATTTGAACGTCAAGTAAAAGCCGCACAGTTTTTCCACGCGACCAACAGAGCGTATGAGTAATCGCGGGCTCCGTATAAGAGCGAGCCAAGTGGCAGAGCCGGCAATATTTTTGGCCCCCAGACTGCCACGGATCGACACGGATTTCTAACACTCTTATAAAATTCGGTGCGCCTGTGAGGCGAGGCGTAGTCGCAAAACGGCAAGCGCAGCGTCTAGACGTATCGAGTTCGAAACCGAGTGTGGACCGAGACGGAGTCGGGCTCGCGTACAAGAAACATAAAATAAAAAAATAAAAAAAAAAATAAAAAGCCAACATATACCGAAAGTGTCTCAAAGTAAGCTAATGCCAGATGAAAATAAACCAAGAGGCAGTAGTTCACAAATTGGCTTATTCCGTTGGCAAGCCGAGCAAAACAAAAGACTTAGGCAACGAACGCGACTGCAGTGTGGCACGTAGCACGTTGCGGTTTAACGGTTAAAGTGCAAATTGCTGTGCTTTTAGTTAACTGTTTCGCAGCAGTTTTCGAATTAGTAGCGGTGTTGTCTTCTCCTCCGCAAGGCGCTGAGTCGCTTGCAGCGGTCTGTGAAGTGCGTTCCTAAATCAATTAATTAATGCCAAAGCAGACGCCGATCGAATTATTACAAAACTACTCCAATTAAAATAAAAAACACAACCAAGGGTATAGGCGGCTATTGCTCAAGCCCAAGCTGGCCAAATCAACTACTTTAAAGCATTCTCGATTACAAGCCGCCGACGTCGTCGTCGTCATCACCATCCGTTCTGTTGTTGTTGTTGTTTAGTACTTCTTGCTTTTGCGTGCATTTTTGAAACGGAAAATTGTGTTAATTGGCAACACATTTTTGGTAACAATTAAATTCGATTGGCGCTCGCTTGCCGCTGGCAACTGGACCTGTCCCTGTGGCTGTATAAGGAAATAGATAGTGCTGGCCTTTGGTCGATTCGCAGGCGAGCGTTAATTTAGTTACTGCATCTATGAGTCGGTGACCATCACTAAAATCTTAAAGTCGAATAAATACGATTTTCATATAAAAACAGAAAATCGTAGTAGATAGGTAGATGAGGCGCACGGCCAACTGGCTGCTCCAGTTCCGCCCAGCCAATTAAACTCGCCATTTGGGTCGACTTGTTGTTGACTGGATGTCAGACAGTCCGGGTCTGGCGATTGTATATCGCGTGAGAATACAAGCAACATACAGTCGCTTATGAGTGTAGATACAAGTGCGATATATACGCAGCTTTTTACCCATTCACATTTTCCCTATGTAGATATAGCTGAGACAATTTGAATTGTTGCTAAGCAGCTGCCTAAATGGCGCAATCAATTTTCATAAAACAAACAACAAACCGCCTATAAATTTAACAACCTTTTTTTATTTTTATGGGCACAATTATCTTTGACTTCCAATTTAATGCCACAAAATTAAACATTGCATTCGAAAACGATTAGGCTTCAATCCAATTTCGGTTAGAAGAAAATTACATTCCAATTATTTGGTAACTCTCCCTTGCGCTTCTCACATGAGGCACCTAGGCTCAATCTTCATTCGATTTTTTCACGGTCCCATTTGTTATGCAAGTAATCACTTCAATTGCCCTCGCAGTATTTCCTCCCGCCTTTAATTGAAGAGTTTGCTAGCCGTTTCTCTTAGGTTATATACACTGTAATCGCACATAATATCAGCCCAATTTATAATACCTAAAGAAAATAAAAGCGCAGGTTGTTAAAAGTAGTAATGTTTTCAATTTAAAAAGCCAACGTGCGCACATAAATATGAGAGATGGCTAATCATGAAAAAGAGCCGTGCATTGTGGTTGCGCTTTTGTTAACATTTTGTTCCGCCTGTTGTGGGGCATCTGCAAGCAATGTCTTCAAAATTCACTTTGACAACAGGCCTAATTTGTGGCTATAAAGCCGTTAAGCCGTTAAGCACTTACGCAGTTAACTACTTGTCAAAAGGTTAAGTTTTGGAAAATTGCTCAAGTTTCCATTTGAAGTGTCGTGTCGTGTTGTAATGGGAAATGTAAAAAATAAAAAAAATTGGGCGGCCATTTCTGCTGGGTCAACCCATTTAGAGACGCAAAGAGGCCGCGAGTGTTGGTGGTTTTCAGTTAAATACAAGTAGTTAGTCATAGGTAGATGAAATATGTTCGCAATGACGAAAACTCAATTAAATTTGTCATTTATCAAGCGGCGATCTCTTGTTGAGCGCTTGAATACTTGCGATTAAGCCGATTTACTATTTTAAGCGCAAACGTTGCGCTTGTCGGGCGCCATTTAAATGGTGTCATTACCAACGAAAGTAGCAAACAGCTAAACATTTGGCCTGACAAACGGCACACGCTAATATTTGTCAAGAAAATAGCCTCCCAGATTGCAGCAAACGGCGTATTAAATTCGAGCTTTAAGCCGAGTTGACGGGTGCTGACCAACTGCCGGTTAGACAACAGCACGCAATAGACTTAAACGTCGAGACAAAGAGATGGAGAGAGCGAATTGAGCTTGGCAGATATGAAACTGAAATCTTTAAATATATATCCGTTCATTACCACATGCAAAATCCACAAGCAGTCAATTCCTTTGAGAAACTGCTGCTTTGAGAAATTACTGTTTGGTAATTAAAACAATGCGAAGCGACCAGATTGAGAAGCAGAAAAGCATTGGCGATGCTAATAAGCGTGCGAATTAGACGCAGGTACACAAATCGCTTGTCTGCCAAAGATACATATGCTCACATCGGTATACATGCACGAGTATATGTATATGTAGATACAGATGTTGGCTGTCAATTGGGGCACACACTGTCAGCAGCCGTCTGACGCCATTTAAGTGCCGACTTGGCAACCACGACTCCAAGCAGTCTATTTGAATACAATGCACTGAGTTTTGAGTTCCGGTACCGGAATTGGTGCATTTAATTTTATAGATAGGGCGACACTACGATATTGCAACAGTTAATTAAGTAATAATTGAGTGTGCATTTTATTCTCTTGTTGCAGTTACTGTTGGTCATGTTTCGTATCTTTGTCACAATCACCTGCGCTGTGCTCTGGGAAGCCTCAAGCAGCCAAGCTGTGACTCCGACCGTGCAGGTGGCTAAGCAGTGGAAGTTGCTGTCTTACGACTTCCAGCCGGAGGCACCCATCCGCGATCCCAATTTCTTTAATCCGCAGAATGTGCTGATTACCGGCTTGGCTGTGACTGAGGACCGCATATTTGTGGCCACGCCGAAACTATTCAGCGGAGTGCCGTCCACAGTCACTTGGGTATCCAAGGCACAATTTGGAGACTCTCCCGTGTTACAGGTGACCTAAGCTGAGATAATTATTAGGACCCATTCAGATTTCTAAACAGTGTTTGCTTTTTAATTACAGGCCTATCCTGACTGGTCCTTCTCAAATACGGCGCGTACGGATTTCAATTGCAGCGATCTTATACTGACCTCCGTGTATCGACTACGCATCGACTCCTGCAATCGCCTCTGGCTGCTAGATGCCGGCATTTCGCGCTCCTTGGAGGATTACGAACGCACATGTGCTCCCAAAATCCTTGTTGTGGATTTGAACACCGATCGCGTGGTGAGGCGCGTGGACTTTCCCGCAGAAGTTCTTCGCGGCGAATCGCTTTTCACGAACATGGTCATCGACGAGACCTCGGCGAAGCACTGTGATGATGTTTTTGTCTACATAAGTGACACTGTGGAGCCGGGCATTGTTGTGTACGATAGTGGCAAGGATGTGACGTGGCGCGTCTCGCATCCGGCAATGTACCCTGACCCTGATTTTGCACAATCCGAGATTCTTAACGATCGTTTTGTGCTGATGGACGGCGTTGTCGGTTTGGCCTTTGATGAACGCAACGGAATTGTCTATTTCCAGCCTTTGGCCACAGATCGGTGAGGAAGTTGAGACTGCGGCGAAGATGATAATTTTTATTGGTTTTGTATTGTCTCTCCCCAGTATCTTTTCTGTGCACAAGAATGTGCTCCGTGCCGGTCCCTTGCCTTCCGGTCAAATGCTTGACATTAAACTGGTCGGAAAGAAGTCCTCACAGGGCATTGGACTTGCCGTCGGACCCTTTGACAACAGCCTCATTTTCAGTCCACTCAGCGAGACGGCCATTGCCTCATGGAATCCGGCAACTAACCAGCAGTCTGTGCTGGCCTACGATCGTGATCGTTTACAGTTCATTGCCGACATGACGACCACACGAGCGGAACCAGGTGTGATCTATGCCATATCTTCAAAGTTTCATCGCTTCTTTTTGAAGAATCTGAATTCGAATGAGCTGAACAATCGCATATTACGTTTGGAGCTGCCACATAGCAGCAATTCATTGCAGGCTCATCCACTGCCGGTGCCCGCGCACAATAGTCTGCATGCCTACGGCATTACCGGCCTCTACAGTACACAGAGTGCAGCGCACGCCCTACAATCCTACTTCACCAGTCCTGCACTCCAAGCGGGTACCACACAGCCACCATACAAATACGATCACTCAGGCATTCTCAATTATTCGCTGCGCAATCCTTTTACGGCCCTTAATCAGGGCGAGGCTTTCCCACCCAGCAAGGCGACGAGGGATAACTATCAACGCTCCTATTTGGACACTCTGGTAGGCGGCAGTGTTCCAGCGCCGCAGCCTATAGCCTACACCCCACAACAACGTCACAGTGGTTACTACTATCAGCGAGGCAAGCGTGGTCTGAGTCATGACGAGGTGTCGATAGAAGGGGTGCAGAAAGAGGAGGTGAAGCATGAGCAGGAGCAGGAGCAGGACAAGAAGCAGCAGCAGTAAATCTATGTACATATTTATATAATTTTCATTTCGTTTCATACTGTGCATCAATAGTATACAGGCGCTGTTGTACATAACATCATTGTAAATTTATTAAACTAGTTTAACTTAACATTTTTGACAAGTTCAAGTTCGATGTGCATAATTAAGCAAACCGTTAATGGGGCGTGAAACAAGTCACTAGTCTAACAAGTTCTTGGCCAGCTCTCTGTGGTTGCCGGTTTTTCTGTCTGGCGGACCAAACAGAGTGTGAGATTGGTTAATTTGCATGGAGAAGCAAAGCGACAGACTAGACCACGGTTAATGGTCGCATTATGATAATGTCACTTTCGGTTTTATTTAACGATCGACCTCTGGGCCGCTGACACAACCAGTGGCTTGTCAATAAGTATGACAATATGGATGAGCCAGCGACATGTGTAAAGGCAGGTTTTGTAGTAATTCTACGCATCCCATATGCAAATGCACGGTTGCACTACAGTCAGCGTTTTGTTATTAATAATAATGGGGTAGAAGCAGACGACAGCAACAGATACGAGTTCAAGAAATTAACAAAAAAATAAAACCAAACCAGTTGTCATCCAACTGGTATGGGTAACGGCAGAATTAATGGTGCAAACTTGAAACTGTTTTCGTTATGGGGCTGATGAAATATTTGGGATGCCAAAAGTTCAGTGCGATGCAGCGAGGCCTGTCGTAAGGATCTCTCACTCTTGAAGTGAATGTCGTGAAAACAATTTAAATGTGAGTTTAATCAATCAATTAACGAGAGCGTTCTATATGTTTAATAGCTGATCTTATTTCGAGCCAGCTTTATTATATAATTAAACGAGTATCACATGTACTTGCACCTTTCGGGGCACTCTATAAACATGCAAGTTGTTACGTTGTTCCTTTTGCTGCTGCTGACAATTGGTGCCATAGCTGCGTACCACCAGCCTCACCACCATTACATTCCCCCCCGTGGACCAACGTCGGGAGCAGGTGCAGGTGCAAACTTTCATCCACAGTATAAGGAGCTGATAAATATTTACGAATGGCGCAATTTGGAATTTGCCTTTCCGAATGAACGGGAACGCACCCAGGCCTTGAATAGTGGACGCTACAATCCTGACAGTCCCATTCCCATCGACATCGATGTGTATTACCCACGTGAGTACATTATACACGCTATAAGAAAAGAAATCGTGTGTGTGAATTTAGGTGTTGTTTTCAGCAAAAAGCACCGAACCGCGCCTCTTCATTACAATTCCGCGCTTTGGCCAGGGTGTGCCCTACTCGCTAGCACAGCTTACGAGGGTGAAGCGTCCTAATGGCACTGAGCTGCAGCCGTTTCCCAGCTACGACTGGCACAGCTCCCATGGCACAAACTGTGATGGACTCACATCGGTATATCGCGTGCATATTGATCCCTGCGGTCAAATGTGGATTTTGGACAGCGGAGAAATCGAATTCGAGCAGCACTGCGCTCCGCAAATTGTCGTCCTAGACTTGGCCACAAATCAGCTGATACATCGTTATCGGCTGCCCTCAGACGACTACAAGCCAAAGATCAGTCGATTCGTAACGCCTCTCGTAGACATCACAGATCCTCCACCGCAGGGCAGCTGCAAGGAGGCCATTGTTTACATGAGCGATCCAACAGGAATGGGCATAGTAGTTTACGATGTGCTGGCTGGCAAGTCGTGGCGCATCGAAAACAAGTTCACATATCCTAATCCGACATTCGGCACTCACACCATAGCGGGTGAGAGCTTTGAACTACTGGATGGAACACTAGGTTTGGCTGTGACGCCTCAAGGGATCGGTTTGCGTCGATTACTATACTTTCACTCGCTCTCCAACGAGCTGGAGGTGGCTATTCCCCTTGACGTGATCAATAACGCAACCAATTGGGGATATGGGATCAGCTCGTCACTGGATGAGTTCATTCCTCTGGGCAGGCGGAATGTACAATGCGCTGCCTCTGCGATTAGCAAGGCCGGCTTTTGGTTTTGTGGCTTCCTCGAACCCATCGGCATCTTTGGCTGGAACATTCGCACACCGTACACTATGGATAATGTGCAACTACTTGCTTTCAATCCGGAAACATTGCAGTTCGTGAGCGGAATGAAGATTATCAGGCGACCAGGCGACATGCTCGAAGAGCTTTGGGTGCTGTCGAATCGATTGCAAAAGGCATTTTCCGGTGCGCTCAACTACAAAGAGATCAATTATCGCGTTCAGCGCTGCTCCGTCGATGACATGTTGTTGGGAAGGGGCTGCCGAGTGTAGATCGCTAGTCAACCAAGTTAATAGCCTATTTCCATGGATGCCTGAGTGTGTGTGTCTACGTAAATAAACATAGAGTTGAATAAAAGGTACCCATAAGTCAACAAATATTTATTGAGAGGCACTAAACTCTGACATCTCATACCCATTTGTCTGCGACGGTTTTGTACGTACACTCAGACAAAAATCGTACACTTCCTTTTGACATTAAATATACAAATAAAATAGGAATTACGTTTCTAGTCGACTCGTAGAAAAATGTGTTGTTATTTTAAGAAGAACTTGCTTATATCGAACCCATTGGGTAATCAATGCAAAAAATGAATTGATTCTCACAATTTATGGATACTTTTCCCGAATATTTTTTTTAGAATTTTAGTAATATTTTTTCAAAGTGTGTATGTACCTGTACAGCTGACCCTTGTTTGTGTTCTCTACGTCGCATATATTTGGTCAATTAGGGTTTGTTAGCACTTGAGCAGCATCCAGACAGGCAGACATCATCAGACACCTTTGGTTGCCCGCCGTCCTACCTGCCGTTTAGTCTTCACGCGTTGCTTGAAGGGCTTAGATGGCTTTAAATTTCTTTGTGCGAGCGAACTAATCACGAATGACTTGTCTCGGCTTTGTTTCTAAGAAAATGCCCACGCCCAAGTGTATCCTGTTTCCAGTGTTGTTGTTGTTGTGTTTCCTGGTTGGTGGTCAGACACAGAAATTGTATCGCAAGCAGCTCTACACACTCCACAAATGGAACGACTTGAGTTTAAGTTTTCCGCCGAAAATCGAACAATTTAGAAGCAGTCTCAGTGGTCATTTCCTACCCGTGGACGTAGACATTGAATACGGCGATGAGGGCCGTCATCGCACTTTTTTGACCATACCACGACTTAGTCTGGCGACACCATACACGTTGGCCATCGTGGCAGCCAGTGACAATGACGTAGTGGATAACCCACGTCTGGAACCATATCCCAGCGCCGATTGGCATTTTCTAAACGCCAACTGCTCGGGCATTACCTCCGCCATTAGAACCTTCGTGAGTCTCTGCAGAAAAGCTTGTTTATATTTTTTCTAATCCTGTACACGGATCATCAAACAGATCGACGAATGCTGGCGCCTGTGGGTAGTGGATTCAGGTCAAGTCAATTCGCTACAGGTCTGTGCACCTCAAATTCTGACTTTTGACTTGGTCACGGATGTGCTTGTGCATCGCTACACTCTGCCCGGCCACATTTATACGCCCAGTGTATCAATTTTCACAGCTCTGGTTGTGGATATACCGGCGTCAGGAGCACGAACAAAATGTCTTGGAGGAAAAGCTTATATAGCTGATGCCTGGGGCTATGGGCTAATTGTTTACGATGCGTTAACGGATAGATCTTGGCGCATTGAGCACGAGCTTATGATGCCAGAGGGAATGCGACGATTCGGCACTGCATTAGCTGGTATATTTACAGTAAGCCTGAGTCCGCGTCAAGCAGCAGGTAAATAACATAAGTATATACATACATATGTATGTATGACATGTATATAATAAACATAAATATGTATGTATGTATATACATATAATACATACATACATACGTAAATGTGCTTTTAGAGTTCGAAAGATTTAAAAAATTCAAACATGTAACGTGTCAGAATTTACCATAATGTGACCAAAATTTTTGATCTTGCAGTACGACATTTGTATTTCCACACGCTGAATAGTTTTAATGAGATTGTCATACCATTATCGCTGGTAAATAATGCAAGCTACTGGAGGAGCGACACTAATTCAATTGGTAAAGGATTCCGAGCATTGGGCACTCGTGGTACCCACTGTGAGTCGGAGGTCATGGATAGTGCAGGCAATCTCTACTGTAGTCTGATAAGTTTGGGTTCCCTGATTAGCTGGAAGGAGAATGAAAACTATACGGCAGATAATATCCGTGCAGTAGCCTACAACCCGGAGCAGTTAAAATTTGTTACCGGACTAAAGGTGAATCGTAATTCAAAGGGCGAGGATGAGCTCTGGGCACTAAGCAGTGAACCAAAGCTGTTTGTTGGCGGTGCACTAGATGCGAATGAAGTTAAATTTCAAATCATCGGTTGTCGCACATTGGACTTGCTTGGCAACACGCCCTGCAAAGTCGGCAGCATGCGTACGCAGCCACAACCTTGAAATATGCATATTGTATATTGCTATTGCTATCAATCGTATTTCAAAATATATTTAAATATTAGAGTTAGTCGTCTTAGTACATACAAGTGTAATAATAAACTAATTAAGCTCGGCTTCAGCAATGTGTTTGCGCAATTTACAAATTCAACTGCAAATGACTTTTTACGCCTACAAAAGCTGACTGCTCTAGTCACTTGCCCGAACAGCTGTGAGTATTTTTTTAGATTGGAATTCAGCTCCCTGAGTATCGCTCATCTCTAACTTGGCCGGCGTGTTTACTTTGGTGTTTACGTGTTGAATTTGCGTTTAAAACTTGATTTTTAACTAATAAAAGTGCATTTAACATGACTAACTTGCAACGGTGGCTCTTTTATGCGGCACTCTTTGCCGTACCCTACTTGGCCATTGTTCTGGGCTCCGTGCAAACGCCACTGACAACAAAGTATTTCCTGCACATCCAACTGCTTCCACTGTTACTGCTGGTGTTGTTCGGTGTAAGTGAGATGTACCAATGACTAATTACTATAGGCCTATAACTAATGAACCCACTTGTCCACTGTTTAGTTATATTCCGCTTTTACTGTGCTGTATCGCACGTTTACCTTCAACGATTGCCCTGAAGCTGCTAAGGAGCTGCAAGCGGAAATTATAGAAGCACGGAAAGATCTGATAGCCAAAGGTTTTAAATTTCGCGACTAATGATTATGAAAGAGTACTTAAGAAAAACATTGTTTTATGTATTCCATTATGTTAAAAGTTATGATAAAATTTTAATCAAATTATGAAGTAACGTGTAAGCCCAGGTGCTTTGAAATGTGTTTCTTATAATTAATTCAAATCCCAAAGTCCCAGAACCCACCAAACATGTGAAACACATATTGGTACTCGCTGTTCAACAATGTTGCATATATTCTTCAGGGACCGTAGGAGAATAAACCAGCGGAAAAAGCTACACACTCATATACTAATATTGTCGGCACAAGGCAAAAAATGAACAATACGTTTACATTCCAATTTAAAATTAGTAAAGCCTAAAAATTAATCTATTAATATTACAATAATATCTCAACAGCCTTTGGTGTTTTAATTGCCACCCAGCTTTGCTCCGATTCACAGCCAAATGAGAACAGTCTTGAGTTGACCTAACAAACAAAAAGTATCAGGAAATTTACATTCGAACAAGTGGAGAAGCTAAAGTCCCGGTGTCCCGACTTTGAAATAATCTGTACATATGTATGTATGTGTATAATAAGTATGCGTGTTGTGTGTGTCTGTGTATGTCTCGTGTGCCTGTGCAAAGCAGTAACACAAACTGTTTGTGACAAACAGTTATATGTGCAGAATAATTATAGAAACTAGAAAAATTAAGAAAATAAAAAAAAAATATATATATTTGTTTTTACCTTCCTTGGTATTTGAACTCACGTTAAGCGTGTATAGCTTATCAAAGCTATACGACAAAAAATACCGGAAGTTACATTTTCATCTTTTGCAGTATATGTTTAAATGTAGAAAATGCATTTTACTTCCCTCCGGTTCTAAAATAATACGTTCGTAAGCTGCATTTTCTACCACCATTCCCCTTCCTCATCATCGGGTCCTATGTCATTTTCTAGACCGAAGAGCTCACAAACAGACTCAAGGCTATTGCAGTTATTAATCTCGTCGGCCACATGCTGGGTGGTTGCCTCCAGTAGGCTTTCGATTTCCAAATAGTTCGCGGCTTTCATCAGATCATAGACGAGTTCACTTTCTTCCAGGTCTGGCAGTGTGGCCGTAAGCAAGGTAGACAACTGCATGCTTCCCAGTGCCTTATCCCCCGGCCCTATCGCCTCGCACCATTTGATCACGAACTCAAGCATTTGCGAAGAAACATTAGGCAGAGGAATAACGGTGTCTGTGTCGCTGAATATTTTGCAAGATAGCAAGTTGCGAATGGTCCTCATTTGGAGAGTAAGATGCTCAGGAACTTTGTGTAGGACATTATCGCAAGTGCGCAGACTAACCAGTTTCTGAGTATCAGCCATATCTGTGCTGTTTAAATATTAATTTCGACGTGTCTGTGAACAATTTGGGGAAATCGATTGAGTAATTTGTCAAGTCAAGATGTTGGGTCTCAAAATAATTATTATTCTCCACTTGAGAAAGTCTACAGTACCGATTATCATTTAAAAAGTAATTGTTTCTGGTACCGTAGGTTTTATACACGTATTAAGTTCAGTTCAGGCTATGTTCCGAACTTACTCGTATGTAGCTCAAAACTGGCGCTGGAAGGAGACTATTTTGAATAAAATAAATTGATTTTTCCTGTTTTTTTTTTTTAAAGTCCTGTTTACTTTGGAACACACCTTGTATATTAAAAAAGATCATCTGAAACGTTCGATCATATCTACACAAAATTTGGTGAAAATTTTTGGTCATTTTATTTTAGATGTTATCCAACTATGCTTTTCAATTAGAAGTAGTATCAGTGAAAAGGTTTAGAAAGTAAAAATGACTTCGATTTTTCTACTGATGATGAATGTGATAACAAAGTCAGTAGCACGGAAAACGGAGAGTCATATAAACTCATAATCACTAACTGATCACTAACTAACTAGACTTTCCGACCACTGGGTGGAATTGACTGCATTCAAAACACCGCTACCACAAGGGTCTTTCGATCACGTCAAAATGATGAATTCCCATGCATACCGGATTAGACCATATTAAACCTCCAAGCATTTTTAATCACAAAAATCTCTAGGGTTAATTAGAAACATAAACAAATTAAAGTGCACGAACTCAAAGCGTTGTAAGCAAAAGCTCTTGCACAAATTCGAGAGAGCGAAAAAAACAACAAAATAATGCACACACAAACATCTTGTGAACGAAAGGAAACACAAAAAACAGGCAGGCAAGCATAAAAAGGAACAAACAACAAGAGCATTATACTATTTATAGTATTCTGATTGGAATTGGATAATTCTTGGAATGCTTCCACACACGCTTTTGTTGAGCTCTTGATCAGTGTACTGGAATACGTACCCAACCCAAAACACTACATGGAGAGTCAGTCTCGGTTTTTTCCAGTCTCGCGCTCACACTGGAAACCGGTTGAGTACTCTGTGGCCTAAACAAAACGTCAAGCCACACAAGTTGAAACAGTATTCGCTTAAAGTCAGTCTTCACACAACCACCACACGGGAAACGTTCGGAACTGTGGCCGCTGAAGAAATACAATAAATTACAAGCAAAACTATATATACACAATGAGTCACAAAATCGTCGGCGCTTTTCTGCTCTTCATTGCGGCGTGCAGCGCGGCAAAGGTAAGCTTTGGGGCCCAACTATATGAAATCAATTTAAAGTTGAGAGTGGGGGACCTCTGTGGGTGCTGTATTCGCTGGGGCAGAGCAAAACGCTTTGGCGACGCCTTCGCCACCGCCCATCGTAAAATTACACCGTGGCATGAATAGTTTCGCGCATCGGCAGCAGGTCAGGGCCGTCAGCATAGTCTAAGAAGTGGGTAGGTAGAGAATAAGCAGTGATTGCTGCACGAAGGAATTATTATTTGCTGCACCCATTCGCTCAACAGCGACAGCAACAAGTGGCGGAAAACCCTACAAAACGGGCACACAATTCGAGGTTGAATGAACTGTACATTGGAAAATTATGCAGCTGGAAAACATTAAATTAACATTATAAAGTTTTCTCTACTGATGTTGCGTTGATACTTGACTCCGATGGTATTTTTGTTTTGAAGCTAAAACCGGTTTACCGCTATGACCAGTTTCAATTTCTTTGTTTTCATTTCAAAATGCATGGTGGGGGGAGTGGGGGATAGGAAACCGGTGTGAACCGCCGCCTCGGCTCTACAACTCCAGACTTAACCCTAATAACCTGTTGTGGATAACAGCAAATAAACGCTGAAGTCCCAGCTACTGTTCTTTTACGGTGGCAAATAGAAGCGCTTACGCAAGCGCAAGATATGGTAATAGTACGTACAAAAACTAAAAACCGTCAGTGGCACAATTGCAATATTCATATATAAACAATAATATTACAATGTATCTTATACTATTAAGTACACATCAATTATTACTGCGCATCTTTTTTTTAGTTTAGTCACGAACATTTTAAGTTTTCGATTCCACAACCGGTTCCCCATCGAACTTCATGATGCTTGATTTATTTTTATAAGCCCGCACAACTTTTTTGATTATTTTTTTTTAGCAAAAATATAGTATTGTACTAAAATGCTAGCTGAATTGTAAATGCGTTGTTGTTTTTATTAAGTGAGCACGTACCGACCTTAAGCTTTCCATACGATGAACACAAGCAGCAGTGCAGACGAAGATGGACAAATTCTACGAGTATACCCAATTGTTTAAATCAGAGGTCAGATCGCGACACATATAATTAAATGGGCGAATTGGCTAAAGAGCTAGTGGTGATGCATTCAAAATAAGAGAGTTATGTATATAAAATGTGGCTACTTGCATATATACTCCTAAGTTTGTACATAAATACTATTATTGATGAGCTCAGCGCCAACTGTTTTTTTGCTAAGCAAATACTAGTAATTGAATAGACAGGTTCTTAAGCCCGCAGATAACAAAATATTGCACAGCTGAAGTGGAAGAAATAGGAGAAGTGGCGGCCAAAGTGAAACAAGCATTAACTGAAGCCCAGTTAAAAAGTTAACTTTTAAACTGCCAGCTGAATTTTCCGATTGAGGGGATGCAGTGTGCAACCAATTTGCATGTCATGTGCCTGCTGCTTACACCAACAATAACAGGAACAGCAACAGCAACAGCAATGAAACGCACGCACATGTGAACAATTTGAAAATTATGCACCAGAGTAAAAATGTAAATTTTCACATTGCCCCACCCACAGGTTCCCATTGCGATTTACTACGAGTCTTTGTGTCCGGACAGCGCCAAGTTCATTACCGAACAAGTGTATCCGGCAGTGAAGAGCGAGCTGCGTGATTTCGTTGAAATCACATTCGTTCCATTTGGCAAGTCTCAGGTGAATATGCAGTTTTGTAGGCCACAATTGTTTGAGTTATCATTCACCTTTACATTCCGCTGCAGTTCTTTACACAAGGCTCGGAAGTCACATTCACCTGCCATCACGGACCGAACGAGTGTTATGGTAACAAAGTGCATGCTTGCGCTATTGAGCACATTCAGGCCAATTCGTACCAGACTGAGTTCACCCGCGAGTCCCTCACCCTGGACTTTATCAATTGTCTGATGAAGGCAGGCAAGAATTTCCCGGACAATGTGTATCCTGGACAGCGTTGCGCCTCTGAGAATCACATCAACAACTGGGAGAACATAAAGACCTGCGCCAACACCACCGAGGGAAGCCAACTGCTCCGCAAGGCCGGTGAAACCACCCAGAAGCTTAAGGAGCCCCTGACCAGTGTTCCAACTGTTCTGTTCAACGAGGTGAGTGGATGTGTTGATGTGCCTGCTACTTGCCCACAAGTTGTTGCTCAATCTTCGATCTTTGCAGCAATTCGATAAGACGGTGAATGAACGTGCCCAGCTGAACTTTATGGGTACTCTTTGCAAGTATGTCTCGGCGCCACAGCCTCGCATCTGTGCCCAACATAACGCCGCTCCCCGTCTGGACAGTGTAAGCGCCACCTTGACCTCTGTGCTGGGTCTCTGGGTCTTTGCTTTACTTAAACGCCTTCTCTAAGCCGTTGCTGCTGTAACCCAACTTCAGCTTCCACTAAGCTTCAAAAACTTTTGAATCTCTTAATATTTTATTACATATTTTTTGTTTTTAGCTCGCTTAGATGCATTTAAATGCCGTCCATTTGTTCCAGATGTTTAAACAGAAATAAAATTAGTGAACATAAAATAATATTGTGTGCCTGGGGTGGGAGTTCAAAAGAATTCGTAGTTTTAAGTGTTTAGGTTGGATGGATTTCATAACGAGGCACAAGCAAAGCCTTTTATTTCAATTCTGTACTATCTATATTCATTTAAATGTGAAGTAGAGTTTTAAATGTCTGAAGAAAATATAAATAACAAAAACTTCTACGAAAGTATGCAAGTTGAAAAACAACATTCGCTTTCGAACTGTTGTAATTGGGATAAATAACAATGAAATAATTGCTTTAAAGAAAACACTGCTATATGATTCATTATGATATTATCTTTTTGTTAATGACTTTAGAAGTAAGTGTTTTTTTTTTTGCGTACTGCTGTCGTCAGGCTCTGTTCTCGGCCAGCAACAGCTGCTTATCGCCAAAATTGTTTTGGCTCTGATAATATAGAAAGAACAGTAGTAACTGAGGGGTTCCCTCTGTGTTTGTTCAGATTAGCAGGCAGGTGGCAGTCATTTGTGGTAAACAAGTTGTTTACAAATCAATTGGTTCCTGTGTAATTGTTTCTGCTGTAACAACTGTCAAGAAGCCCAGCTCGAAGACATTTAATACATTTATACAAATTTAAACGTTCGACGTGGCTAGACGTTCAATTAGGCCACCAATTAGTTACTCAAATGGTCTATTAGACCACATGCTTGAATATGAATTTACATGCACGACATACACTCCCACCCACACAAACACCAGCTACACCTTCATCACAACGTGGCAGATCTGTGCGTTGCACAAACTTGTTGTGTTAAAGCCCACGGCGCTGAGAACGACGTCAGCAACAACATCTACTCACATATAGACATAGGTATATACGACTTTAGTGACGCGCGTTCCCATCAAAAAAATCTGAGTGCGTTGCTAATTTTGAGTTTCTGGCATTGGACGAAGGCTAACCCGGTCCGGAGTTCAGCAGCTTCAAAGGGAATACGTTAGCCATTTTCAATTCGCGTAAATAATGAGCGAAAGCACCTACGCAAAACTACAACCAACTTTTATTGCATACATTCGGGCGCAGGGGAGGGCAAAGCTTCGTGGAGCTTCGGCTCGTGCATGCCTTTGATTGGTCGTTTGTTAGCGGCTCCTACACACGCACACAGCCTCGTCCTGCACTATAAAAAGGTCGCATTGCTGCCATAATTCGCATCAAACGAATTTTGGCAGCTAACGCTAGCAGTTGTCGACCGAACGAGAACAAGAAGTGAAGAGAAGTCTCCTTCAGTAGTCAAAGCCTTGACTAGCAGTTGCAACAGCATCGCAGAGTAGCAAGTGAAAGTAGGTGCATTATAAGTAGGAAAGTGATTCAGTGCTTTTTTGAAACTGAACGGCAAAACGAATATAATTAATTAATAATAACAATAATAATAATAATTGTGTCTGTGCTCTGTCAACTTTATACTCATTGCAAATAATCTACATGGGTAAGTCAATTGATGAGCTCGGGCATCCTTGTTTGCTTTGCTTTAACCCAGCTTTCTCCGAGGTGGCTCCTCGTCAGACCCTTGTTTTGTTTGTTGACTTTGTCTAATGACCGGAGCAGCGGAAAGGGCCAGTTTTACAATTCTTGATGGCCGGCGGCAATGCATGCAGCAACTTTATTTGCTCAATTAAATTGAATCAAATTAGATTACCAGTCATAATTAATCACGAGATAAAAGGCTTCCCCATAGCTGCAGGAGAAATTTAGAGAGTGCGCTGCCTCAATAGCCATTTTTCAGTCTCTTGCCTTGGTTATGCTTTTGATTAAATTTTAATAAGCTGCCGCAGGCATCTCGCAATTCGCAACTCACAACTTAAACTAGCGTCTTATCCACTTAGAAATCAGTTAAGCTCGTAAAGAGCAAGATACAGCATTCAAAACAAGGCAACTGGCTATAAACGGGTACATACATATCTATAAATAAATAATGCAGCATTTGCTAAAACTTCAAAAGATGCTCCTCAGCTAAATACTTACATACTAAATAGCAACAAGTGGCCTCTTCGATAGCTTCTTTAACGAACTCTGCAGCTAATTCAATTGTGACCGCAAGAAACTGTGCCCCCAACTCGAGAGACTAGCAACCAAAGTGAGCTCAAAGTTTCATCGACAATCGCACTTTGCGGCTTTGTAGCAGTCAGTAGTGCATTTAATTAAATTTGTTGTCTTCTCCCATTTCTTTTGAATTGTTTTCAAGTCTAGCTAATCAGCGGCCCCTTTGTTGCCGTGACTTTTCTATCTACTGCGGTCAAACTGTGTCGTGCACCCATTTTTAAGGGCACCGTTTTATTCACTGTCCGCTTTTGAGTCCGAATCAGCAGCTCATAATCATTTGCTGATTAGAAAAATTTCACACGGAAACAAATGTACTGTGCCTGTTCGTTGTTTACAAATTTTTGCACTGCAGATGTTCAGCGGGTTGCCTTTTGTTATAGGCTGAATATTTTCGAAAACATATATACATATGTATGTATATGTACATATTTATGCATGATAATAATATACAAAAAATAATAGACAATCTTAGTTACAATTTCCTACATTTGATTTTATAAAATGTGTTTCTAATTTAGCATTGTTTTTTATCTTCGTTCACTTTACGATGCATCAAGGAAACGCCGCTTCTTATATGAAAAATAAATTTCAGTGCACACAAAAGCGAACTTGCTATATATTGCATTTATAGTAACATCAAATAATAAATTGTTAAAATATCTATTCTACCTGCGTGAACTTAAGGTAGAAAATTTATAACTGAATGGATTTTTATTTTCTGTTAGTCTGAAAGTAACAGTCCAATAAATAAGGAATTACGTTTTCTTTTGCAACCAGAAAATTGTTTTGGCTAATTAGATGTCAGCTCAAATATAGAGTAAATTGAAATTTTTTAGGAACCCCCTCCTCGGCGCTTCTAATTTGAAAGACTTGCGTAAGTCCGTGTCGATCAAGTTGTAATATGTAGATTAATTAATCTGATATGCGAAACAAAACAAAGTTTCAATTATCTGAAAATAAGTAGAATAGAGTGCTTGAGCACCTGCTCGTCGTGATATGGCCATCATAAATTTATCCCCTGACAGCCGGCAGCTCATCAAAACAATATTATTATATTGACAATAAAGCTGGGAAAATTGATAAAAATACGCAGCGGGAAGTCAGTGCAAGTCTAGGCACACGCGCGTCCACCACACAATCCAATCCATGTTGACAGATGGCGCCGTGCCTGCAGCACCCCCTTCCACCCATCGTCCAGCTCCTAGCCATCGATGGCAGAAACAAACACTGATAAGCCAAATATGCAATTAAAATAATATTATTGTTTTCCAGCGCATGGCGTGGGCGTTGTCTGTGCCGTAGGTGTTGTGGGCCTTGTTGATTTTGAATGCTCTGTCGCACTTACAAACTCGCACATACGAGTATGTATTAATTTACTTGATAAGTCCATGGCAGACACTTCAGTACATCTAGTACGTGTGTATAAATTTAGTTCAGCTATCAACTGAAAATAGCCAGGGAATGGGAATGGGGGAGTCGTGCAATGTTTACAATTATTAATAGAGTGCTTGGAAAATTTTTGCATTTGAGTGCAATCTGTTTGAGTTGAGAAGCAAAATGATCAGCCAATTACAGTGCCCGTTCCTCCATAATTTGTTAGGATGCTGATGCCGCTGCCGGCGTTGACGCCAACGCGGCGCGTGACACGATTTCAGCGCCGATTATTGAGTCGCATTTGACACAACGGCGCGCACGCTTATCAGAAGCAACAGCAGCTAAAGGTATAGCCACATACATAAGAGGTATATAACAACTTATATATATATATATATAAATACATATGTACATGAGATTGTTCACTTGAAATATTTCTCAGCATTCAGTCGATGAGCCGCGCTTGAAAATGTGAAATCGTTCTCAAGATTTTCGGCTGATGTTGGCGTGGTGTTGTTGTGGTGGCTTAATAAACAAGTTCTAGTTAATAATTCCAATTAAATAGTAAATAAATAGACGGTAAATAAGTAAAACTAAATTGAAAGAAATACGTATTGACTGCTTAAGCCAAATCTGTGATCCAATAGTACCTTATTATTAATCCCAACAAACGGAATTTCGTTTACGAGTATAAAACGAAGAGCATTAAGTTTCATTATAATTAGTTGCTGCTGATAAACAATTGCCTTGCCAAGCGCTTGTAACGCCAATTGCCACTTATAAGCCACCAGTACGCAGAGTGAGCTTTAAATTGTATCAACAGGCTAAGCCATAAGGTAAGCTTATATTCAAATGTGAAATGAGAAGACACGCGACTGTTTTTGACTAGAAAGTTAACAGCGACAGCACATAGGGCGTATGATGGATGATGAATTCCAAAGGCGCAAAGATTAATAATAAACTCAAGCGAAATCATCATTTCAAACTTAATGTTTTACACAAGTGTCCACAACATGCTTGCAATAACAGTTCGATATTCCAAGCACGTAAGAAACAAACATTAGTTTAAGTTGTTCGCTTGGCATTTCGCCTCAGGTTCCAACACAACACACTCCTAGTCACACATCTGCATGCATGCCAACTAATTGTCTAAGTCTCTATGTGTGTTTGTGTTACATAAATCAAATGCCAGCCGAAAGTTCAAAAGTTTTACGTCTGCCCCGATGGTGGGATTAACTTCCTAAATGCATATGACTTGCGATTTGACGTGTGTTCTGCTTTTATAATTAGTGTAGTATACCTACAGGGGCAGCCGGAAGATAACCAAAAAGACAAAAGATGTCTGTTCTCTACGTCTATATTTGGACCTGTTGAGGCAGCCGTTTAATTGCGTCTTTAAGATAACTGTAGCATATGTCAGTAAATGGAAAAACGCGGCAGAGCAAGGCAATAAGTAGACTATCTCTTAATTTTTTAATACTCTTGGTACACAAAGAGCCATTAATTGCAACAAATAAGAATTCATTGATAGTGACCACATAAACAAGTGATTAGTTTCTGCTAGCAAAAAAAAAAAATGATTTTATTCATTCAGATTTTTTTCCACACTAATCAAAAACGGCTTCCTTTCAATTGAAATTAAGCCATTATCAAAATAAAAGGTATTAATTTCAACGATTTTGTATTCATACTTTTTATTTCATAAATAAAAGTACAAAATTAAAAGCGAAAATATATTAATACAAACAACGATTTGATAATTTCAAAAATATGAAATTGATACAAAAAGGAAAAAATTTAAACACCAAAGTTTCAGATTATTGGCATCATCTTGATTGTTTATTTTCTTGGATTCAACCGATTTAACCCTAGCTTAAGTCATAGTTAAGAAAAGAAAATCCGTAATTTTCTGATCACATCTATGACAATTAATTAATGCTATTTAAATTTCTTTGCAGTTAATATGAAATCGACCATTTCGTTGTTGCTGGTTGTCATCTGCACGGTGGTATTGGCTGCACAACAGAGCCAGGCGAAAAGTAAGTGGTGGAGTAGCAAGTACGAATACGACTTTGTTATTCAATTAATGCATATGGAATGCATGATGCGCGTATGAGGAAACTGTCATGAAACGCGCATGCATAAAATATGTTTTTACAATTTTCATGCAATTTAAGCGCAAAAAACAAAGCCATAAACATAAATGGCCGACAAGCGGATGCTGCCATTACACACACACACACACACACAAATACCGGCACTCGCCTATAAATATTGATGGCCCGCACACCGTCAATTGTTACAGTTTAAAGCAAAACAAATAAGCAAACAAACAAACGCGACCTCAGCTGACTGACAGACAGTGACATTGCGCCCGTGTGGCTTTGTTATTGCAGCTGGTTGCATTAACTTCGAACGGCAATGCAGTGGTGATGGTGCCTGGAGATGTTGAATACTCTATTTCCGCTACAAAGCACTACACACGTATGCAGGCAGTTTTGTATGCTACACTGTTTTCAAGAAGACAGCAGCATCAACCAAATGGCTGCACCTTATGAGTGCTTTTTTTGCACCACAGTTGCCACGCCAAAAGGTTACAGGACACAACTCCCAGGTGGACAACCTTGATATATTCAGTTATATACGCAATACTATGCATATGTTGTTAGGTACGCATGTAAATCAGGCCGAAATTTGGCGCCTATTCGACTACAAATGTAAAAATAACTTTAGACAAATGTTTGCCCGCTCATGCAAAGCAAACAAAGGCAGAACACGGCCAAAAATCACAACAGCTTTGTTGGGGGGTCAAATGGTTATCAAAAGATGTCTCTCCTGAGTATTCGCAAGCGATTAAAGATTTCTTCTGTCAAACAGTCACATTCACAATCACTGTGCGTGGGTATATAAATTTCGTATAATGGTACAAAGTTTGTCTCTGCCGCATGTGTCTGGGGACACACACGCTCTACACACTTTGCAACTTTACTGCTGCAGGAAGTCCCTGTAATTTGCGTGTGTGTGTGTGTGTGTAATATCGATTACAATTTCTGCCGGCAGCGCTTGCAATTTCTTGACAAGCTGGCTTAATTCATTGGCCTGCAAGCTAACCAATCATTTTTCGTGTTATGTAACCCATTTTACAGAGGGCTGTCAGGCCTATGGTCATGTTTGTTATGGCGGCCATGGCAAGCGTTCGCTCAGTGGCAGCGCTGGAGGCACAGCTGGTCAAGAACCGGAGTACGTGCGTCCAAATGGACTGCTACCAATGCTGGCACCAAATGAGCAAGTGCCCGCTATCCCTGAAGGCGAGTTTGAGGATTATCCATCGCGCCAGATTCTGTACAAATTGATGAAGTCATGGGTAGGTGCAGCGACCTTTTGCCAAATGCCAAGCCTCGCTCAACGGCGTTATCTTTTACAGTTCAATCATCCGCGTCGACAAGCCGCACGCTTGGGCGAGCTGGACTATCCCTATCCTCTTACGAATTCCGGAGAAAGTTTTAACCGTGATGTCGCACTGGACGCGCCCAACTAAAACTGATGCTTGCCTAAGTACACACAGCAACAAGTACATGCAACACAGCAGCAGCACCTACAATACCAATTATGAATGATTGTTAATATATTTCAAAATATTTGCCGCATATATGTACATAAATTCGTATATACCATGATTTAATAGATGTCTAACACAACAACAAATTTCTGCGACTTGCCTAACGATTATAACAAAAAACAGCTGAAATTTTTAAGGGCTGGTAAAAATTTCAGTGCAAAAAAATACTTCAGGTTTTTAATAAAAAGAAAAGTGAAATGCAACTTCAAGGTCTTTTATCTATAGAATATTCTATTGAATCAGAGCGTATTTAAAAACAAAAGGAAATAGTTTCCAAAAGTTTCATGCGCAATCTCGCACCTTCTTTTTAAACCTAGGCGGTTGTTTTTATTTTACGTACAGTAAGGCTGTTCTTCGTCACAACGACTCCGGCCCATTTAAAATCGACGACGAAAATTGTTGGAGCTCTTGCTTACGAAAGGTCTAGTTATCTGTACGTCTGCACTCTTAAAGAGCTTGGTGACAACTAGAGCTGTAGCGAAAATGAGCACAAAACATAAAGCGAAACTTTGAAAAAAAAACAAAATTTTCGTTGTTGATTCGACGAAGAACAACTATCTAGGGTTGAAAAGGAATCAATATTAATATGTTTAAATAAAAATCAAATAGCCGTTTACTGTAGCACAAATGGTGCTGCCAACTTTACTCAATTTCTTATACGGCCTAGTCAAAACGCATCAATTTCGTACCGCCGAGACCTTGTCACAATACCCGTTAGATACGAACCGTTACTTTTGAATCGCTCATCACTATTACAACAGGTTCAAAACTTGCGAAAACGTAGTTGAAGTCGTTAAAGCTAAATTTGCGGCACAAATACAACGTACATTTTTAAGGATGCGCAAACGCGGCAGGTAATAAATAACCATCTTCTGCGCACGTGTTTGCCTATGGCATATGCTCAGTTTAAACCATCTCTATCCTCTTGAAATATCCAGATAACTGCAGCTACTAACTTTAGGAATTTTATGAGTGCAATGGAATGAAATTTTGATAATGGCTCATAAATAAAACGAAAAACTCAAATATAATTTTCTATTTATTATAATATTCAATCATAATCAGTTACAACGAAAATATATTCGGTTTGGTTTTAAATTTTGCTGTTTTTACCAAAGTTATTTATTAATATCAAACCCCCAAATCAAATAGACAGCCTTTTTGAGTTGAAATTTTATATTATGGAATTAAATAACTTAAACTTGTGTCTAGACGCGAACTTGCGCGAACTCTGTTCGATTTACTCTAGTAGCGACTGTTTTGCAGTGCAGGTCTGGGTCAATCCAACACAACTCAGAAAATTAATCAAAACAAAACAACGTATGGAATTTTGAAGCCAGGCGTTCAAAAAATGAGGTTGATATTGAGAATGTTATATACCTATGTAGTTTGCATATCTCCTAGTTATATAAAGGTAGAATAGAATCTACCCTAAGCTGAATATATTTAGTTTCTTAAAGTTCTTGAAATTGTATAGTGGGGGGTGGATTGACGGATGCAGTGTCGTATGCCATACGGTGCTGGGTATACTTATTTTTTTATGGATGATGTGCCCAGGCGGCAGCAGCAAGTTAGTTACAGTTTATCAAGTTTTCGGTTACAATATTATGTTCAGCGAGCAGGCGCCTTAACTCGCTTCGTGTAGGTTAATCTATTAATTAAACATATAGCCGCTTAGCTTGAGGTGCACTGTTGGACACGCGGACCATCTTGGTAGCCAGCATCGTCCTCCTCATATGCCATGCGCTGATGTTGCTGGCGTCGCTGCTTGGGATCGAAGTCCTCCTGAAAAACAAATTAAAAAGTAGCATTCAATCAAATTTTGGTTGTCTGGTCAATTTACCAAAACTGTTTGTTCGGCGTCAATTGGAATGTCAACCTCCGGTGCCGGTGGCAGGCACTGCTTCAGTGCTGGTATAACTGATGGGTTAATTGCCTCTGGGAAGATAACTTCGAACTGTATAATAAGTGTACCCTTTTCCAGCGGGTTCTTATAAATAGGCATGCCCTCTTCCGAAATGCACTTAGTCATCTCATGCCGTATAACTTCGCCGGGCTGAGTTGAAACCAAAAGGTCGCGATCATCCAAAGTCTTGATGATGCGCTGGAAGCCGCATAACGCTTCCGACAACTGCAACGGCATCTTCATCATAAGATCCGTGCCGGCGTGCACGAATGTTGAGTGTTCTTTTTCGTCCAACAGTATTATGATATCACCCGGTTGAGATTCAGGCTCATGGTCACCCTCGCCTGTGAATACAATTTTCTGTCCATCTCGCATACCCTTTTCAATGTGCACCTCGAGCACCTTTCGTTCCCTAACTGTCTTACGTCCATTGCAGTTCTTGCAACGGTCCTTCTCTTGTATGGTCTCACCGGTGCCAACACATTTCCGGCACACCTGCTCGATGTGTTGTACGATTCCGGGTGCAATCTGTTGCACTCGGGTCTCGACACCATTACCACGGCACTGCACACACTTCTCAATGCTGCCCTTCTTGCCGCCGCGTCCCTCGCACTTGTCACAAATCACATTCTTCTGAAGTTGAAGCTTGCGCGTGGCTCCATTATAGAGCTCCTCCAGTTGCACTGAAATTTGGTGCACCACATCCTTGCCTCGTCGTTCACGACGACGTCCACCGCCGCCGCCGCCACCAAATCCGGTTCCAAAAAATTTCTCAAAGAAGTCCATGGGATTGCGGAAATCGCCCGAGTCTGCACCTCCCTTTTTAATGGCTGCCTCACCACCTTCATCGTATATTTGACGTTTCTCCGGATCGGACAAAACCTCATAAGCTTGCGAAATGGCTTTGAACTTCTCCCCTTCATTGGGGTTCTTATCAGGATGGTACTTCAGTGCCAATTTTCTATATGCTTTCTTCAGTTCTTCGCCTGTGGCGTTTGGCTTAACGCCAAGGAGGTCATAATATCCCAGTTCTTTAACCATTTTGTTGCAGTTATTGTTGGTGGTTATTTTACTGATTACCGCAGGTGTTGGTCAATTGCAAGCTACAAGAGATCAAAAATTGCATAAACAATTTATGGCCGTGGCAAGGAAGTAAATAGTATGACCCCAAATGACCTATGAGCACGTTTCTTCCCTCCAAGGTTAGTAACGTGCATGTGTACAAGTAGAGATACAAATTGCGCCGTACCCACGCTTTCTAGAAAATTTCTATTTTAAATACACCTTTGCTATTTTCAATGCACGGCAGGCAAAAGCAGCTGACACACCATACCGACTGCCACAAATGCCCACACAAAAGTACACACACATACACACAAAATTGCCTTTTTCTAGAAAAAATTTTCAGCGCGTTGTTTAGCAACGCAGCCCTGGCAGCAGCTGCCGCTGCCCCTGCGCGAACGAACGAACGAAGAGAAATACGATAATGACGAAGGGAAAAGCAGCACAAAGTGCAAAAGAGAATTACACATGTGTATACGCATACATATGTATATCTACATAGAATTTTCTATTGATTTCCGCATGTTTTCTGATCTACGCCAATTATTGAAAATTGTCGGAACAGCCATTACAAAATAAAATCTTCAAATGTTGATATACACATCGCAATTACAGACTCCGAAGGCGTCTCATAGCGAATGGAGTGTAAAAGGGATGAAAAAAGAATTCATTTCAGCTAATCTCTTAGCATGTGCATCGATTTTGCAAGCATGTCAAGATGCAAAAGGCATTTGGAATTTAAAATAATTTGGCCATATGTGCATAAAAATTATTGGCGTTGATTACTTAACAAAAGGTGCGGACACAGAGTCTAATAAGTACATATGTATGTATGTACATACAAATTTATACGCACACATACGAAACGCCGAGATAGAGCAGAAAACCCATCAAATGATTAGCAACTTACCTTTGCGTAAAAATTGTGTTATGGAATTGTTCAAAAATTTTCGCTTGTTAATAATCTTACACTTTTTATAATAATTTTTAAGGCTACTTTTTCGAGCTACTCCTATGCTTTTCAAGCTTGCTGTGTTTCAGGAAAACGCAGAACGTGGTGCTCTCAGGGATGTTTGTTAAGTTATGACAAAATCATCGAAGTTTCCAGTAGATGTCCGATAACATCGGCATATTATGGTCACACTCTTTCGTTCTGTCAATGCATATCGATAACAAATAGTAACAGCTGAGCTGCCTCATTGTTGTGGTTATTTAACACAGAGCACGAGCCGGACAAGTTAAAGTTAACAAATTCTGTTTATTTATAAGTAAAAATCAAATGCGACACGCACAATTTCTGGCCCGCACTGTTATGGTGCAAAACAACAACGTAGAGGAGGCATGCCGCCTACTTAATCGTGTGCTTGGCAAAGAGGAAATATTCGATCAATTTCGACGCACGCGATTCTATGAAAAACCCTTCCAGGTAAATCTTTTAGTGTGGATGATTTTTTGCGAACAGTTAAAACTTTACTCAATATTTTCAGGTTCGGCGCCGTGTCAATTTTGAGAAATGTAAAGCCATATACAACGAGGATATGAATCGTAAAATTCAATTCGTCCTTCGAAAGAATCGCACTGAACCATTTCCTGGCTGCAGCTAGAAGTCTTAAATGCAATAAAATAAAATAAAACATTCAAAAATAGCTTTGTCATTTTAAAATCTTAACATATTCACCAGGTTCGCCTGTTGTATGTAGAGACAAAAGTACTAGAATATAAATATATTATTATTGGCTGTCATCATGGGCAATAGTAAACAAACGTATTTTAAATCCATTTTCATGTGATAGTTCCAGTAGAGTTTGATTCCAGTGGATATATGTACGAAAATCGTGTCGGGAAGGTGTAAAAATTAAGAACTCGATTGGTTAATTTTTTATAAATTTAATAAAACAAAAGTACTCATATTTTTTTTATTCCAGGTACTAGCAGGGAAAGTGTAATCGCACCTTTCTGGTGCAACCTCCTCTGCTTTTGGTAATTTCCATTAATCTCGTAATTGAAATATTATTCCTAAATTTGGAAATTACATCTTATATATGTGCATTATAATATATCATTTTACAGTTATTGCCAAAAATATAATAGAAGACCTTTTTTAATAAAACTTTGTAAGCATATTTATAAAGTTGTAAATAATGATATTTTAAAGAGGCCGCGAGGTTTTGTTTCCTATTTCCATTCTTGTTTCATTCAGCGCTAAGCTTTTTTCCTCAATGGATATAAATATATTAATATACATACATATGTAAGGCAGGATACTTGAAATATCTTCCCTCTTATTGAATAATTACTGCTCTGTCATGCTTTGCGGCAAGAGAGAGCTTTCTTAGGCCAACGATTACAAATGGTGCTTGGCTCAGAATCGTTTGTACTTTTACACGGTGAGGACGTGTTTTTGTCGTTGCATTCTAAGAATTTACATTCTTCATTGAAGTAAAAGTGCTAATTAAGAGTGTCAAGTGCGAAAGAAATGTTTATGGTTTCGATTAAGTAGAATATTAGTTGCTTGAAAAAAACCATAGCCTATTTAGGGGCGTCGCAGTTATGCAATCAAGCCAAAGTCCCCGTACACTTTTAAGCGTTGCATTTTCCATTTCCATAACATCAACTTGCATGCAAGTGTGTGTTAAGCTGTATGCAGCTGAAACCAATTTTACTGACTCTGTCGTTTTATTAGTTAACACATACAAAAGTATATACATATAGCCATTTACATCTATGCACCTAGAAGCGACCTCTTTGTAATGTACTGCTCAAACGTGCCTAAGTGCTCCCCAATGCATCGATAATTCGCTTATGTGGCCAATTTACACAATTCTCACCAAGAGTGTTTTGTGGCTGTGTTTGCATGTGTGTCACGATGGGTGGTTCACTGCCAAAGCACAACAAAACGCAAGTTTTCTTTTAAGTTACCGCGCCACTTCCTTCTACATTTATATTGTGGCGAACAGGCGAGCCTGCTAGCCAGCCTGTCGTCTCCATTCCCCTTCTTTTAACATATTTGGTGTTTTTGTTTTGTTGCTTTATCGATTTCGTGTGTTATTTTTAGCGTTTTGATTTGCATAGATATGTATGTATGTACAAGTATGTATGCTTGCGTGCTCCTTGTACACATGTATTTGTATATTACAGTAACAGACACATATGTATGTATATGTGCGCTGGTTTATTTTGTTTTTGGTTCGGATGCTACATATACTATCATATATGTACATACTACATCTAACTTGTGGGTTTAGGAACATGGGATATTGCTAGGTTTAAGTTATTTGAAGAAACACTTTTTTACAAACCAGCAAGGAATCAAACCGCAAATAATAACCATTAAACAAAAGTTAGTCTATTACAATTCATAGCGAAACAAGTCACAAAAGTCTGCATAAAACATTTTTAACAGCCGTTAAGGTAACCATTTGAAATCGGAAAACTATATTAATAGCGAAAACGTGCATTTGATCGCATTTTTCTCAATATTTCGATTATATTTATATTATCATTGGGCTTAATTTAGCTTCAATATTCATATAATATATTTAAATACATAGATTAATAAGAACATGCAAATTTATTCATCGGAGATTCATTGTATTTTTACATTTTCTAATGAAATAAAAGTCAATGTACCAAAACGGAATATTGAAGAAACTGGAGCTGTAACAAAACCTGTTAAATGAAACATTATTTTCGTTATGTAGAAGAACCGAATTCAAAACATAAATGAAATTCGGTTTGATTCCCTAAAAACACCCTCTATTTAAATAAATAAATATGTATGCATACACATAAGCTAAATAATTGTGATGTCACTTTCAGCTCCGATTACAGCATGTTGGGGCGAAATTTTTTGGCAGTGTTTCTGCTAGCCAGCTGCAGCTTGGCACACGCCTATCCCGCGCTGCTGCCATATATCTATAGTAAGTAATGAGCCCCATTATTAAATCAAGTTCACGCTGCCAACATTGTTGTGCACCCACAGATCCGTCACATGATTTGCGTCCAGTTAAGCGTAGTGATGACGCTTTCCCCCAAATAGAGGACGATGTGGGCGAGCTGGATCAATTGCGCAGCAAGCACACGGACCTAAATAAAAGACAGCACGAGGGCCATAATGACTCCACCACTACCGTCAAAGAGGAGGAGGAGCAGCAGGAGCCCGTCATAAGTAATACAAACACCTTGCCCGATCTGGAACGACAGCTAGAGGTGGCTACACCACTTATGTCCACAACAACAACCAGTGCGTCGGCCACAACTATTGCTTCAAAGGAGGAAGGCGAACGCTCGCAACTGGAAGAGCCTAAAACAGCTGCCAGGCCGCCACCGGAGCCAACCGCGCATTCAAAGGTGAGTGTTGACAATGGTTACATCCTACTGCTTCATCAGTCTATTGCAATGCTGAGGCTAACCTCGTGTAAACGCTTTACATATGAACATATATATGTTATTGCTATGTGTCTTTTGAATATCCAAGTGTATATCCACAAAACCACCCAAAAATCAACAGGCATTTTACGGTGCAGCGCGTTTAGCCTTCGGTCAGAATCCAGAAGTGTTGCCCACATCTTCAACAACAACTACCACGTCCACGACTACTGCTGCGACCGCGCTGCCTGGTGAAACCAAGAGCGAAGGTGAATCCATGGCGACAGACGTCGGCAGCGGACCAGGAGTGGAAACTGCTGTGGCCGAGACTGTAGCAGTAGATGTTGCCGGTGAACCGGAGGCAGAAAGTGCGTTAACTCCGTCTAAATCGCCGGAACAACAAAAGGAGCTAAATAAGGAAACCATTGGAGACATTTTATTTGAGCAGTTGGAGGCGGCCGCGGCTAAGACCGCAGAACGACGTTCCAGTGTTCCGCAGCTTATGCCCAAGGTTCTTATAATAATTTCATACTCGTCCATCACAGAAACTGAAATCATGTCAGTGAATGGCAAATCAATTGGCAACTGCTTGGAAATTTTTCGTATACCATACATCACAGCCAGTCCTACAGTTCCATTAAGCATATCCCACATTTTTCTATTGCAGACCGCTCAGAGCTTGCTACGTAGTCAGAATGGACAGTATTCGTCTTTTGATATGGCTCAGTATGTCTTTTGGACTGGCGACGAAGCTGGCGTGGCCCGTGCCGTGGAGGAGCTCATCAATGAGAATTTGGTGAGTCATTTTTTAGCCTTGAGCCACATTTGGCAACTCTTTAATCTAATCCTCGACTGTCTGCCTAAATAGATAACGCGGGAGAACGCCTTGAAATTTTTGCGTGACATTCGTCTGGGCATTGAGTTCTTACAGCGCTCCTATGCCAATCGTATATTCCCGGAGGAACTGCATCAGAATCATCTTAAACGCAACAGTCCGCCCAGCCCTTCGACGACCTCAACGACAACGTCCACAACAACAACAACAAGCAGCACTACTACTGAGAAACCGTTGCCTTTTGAACACTTGGAGAGCGCCTTAAATGAGAATAGGCAAGTGAAGCCCCTAGACAGTTTCTCGTTTTGGAGTAAGCTCCGTGAATTAGATCATGAGGGAGAGGGACATCAAGGTGCGTATGCAGCGGAATATGATGGAAACTCCATGCGTAATACTATTCACTTTTAGATCTGACAGATTATGACGACACCATGGGTCGCGGTCGAGCCAAGATTGTTGAATACTTGTATAATGAATATAGCTTGGAGGAAATACTCTACAATCTGGCTAGGGTAAGAACCTAGCATTCGATTTCACAGTGTCATTTGAAAATAATACATCCTTATTCTTTATAGGTCATGTTTGCTCAGTCTCTGGCACACGGTTCTGATGAAGCTCAACACGAACTACAGAAACTAACCGACTTTCTTGAGCGTGAAGGCAATCTCGGTGTGATACCCGTGGATTTACAAAAGAAAGTCTTGCGTACGTGCTAGAATAATATTGATTTTAATGAAGTCAAGAGTAACATTTATGTATATTTCCCAATATTCTAGGTGTTCTACTGACGGCGTTGTCAGACACGCTAACCGAACATCCGGAATTATTACCCGCAGCTCGGTCGAATTTAGCTAATCCATATTATCGGCTTCCTATGCACACTCCAAGTCAATGAAGAGTTAATGTTTCAAAGGTTATCAGAAATATATACTTACTTAAATATACAAATGCATAATCTACAAAGGAATATAGAAATTTACATACGAGTATATAAATCAACGCATAATTTGTTATACAATTCCGGATGGAAACGGCGCAACTCAATTTTCGATACTTTATTTAATCAGAAAGAAGCCCCTATTCATAATAACAATCCTTCGATTATAGAGGACTTGAATTACAGGCTGATTTATATACTCAATCGTTAAAGTTGATCGAAAATATAAATTGCGCCCTCTCCACCTGAGTGCAATAATAACATTAATAGACATACGTTTACAAACCTGTTCGTGTTTCCCAATTCGATCAAATTTGTTCGATTTTCAGAAACCGATCTTTAAGAGCTTGGTCGCGTTAGGCAATGGGAACAGATTTAACTGATACATATTATGTGTGTTTATATATACATAAGAAAAGTGCATAGTCTTGTTTTTTTACTTCAAGTATTGTTTTCAATTAACTTTGTTCTTTTTTTCTTATGTAGAAAAATTCTGTCTTAAAGTAGGACCACCTGTCGTGATATTTTCGTTGTACCTTCCAACCCAAAAATGAGAGACTTGTGCTTGTTGGAGCTTTTAATTATGTGAGAATGCATATAACCAAAAGTTTAAGTCATATGACATATAAAATTGGTACCGTTATATAAAATATAAATATTTAAAATGCGTTAGTTAGGAACAATGAGGTTGAAGTAAAAGTATCTCCCGTTTTGCTTTACTATATAATATTGATAGCCAATGAAGCAGGAAAGGACTTTGAGTCCGTATACAAATATCAGTTGTGAGAGAGACAACAAAATGTAAAAGTTCGTTCGATTTTCCTCCCCCTTTGCTTATACGTGCATAGAGTGAGCTTAAATTTCCATATTGATTGGCACTCGCATACATTATATTGATCGATAAATAATTTCTTATTTTACATGCTTGCCAGTTTGTATGTGTTATCTTTAACTATGTATGTAATGAAAAAACCGCTGTATCAAAAGATATCGAGTTAAACGAACATATAACATAAAATTAAAGCATATACACAAATACAAATATTGTTTAACAGAACTAACTATTTCAAGTTGTTTGATTGTTCGATTTCTACTGTTCCTTTTTGAGCTCTTCAGTTGCAGGTTCACTATTAAAAATCTTCTCAATTTCAGCGCGTTCGTCCTCATCGATATCCTGACCGTATTGCTTGGCTAGGTCTTCCAAGCGTTTTTGATTGTTTTTCAGATGTCCCGGTAGCCAGAACACTGTTTGTACCATTCTAAAATGTTATAGCACATAACTATTTAAATTTATTCATGCACTCCATCCACCACTTACTTTATAAGGATATAACCTGAAAATGCCAACAGTAAGCACAGGCAAGACGTTTTGACCATAGTCCAGTAATCCACAACAACTTGCTGATGCTTCATTTTCGTTAACAGATCTGATTTCCTTACTATTGAACTGCTCTTTATCGTATAAGCGATTAAACTATCATAAATATTCAAAAGGAATGGTTTGAAAGACGTGTCCATTAATGTTGTGGTCACGTTGTCATGGCAAGTATCAATGTGGGTGTTACAGTTTCAGACCCAATTTAATCAATAGACCGCCAGAAAACTGGCCACCTGCTCATTTCAGTCATGCACCCCCTGCGGGGCCCTGTAGGTTTAAAAGCTTATGTTGTTATACTTTCATGTTTTAATTAATTTCAATGGATTGGTTTAATGGTTTTTAATCAGTGTTTCAGTTAAGATTCACTGTATTTAATTCTAAAGCGATTAAATTTCTTAAAGAACGACGACCACTACCCTACCCCGGTACGGACACTTGACTTTTTCAATAAGTTCATATTGTACGTAGGTTCTCAGAAATTATAGTATATAGTATGACAGATCCCATGCGTAATCATATCCTACAAATACAAAGTTCAATTAGGCGTATTTATTTTTAAAATCAATATCTGATTACAAAATAAAATAAATAAAATATATCAGCACATTTTTGTCAGGGTTTAGTGTATTTGATGTTTGCAGTTCTGACAATATTGTAAATTTGACGTATTTATAAAAAATAAATACATGAGGGCTGATAAGATCTATATACTATACTACACACATATGTAGGTTTGATGATTTGCGCACATAAAACTTAACTCCCGGGGGGTAATTGTGGCAAACTGCCTCATTGGCAGTGCAATAAATTTGATTAGAAGCTTCTATCAAGATATACTGATAATACAAGTATGAAGAAGTACTGCCACTGCCGAAGATATTAGAAGTAGCTCGTGTCTTAGGTATAAAAGACCTCACTTCAGAGCGATGAACCATTCAGAATACCATGAAGAGGCAAATATTACTAGCATGCTTGGTGCTTGGCATCTTGGGCTGCGCCATGGGTGCAGATAGGCCCATTTCAGATTGCGTAAGTCATGGAGTGAATAAAATAAGAAATAAAGATCACCAAAAAATCGCTATTCATATTTCAGGGTGAGCGTATCGAGAACGATGGGTATCCAATGGAGCGCCACAAGGTGACAACCTCAGACGGCTACATCTTGACTATGCATCGCATTCCATACTCCCCGAAGACCGGGAATACGGGCAACCGTCCGGTTGCTTTCTTGATGCATGGTATGCTGAGCTCATCTTCGGATTGGGTGCTGATGGGACCGGGCAAGGCTCTGGCCTACATCTTGTCCGATGCTGGCTATGATGTTTGGATGGGCAACGCCCGTGGCAATACCTATTCCAAATCGCACAAAATCTGGCCCACTTACGTGCAAGCCTTCTGGAATTTCAGCTGGAACGAAATAGGCATTTACGATGTGCCTGCCATGATCGACTATGTTTTGGGTGTAACCGGAGAGAAGCAAATGCACTATGTTGGTCACTCGCAAGGCACCACTGTCTATCTGGTTATGATGTCTGAGAAGCCTTCGTATAATGATAAGGTGAAGTCGGCACATTTATTGGGTCCAGCAGCCTACATGGGAAATATGAAGAGTCCCATGACACGTGCCTTTGCTCCAATTATGGGTCAGTATATAAAATGAGGAAATAGTGAAACCCAACAAATATTTCAATATAAAATGGACAGGTCAGCCCAATACCATGGTGGAACTTGTCGGTTCCATGGAATTTATGCCCAGCAATAAGTTCAAGCAGGATCTGGGCATTGAGATGTGCCAAGCTACCTCGCCATATGCCGAAATGTGCGCCAATGAAATCTTCTTGATTGGTGGCTATGACTCCGAACAGCTGGACTATGTAAGTATTTGCTTACGAACCAATTAGGATTCCTGCTTACAAGCTATTTCTCGCAGGAACTGTTGGAGCACATCAAGGCCACCTCACCCGCTGGTGCTTCGGTTAACCAGAACATTCACTTCTGCCAGGAGTACAATTCAAAAATGTTCCGCAAATTCGACTATTCAGTGGTTCGCAATCCCTACGAATATGGAAGCTATTTTCCACCTGAATACAAACTACAGAACGTTAAGTCCCCAGTTCTACTATACTACGGAGCTAATGACTGGATGTGCGATATCAGCGATGTTCGTAAGCTGCGCGACGAACTTCCAACGAACGCAATGGCACTAGACTACCTTGTTCCGTTCCCGAAATGGGCCCACCTTGACTTTATCTGGGGCACAGAGGCCAAGAAATATGTGTATGATGAGGTCCTTAAGCAAATTGATTCTTACAATTGAATTTCGTGTATTCAAAATCAATAAAATGCTCCGATTTTCTTTACACTCTATTCGACCTTCGCATGCGCTATGTATTCCAGTTTGATCTGCTCGTCCTTAATTAGTTTACTAATAATGCGATAGCGACCCGGCTGTAGATACTTCGTCAATGCCGATGCATCGAAAGGATAGTCCTTGATCCGATAAGTTTCTGGCGTTACGGGGCAGGTATCCGGATCGGGTGCATTGGAATATTCCTTGAGCTTCTCATAGAAATGCTTTTTGTAATATGAGCCTAGCACCTCACACACGCCCATTGAAGGAAATTTCGCAAGTTCCTCATATTTGTCGTCTGGCTTTTCAGCATAACTAACCACTATATGGACCTTTAAAGAAACTATTATTATGAATACAACACTTGAAGCTACAAAAATGTCCTCCATTACCTTCCATTCGTCGTCCATCTCTTTTAGCTGCTTGAACTCGCCACTGATCTTTGTCACTTCGTCCTCGCCATCCTTTTCCAAGTGGAGATCACTCTGTAGATCATTAGTATCCTCGACGGACTTTTCAAGCTTCAGCAGCTTGAACTTATGCTCCTTCTCACCGCTAATGATTCCAATTAGCACGCAGCACAGTAATACGTGTTTGTATAGTGGTAAGGCCATTTTGCTTCCAAATGATAAATTAGCTGGGGACACTTTGCTTTATATGGCATAAATTTTATTGCATGTTCATATAGACACACCCATTTACACTTGTAGCGGAAGCTGTGATTTATCTTCACATGGATGGGGCTGTCCTAGCACAATTAATAATTGAAACTATTACTGTTTCATGAAATTTCATTTATTGCAAAGCAGTCTTAATTAATAAAGCAACAACAGATACAGATTTACAAAAAATTAACAACACTGCAATTATTTCTAATGCACACATAAAATTGTCAGTATAAATGGTAAATGTATCTAAACGTGTAAGTGCATATGCACAGATACGTATTTAGATAGAGCTCAATATATTTTTAAAAGCAATTCCGGTACGTATGTATGTTTGCAACAATAAAAGCTTAAATAACTGTTTCTACTTAATTATGCAGTTCACGACGTTTGGTAGCCCCATTGCAGCTGGAATGTAAGTATTGCATTCAAGTTACTCAACAAATTTGGCCAGCAAAGTTATAAATTAAAAAAAACAATGGCTTCCAGCATCTATTTGCGACTAAATAGGAAACCAATTACAGGGTTTATACCCTTAAATGGCGGCTGAGGATGCAGTGGGCTTCGGCTGAGGCACAAATCCAAAATTCAAACGAAGTTGCTCCAAAAACACGAACGTTATAATGGTATGTGGGCCGAGCCGAACAAATGCGGGAATATAGCCCTTAAAGAATCCAAGTGGGCCCAGCTTAGCAGTATGCCTGACAATGTCCCATAGGCCGTTAAACTCGCCGGGCTTCGCGTTCATGGATCGTGTCTTGAGCACATCTAGAGGTTGTGTGAGTGTTGTCGCGATGGTACCGGCCACCAGGGAGGCGGTGAAATGCGTGATCAAGTTGTCTTTAAAGTAGGGCGTTGACAGCAAATATACCTTGGTCTGATCATAGATAGCGATCTGGCCAATTGTCATCATAATGCCACGACCCGTGGCCGTTGTGGCACCAGAGAAAAGACGCGTAAAACCTTCTTGCCGATACACTTTGTACAGTCCGTCTATTGCGTTTTTGTAGCTATTAAATTAGAATTAAATAAGTTGGTTAAGGGGATGTTGTCCGATAGTGTAGGGTGAACTCACTTTCTGCGCTGCTCCACCGGTAACTTAACATCATTCTGCATGCGAACATTAACCATATCAGCTGGGGTGCCTATTATGCCGCCCGCGAGTCCAGCCATGCCAGCAAGAGCTATCTTGCCAAGGAATGTATCTGTGCTGATGTGTTGCTTGCCAACCTCGTACACTCCAAAGCGTGTCGTTGAATAGGTAAGCTGGCGAAGCATCGAGGCGGAGAGACCATTATAGAATGCGAGCACTCCCTGTTCGCGTATAATTTTAGGAACCAGCTGAAGCACGGACAATTTGCCCTGCTGCGTCTGCAGTGTCACCTTTATCAAATCCAATGGATGAGTGCAACAAGCAGCACCCGCCGAAGCTAGGCCGCCGAAGTACCAACGAGATTGTTTTTTGGACGTCATTTTGTGGGGAATTCTCTCCGTAGGTACAATGTTAACTGTAAAGTATATGGACTACATTAGATTAATAAATCGGTTTACAGGACATGCTTTATTTACACTAATATGTACATAAAAATACACCTATAGACCAAAATACATATGCTCTTTTGAATCTTAAGCTTCTGCTATGCAATAGTATACGTCATTTTGGTTGATTTGTAGCTGATCAAGTAGTTATGTCATTGATAAACGTGCACTTGCTCTGACCGCATACAGGAACTGATTAATATGCGAAAGGACATACACACAAAAACAGCTGAGCCATTACGTGGACGGTGAAAAGCTTAGATCGAAGCTCCGCCAATTTCCGCGCCCATTTTACACTTTGCAGCACTGCAAATTGTAAACAGGAGTGCAGTGCTGCCACTCCTATTTATAGTGCTTATAAACTTTTTTAATAAAACTGGCAGCGCAAATGTAAAAATCGTCTATCGATTACAATTGAGTAAAGCTCGCTACCGTGTGTTTTCATGTGAGAATTTTTGTTTCGTAAACATTACTATTAAATACAATCCATGTGTATGAGTGCAAAATTGTAGTACGGTTTTTATTGGTAAGTTGATGACGGGTGCGCAAACCTTTGCAGGAGTACCACATTGATTTGTTTCTGTCGATGCATATTCAATTGTTGTTGGAGCAGTAGATGCATTTTTCACATATCTATGTATGTTATTTATATATGTATGTATATACATACTATGTACAAATGTATTATTATAAACATGCAACTGGAAAGCGGTTGCTGATATTGGCATCAGACACGTGCTTCATCGCTCATTATTTTATATTTGGCAGCTTCAGCTGTTGGTAACATGATAAGCCAATTGTTTGCTGTCATAAATAAATATTGCCCGTCTTATACATTTTAATTGCCTCGATGCCGCGCGCTTATCGAGTTTTATGTATATTTGGTACAACGTGTCATGTATTGATATTTTGTTTATTAAAATACATATTATGTACATAGTGTGTACTCATGATTATGTATGTTATGTGCACATGAGTACTTAACACAAATCGCAGCACTCAACATTAATATTAATAGGTTTCTTCATTGGTATTTGTAGATAAGAATAATATGTACATACGAGTGTGTACATACATTCTTACATATATATGTATGTATGTACATATGTTTGTGTGTAAAAAGCCACGTGCGGCACCACATTTTATATATCCATACATAAATAACACTCGCCCACATTCGGCTGCAATATTTTTGTTGTGAATTCTGTGACGGTGGCTGTTCTGTTTTGCTATTCTGTTTTGGATTCTCTCCCATCATAAAAGCATATGGATGTAGCACGGTCAAAGTCAAACTATACGTTCCGGTTTATGGGTATATTTATATACATTATCACATGATCGATACTCGTATATATTATGTACATACATATGTATGAACAAGTATGTTTATGGGCTAGTCGCGCCCCTAAAAGAATTGTTCGGTGCCTTGAACAGCTGATGCATATCGTCGCCTAGCAGCAAGAAATGTCCGTTGTCGTAATCAATGTCACGTAATAATAAAACATCGTTCGATGATCAGCTCAGTTTTAAGATTCCATTAGGTGGATGATAAGAGCGTCTGCCTGTTGTTAGTGTTAGTTTTTGCACTTGTCATGCTGTCTACTGTCCCACAAAAGCACACACGCGCTTCTAACAAAAATTGAATAATAAATTGGTGTAAATCGCTGCAATTGCGTGCAGCCCGTTGTTAGGAGCTGTTTCATTTGACAATGAATTCTCGTCACTCTCCAATATGCAAATACCCTAACTAATTTAAGCATGTCATTGAGCTGTGAAGTGCCGGTTTTATAATATTTGAAAGATAATTGAAACTCACCTTTCACCGCTCCTTGTTTTTGATTTAATTTTGTTTTGGTTGTTGGACTTACACACGAATCGGGCACATAGAGAAAATAAACATGCGGCACCCTTCAACGCGAAGTCACTGGCCACAAAAACTGGTCTAACTCACTGTCCGTTTCGCAATGTCCGTCCGACTGGAGGAAAGCGTCGCAAACGTATCGTCTGAGCACAGAAAACGTACTGATCGCCAGTTTATGATGTATGCCGACGATGGTCTATACAAACGCGCTCTCCACATGTCGGTCTACACTCAGCAAACGCAAACTGTTTAAGTTTTAGTTTATCGCTGGTTTTCAAGTGATGGTGCGGTCACAGCGGGCACTTCCGAAACGCTCATGACAGCAGCTAAAAGTGTAAGGCTTGAGTTAGTCAGTCGTTGGATGCTCTAGCGGCAGATACAGCCGGAGTGGGTCGAAGAGAGCCACAGTCCCCCATTTGAAGCCAAAGCGATCATAAACTGGTGAGAGCTTTTAATTGAATGACGCGTGCTCTCTCACTGTATTCTTTGCTGTATTTGAGTGTGTGTGTGTGTGTGTACGATTGTTGGTTGCACAATATACAATAACAAAATACATATTTGTGTACGTGTCTTGTAATCATTTAAGAATTATAAACCGCGGCGTGTTGGGCCGGGCCGGTCGAATAAAGCATTTCATTGCCGCAATAACATATTGTACACAACTTTTTGGCAAAATACACATGTATGTACATACATACATATAAAGACTTTTTATCTATTTATTTCTAGTGGCTGTCCATATTGCCCTCAGTTACTTTTCCGTTAAACATATAGTACGTACCTTTATATGTACATACATGTGTATTTTGCCAAAAGTTGTGAACAATATGTTATTGTGGCAATGAAATGCTTGACTAGTACATTTTTACATACCTATGTATGTATGTATGTTTATGCTTTTACTAAATTAAATTAATTAAACTTTGTGGAGTGTGCCCCACTGTCTATGTATATTCACACTTCATTGCTTGCACTGTTTACCTCAAGGTTTCATTGTTAGGTTTCATTATTATACCCTGTACCCAAAAGGGTACAAGGGTATATTAGTTTTGTGCGAGTGCACATGGAACACACAGAAGGAGGCTTGGTAGACCCCACAAAGTATATATATTCTTGATCAGCATGACAAGCCGAGTCGATATAGCCATGTCCGTCTGTCCGTCTGTCTGTCCGTCTGTCCGTCTGTCTGTCTGTATGAACGCAAGGATCTCCGAAAGTATAAGAGCTAGAATAACCAAACTTGGTATACAGATTCTCCTGAGACCGAGAAAGGACGAGTTTGTTCATTTTTTCTGATCCACCCCCCCACTCCCCCCCTATTAACGATTTTCTATAACTTCCGTAATTCTTGGAATTTTGAACTAAAATTTGGTAGTCATATTAGGTTAGTTATTATATAACCGTATACCAAGTCTCATTATGATAGAATGATCGGAAAGAAAGTTATAGCCATATAACCAGGCCCAATGCACACATACATACATATGTACAAGTACACAAACACGCATAAGGCACGATTCTGATGTAAATGTAAATGTATGTATGCATGCATGGAATATTTTATATTTAATTTAGTTAATTAATTAAATTAATTTAGTTAATTAATTAAATTTAATTAATTAATTAATTTAATTACTTTTTTGTGGGGTGGTACAGGGTATTTAAGAGTTGAGCCTGCTCGACTTTAGCATTCCTTTCTTGTTTTTGCGTTAGAAACGTATGTCTGTATGTATGTATATGATCTCGTAAGTACTTATGTATATGTATAAATATGTATAATAGGTAAAATATACATACATATGCATGTATGCAGAAAATCAACGTTGTTGTCGGACAAGGAATAGGTGTGAAGATATATGTATGTACCCCCCACCCAAATTCGAATTTCGCGAACATTTGGTTTATTATTTGCATGTTTAAAAACTATTTCAACAGTCGGCTGCACGTTTGCGTATTTAAAGTAAATTAGCACATTAACTAGAATATAACATGCTAAGATATTTTAGCAGATTTCAAGACGCGTTAACTTTAAACTAAATAACGTTGTGTCAATGAAAACATACATATGTCTGTACAATATAACAAATTAAAAAAACTAAACGAACAAAAATAAATTCTTAAGCGGCTTAAGAATAAAAATAGCAGATGAGGGCTTTAAAAGCTCGCCCAAGCATTGAGCTTTATGGCCTTAATATGCATTTGGCACGGCGGATGCCATCGGCCCATTAGCTCAGTTGGTTAGAGCGTCGTGCTAATAACGCGAAGGTCGCGGGTTCGATCCCCTCATGGGCCAATTTACTATTCTTTTTATTTTATTGTATATTATTTATTTCATTTTATTTACCTAAGTTCTGGCTTCTTTTTTCGACTACTATCTAAGAAATATTAAAAGAACTCCAGGGGCTCGTAATTTTACTTTCAATTTATCTACCTTTTTCTTATTGAATTTCAGCATCGCCTTTTCATTAGCTCATAACATGGCCGCATCAGTTCTGCTCGCCTGCGGTCTAAACGAGCAAAAGTTGCCCGGTTTCGTGCACATCAGCGAGGAGTCCAATGTGGATGGCAGCTTCCTCATCAGTTGCATACTAGGCCAGCGTCTGCGCATCTCCAACGCCGGCACCCTACTTGTCTGTCTTCAGCATCACTACCAGCACTATTTCAATGCCGGCATGCGGTTGGGTTACAACTCTAATATATTTTTGGGAAAGACGTTGAATGTGATTGACGCGCTCAGTGATATGTCACGGCATGGCTTAAGTTCAAAATGGCTGCGTACGCCGGACGGTCGTACGTTGACTGATCAGCTAATCTCCGATATACGCGCCCATTTGGCCAGCAATTATGGTAGTCGCAACAGCATAACTATATTGATTGACAATCTGTCGATACTTTTCAACCTGGGCGCCACAAAATTGCAGGTGCAGCAATTCTGTCAGGCACTCGCTGCCATTGCTAAGGAGCACGATAATCTTACTGTCATTACAAAACTGAGCAATAGCGACATCCATCAGCTAACGGATAACAACGTGGCCAAGTGCTCATCAGTGCGCATCAGCGTCCTTAAGCTAAAGAGCGGGGTATTTCGAGAGGTCGATGGGAAGCTGTTAATAGAAAAAGTAATTGACGAGGGCAGCTATGCCTGCGAAGAGTCTCGCAAGGAGGTCCTCTATAAAGTCAATGATCGCAATGTAAAAATATTTAATCCCGGTGAAATTGGCGTTAAGGTTTAGATGAATTTTTATGGGTTTTTCTTTCTCTTTCGATGGAATTTAATAAAGCGAAATTTTTGTATAATCTAACCTAAAACATTTCAATTCTAGATCTAGTAGGTGTGGGGAAAATATGTTCAACTTTTTGTTTGAAGGTAAGTAATGAGAGCTTCCAAGCTCACAGCTGTAAGCGAAATTGTATGATGCACCTAACACTGATAACAGGACTCACCAATCAATGTGAGTTGATTTGCATTGGTGTGAAATAATTACAATTTATGTTAGCCAGTGTAAAAATGCCCTAAACGTATGCAAAGGCTTCACAACCTACGACAAGAAAAGCTTGTTGGCGTTACTTGACGAAACATTTCTCAACATTTGGTAGCACTGCGAAGCTTTTGAGGTTGATAGCTTTTTCCAACAGCTTATAACAGTGCCCGAGACTTTTAACGGATTTAGATCGGTTTGACTCCAAGTGAAGCGGTAGTACGCGACGTGACTCTCTTGGTTGAAATGTGCTTGTGCAAATAAATACCGATAAGACTTAAGTAATCATTTCGTCGGTAGATATTATTTTTGTATACAATTCCTAAAAATGAGTGGCGTGTTGCGTCGCGGATCCTTGAATTTTGATCGTCATGGCTCGCGCGGTAGCCTTGATGGCAACCTCAGCGACGAAACAAAGCAAGTGCCGCGAACTCCGGAAGTTAGTGTCATAGCTTTGGACTTCCGGCGCCACTCTAATGATCTGAAGAAGGACGTGCGGGAAAACGAAAACAGTGATGTGTCGCCCAGGGACTTGAGTCAGGACATTGACAGCGATGTGATATCAAACTTTATTGGACACTATAGGAAATGGAGTTTCTTGTGGACGTTCATTTTGTGCCTGTTCCAGGTTCCCACCACCTTTCATTTGTTTATGCATGTGTTTTATGTAAGTTATTAACGAAATACTTGTAGTATGCATTTCGAATTGTAAACACGAAAACATATGTTTGCGTATATGTACTCGTATTTAAACAATTAATTGCTTTGTAAACAAACAGTTGCCTTTAAATGGCAACTCATATATTTTTTGGCTTTTTAAGCTTGACATGGTTTGGAAATTATAAATCTAACATTGAAAAAGCCGGCTGAGTAAAGGTAAGAGCAAAAGTGTTTCAAAAATGGCAAAAAAAAATCATTTCTCGGCACAATGTAATCGCATACACAAACAATTGATAAGAAGACATGTTTCTTATTGTGATAATTAATTTGAACGGCCCACGGCTTCTATCGACTGGAAATGTGTCAACTGAAGTGCCCAGATAGCCATTAGTTATAAATCGAGCGTCCATTAGCTGTTGTAGGCAAGCAGGCGTGCAATTGGGACGTCGACGTCGCGTGTGGCAAGCCCAAGCCTCGAGCATGACTTGCCAACCTCATAAGCTCAATAGCCCAGTTTGGCATCGAAGCGGCCTTCAGGCGCTACTTGGCGAACGCTTTTCGAGTACTTCGCATATCATACTATACTATTATTAATATACGTGTACATACTTGTATGTATATGGACTGCGCTTTGATACGCACTTATTGAGCTTCATATGTGCATTGTATAATTTACAGCCATCATTTGTCAAATCGTCAATATTGCAACATTATTACTACACATTTAGCATACTTATCTACGGTCTTTGTTTAGTGCTCTTGCGTGAGTTTCTAAATTACTGAGAGCCAGATGAAGCTCCGATTTGAAAAGATGCCATCAAATTGCGCGGTTCAATAAACGATAATCATGGTAATCGCCATCAACAAGTGTGCTAATGTTGTAATGACAAACGAATAGCCACAAATTGCCTTGACACAGACGAATTGTTAACCTAATGGCGGCGAAACACTTCCACGTGAGCAATTTCAACTTCTAATCATTATAAATTTAACACGGCTTAGTTTGAATCCGCAAATACTTCATCTCGAAACCTTAGTATTTCCATAATCACTAAAGACAATAAATCCTGAGCTCATCTTAAATAATTACTTGTTGGTAGTAAATAATTTATGATTTAAGTAGAAGCAAACGTTTTTTGGCCCCCTCGGAAACAGTTTTAGTTTGAATATACTTTATACTTAGTAAATCAGCCTATGTGCATCACAAAACTATGGACAGCAACAATGTGAGCGATTCGTAACCCTCTCCAATTTATCATAAAGTTCGCACATATACATAGGTTGAGTGGAAATATCCTTTGTAATGTAGAACTATTATGGGGCGTAGGATGAATCAGATAACTTATAGCCGTCGAAAAATCTTGATACTTGAACACCCCTTAGGGAATATGTCTCTTTAATATGTTCACTTGCTATGTTTTACTTGCTGGGCCCCTCTTTATGACGGCGCATCTGTAATTTTAATAAGAAAACCCACATGTATATGTATCTTAATGAACTGAGCTCAATAAGCTGCTTACACACTCTTCTCTCTGCCTGAGAAATACACGTTTGTAAGAATGCAAAAATCAAGCTTACAAATAATTCGTTCAATATTAACTAAAATTTTTGCAAACCCTCAACATCAGTTGATTTGCATCCGGAGTCAAATGCAGTTGCACATTCACTTCTCGGTCGCATAGACACGTTTAGCGCAACAAAATGCAGCAAGTGAATAGTAGAGTGGAGTCCGCGCCCATGCTTCCGCTCCGGCTGGGTGGCAGAAATCTAACAGCGGAAGAGTTGGAGCAGCTGCAAATCAAGACATTGGATCGATTTCTTGGTATTGGCGTCTTGGGTCGGTGGCAAAGACTCTGGTGTTTGTTGTTATCCATTTATCAGGGCGCTTGCACATTTCATATCTTTAGCTACGTATTTCAGGTGAGTCGTGCTGGGCTCTTAAATCATTGCACTTTTTGGCTAATTTAAACAGCTGCGTAATTGTTAGGACCGACCTGTTTCACAACCACTTTTGACTCGTAACTAGTTCAGTGACTTTTAAGTACACAGACATCAAGCAGAATTTAAATTATGTGCGAGTGTGCAGCAATTATGGAAGAGGCGCCGGCATCGGCTTCAGCATCAAACACGTTTGCAAAACCGCTTTGCAAATTCGACGTCTTTTTTAGTTCCAAAAAATTTGTCGCAATGCAATGCACACTCTATTTTCGGGATGACATAGATTTTTCAATAAAACTTTACTGATTCTTTATATGATAGGGTATATCAGCTGGCTAGTCCGTTGGCCAAAGCAAAAGCGAACAATCAAGGTTAACATCGACTTGAAAAGGTCGTGCTCTTGCCTGCAGCTAGTGTTGACCGCTAAAATATCTAAATATATTAATTAAACAACCATAATATGTAAAGTAACTGAACATTTGTGGGGGCACAGTGGTGCACAGCGTTCTCTGGCAATAGGAATTTATTTATTGTTGCCATAAACTGGAGCGTAATAGACGACTCTGCACCAATTACGAGAAATACTCGTATAATAATAAGCACCTATGTTGGGGCTAAACTCAATATTCACATTGTGTCAGTCTTTAGTTAATTATTTGTTAAATGACAAATCGTACCTATAACTATCAAAATACTGATGTCCAGCAATAACAACTGTGAAGCTGTTTGTTTATGTGAACCATAGTTGATGGCAAATTTATAAATATAAAGCGGATATGCCATTAAATGAGAATATACAATTGGCGAAAGAATTAAGCTTCAAGAACGAGAATGTATTCAAAATCTAAATTGAATAATGACTGTTGACAGGAGGCATGAAATAATCAGCCGTTTGGGTATTATCTTTTGCCTAAAAATCTGCTGGTCATTTCAATATAAATGAAAATGGAAAAAACCCCGCTTTGAAGACGATTTAAAGTAGTAAGCAACATAAGTATAGTGGTGCTATTTTCGATTTCTGAACACACTGTCTCAGGGACAGCCACTTAGATATCTAAGACTTCATTAGAACACATGCACATGCACATGCAGATGCAGAATCTGTGTGCAATAATGTTGTATGTAAACCCATACATCAAAACTAATCCGCCTCCCAGTCGATTGCAAAGCCCACGCCACGAAATTCCATTGTGTTCTTTATGCGAAACATGCAAATGTCTGAAACGTGACAGAATCACCAACAAGTGTCGTGTCGATCAAATCACAGCCCACTAAAAGACCCAGCATGTCGAAAAATACAATAAAAAACCGGTGATCGGTGTTTATTTGAAGAAAATTAACATTTTGTTGCTGCTCCCCTTTGAATCAATTAGGGGCACATGTATTACATGGCACTGTAATAAACGTATTTTACTTTCCATGTTTTGCGAACTTCAACTTGAACTTGAAACATTTTCCTGCCGCACAAACGACCGATAAACTGCTGAGGTTAACGTGTTACGCATACGCCCCGTTTCCGAGCTGCTAACGTTGTTATTAATTGCAGCATGTACTATATGTTACATAGTGGTGGCTTGTATTAACGATTCAATCAATCAGCATGGCAGAAATGAAAGCCGAAACTTGCTGCATTTACAAATATTAACAATCGAACATACTTACATGCATTTCCTTAGAGTTTATTACACTCCGAACCAATCAATATACGTACATAGTATGTATGTACGATTATTTGTGAAAAATTAAAAGGCCGTTTAATGAACCATTGAAATCCGAATGACACGCGGGCATCAAACTAAAACAATAAAAATGCATACACCTGTAATTAAAGCACGTTCAAGTGCTGGCGCACATTTTTATTCTCTAATTAAAAATATATTTTTTTTTTAACGAGCTTAGAAACTCTATTCCGCGACGAGTAATACTAAGAATGTATTTAGATTCTACTATATGTTCTTAATTCCAGACCACCGATAAGGACTTCTGGTGTGCGCGTCCCCCCCACTTGATGAATGTGAGTGTCTTCGAGTGGCGCAATCGGAGTCAGACAGGGAATGGTTGCAGTCTTCTCAACATTGACTACAACGAGGTGGCCTTTGACAATGGCCAGTGGCTTAATTGGCCAGAGAACTCTAGCAACGCTGGCTATGTAAAATGCCCGGAATTTGAATTTAGCGACGTGGATGGCGTTGCCCAGACATTGGTGCAGGAATTTGGACTGGTCTGTGATCGTCAAACCATGGGAAGCGTTGTAGAGATGTGCTTCTTGGCTGGAGCAGCTGTGGGCGCTGTATTGAGTGGTTGGATCTCGGATCGCTTCGGTCGCCGGCACACGCTCATGATCTTTGCCACAATACAAACATTTGTTGGTAAGTAAATTCCTGATATAATTGAGTAATGATTGACTCATTTAATGACTATATGTTTTCGATTATGTAGGGGGACTGTTAGCCTTTTCAAGGTCGCTGACCATGTACATGTCCTTACGGGTCATTGATGGATTCGCTTGCATGACCGTGACCGTGGTTGGCTTCGTGCTTGTGGTCGAGTTAGTATCCGGAAAATGGCGGACTATTATCGGTATACTAAACATACTGCCTGTGGCTATATCCTATGTCCTAGCAAGTGGTCTTGCCTACTTGATACGGGACTGGCGCACTTTGCAAAACGTTATATCTTGGCCTTTCCTGGCTTTACTTTGCATTTGGTAATTCATAATCGATTTGTTTTACACATATCTTATAAATAATTTTTGTTTTTGTTTAGGTACTGGCTGCCGGAATCACCTCGTTGGCTGCTTGCCCAGGGTCGTATAGAAGAGCTGGTCCTGCTCATTCGGCGAGCAGCTAGAATGAATGGCACCAGCTTGCCCGATAATTTTGAGAAAACCCTCGAGGCAGCTGTACCCGTCAGTGCGGCAGAGAATGGCAATTGCTCGGAAGGCGATTGCACTGCTGCCCAACCGAATCCCCTTTTCGTCGTGTTCAATAAACAATACCTCCGCACCACTTTACTGACCTTATTAATATGGTTGAACCTAATTATTATTTACTTTGGCCTGACCCTGCACCTTAACAATCTTGGTGGGCATGTTTATGAGAATAATGCTATAGCGGGTTCGCTGGAGGCCGTTTCGATCTGCATCAGCATTTTTGTGGTGTTGAAGTTTGGAATAAGACGAAGCCTGATTGCCTATATGCTGATACCGGGTCTTTGCTGTCTGGGCACAAACTTAGTGCCCCATGGAAGTGACAGTAGTCCCGGTGTTATTGCCTTGGCCATTATAGGTGGGTGAAATGGACGGGCTATCCATCTGCATGAGTTATTAACTCACAATCTCTCTTTACAGCTAAATGCTTGATCGGTGCCAATAATGCCATCATTCCAACCTATACGGCCATGCAATATCCAACTGTAGTGCGAAATTTTGGATTGGGCATGGGTAATATGGCGTCGGGTGTAGGTCTGATTCTGGTTCCTTATGTGTGGCTCTTGGTACGTATCAAATTATAAGCGTCTAATTATGCAGTTTTAATACGTATTTCTCGTTTAAAATAGGAACGATATGATTCACTTTTGCCATTAAACATTATGGGTGTATGCGGTATAATCGGCGCTGTTGCGATTCTGTTGATGAAGGATGTGAACTAGCCGGCCCTATAGTTTGCCTGCGTGACTGTGATATATCGGATATTGTCTGGGTGCTATGTACTACAAAAAGTTTTCTTTTCATTCACTCTAAATTTGTTAATTTATTTTGCATACTGTTCTTGTTATATAATAAACTATTTACATCTTTATTAAGCAACCATTTGCTGTGTTTTCTATGGATGAAAAAACAAAACGTTCGATCTTTTAGTATCTCAATATAAAAAAGTTGAAATGAGTTCTTTATAGTTATATAGGTTAGAAATACTGATCCCATATTAAATACTGAAATATGTCGAATGTGCTGTAAAACATCTAGTGCTTTCCACTTGTGAGATCCATTTTTGAAACAAAGAAATGAGCTTTAAACCCATTTTAATTCAATATGCGTTTAGCCTTCGAAATAAGAAATGATAAATTGACATGATAAAATTTGGACAATTCTTATTGATGTTTCCGAATCAATCGAACCCAGTTATCCTGACGATCTGTAATATAAATTTCAGTTCAGAGTAAGGCAATCCATTTTGCATTTGTCACAAAAATTGTTTCTTCTATTTTGATTTGCAGAAATTTTGCATTTGTTATTTTATAATTGTTTAACAATAAAATGTTAATTTAAGCAATATACTTTAAAGATAATAATAGTTGTCGTAACTTAAATAAAGATAACAATCAATAAACAAAGATTTCAAGCGTATTCACAACAAACCTGTTAACGTCTTCGCTCATTGCCTTAAGATTAAAAGAAGTCAATTAAGGATAACGATTGTTCAAATACGAAAGTTAACAACTTGGTTTTATTTTAAGAAAACAAAACCAACAATACTTTAGAGCATATTAAAAATACATATTAAAGAAAAAAGCCGCCAAGCAGGGCTTTAACTTTGGCAATTGCTTAATAAAAATGTATACAATTTGTATAATTAAGACGTTAACAACATATGAATACGCTTTTTGAATGATGAGGATAGTGTATCAGCGTGAAAAAAAAGATGTGCTTTAGTTCCTTGTATTGTGTGCGCTGGGACTTGATTGTGTACACTGAACATGCGGAGCTGTACCTAACCCATATCTATAAGTTTGTATCTGTGCCTCCAGCTTTATAGCACGCCTATTGAAATTTAATACAGAAATTTTTAAAGTATAAGTCTTCTCATAAAATTGACATTCGATCAATAGCCGCGTTTTATAAATACGTTTCATTTATAGATTTAAATTAGGTCCGTACATTAACACCTACATATTGTACAATTTCGTAAAGTTTTAAATAATCTATAACATACGATTTAACGACCACAATCAAGCACCTGGCATTATTATGGATACAGGCAAATTCTTCTCTTGCCTTATTCCTAGGGGCTTATCAATTTTGATTTTTTTCAGTTAGTAGCTACATTAAGCAGGAGGCTGGGTTGGACATCCATACATACATATTTGACTTTGAACTTGTCTGGTTTGCGCTGGGCTGACAATTTACTTCGCAAGGGTTAATTAACAGCTCAGTTTTGAAATTGTAATTTGATTACATATAATTTCTTTTTGCTCATGTATGCATACTTGTGTTTGTTTACTCTACAACGATCAACATAAATATATTCGTATATTCCTTTGAATTTGCAGTTTAAAAAAAAAATCGTAATATATAATAATAGTATATTACAAGGATGTTTTGTGTTTTTAGTTATTTTTTTTGTTGGATATATACCATTCCAAGTAACATAGATACAATAATGTTTTTATAACAAGAATTTCGTATTTTTTATATGACTTTGCCGTGTGTTTGTTTGTTTTTGTTTTTTGTTTTACTTTTTTCTTTATTGAGTTCGCGTGTGTGTTTGTGTGTGAGAGCGAGAGTTTTGTGCAACTTCAATTTAACCTCCGACTTTGGAGTGATAAAACTCTCTCACCGACTCCGCGCAGAGTATTCATGCAAAATTCGAGGGCGGTCCAGGCGTTTCGAACGTCGTGGGGCCGCCTCTGCTTTGTTTTGTCTTTAACTAATAGCTAAGCTTAAGTTTTAGCTGTCGCTCCTTTTAACACCTTGAAGTGTGCCCCTCACTCACAGCCTACGTACTGGAAAAGCCCCTGTCGTACGGACTCTTCACGTCGGTATGCCGCGTGTGCAAATTTATTGTAGGCGCCGCTGGTCGCGAAGATAGTTCGCAAACCGTCTTAATGGCACCCGCTGCATTCACTGTGGGTGGATTTGGATGAAGTGAGTCCTTTTGTGTTGAAGCTGCAGAAACATCCGGGGTGACTTCGTCATCTGCGGTTTTGGGCAGCACGTAGTCAGTGGATCGTGGGGCTAACTCCGATCGTCCTGCAATTGATGATTTATACTGTTCTGGTTTCAGGCCACACAAATAGAACTTGAAGAACTCATATGTGGACCAGCAGATGGCTGTGGCGGGCATGGAGTAGAGCACACGGGCCGTCATGCCCTTAAAGAAACCCAATGGACCCGCCATATGGTAGATCTGCAAGTATGTGTATTTCAATTTGTTGCTTTGGTTGTTTTAGTCGTACGCCTACATACCTGTCGGAAAGCCTCCATCATTCCTTTTGTAAGGCCCGTCTCCTGTGTATTCAGCAATGTTTTTACCACATCCAGCGGCGTCGTAATGGCTGCTGCTGAAGCGCCCGCTGCTGCACCCGCTAGCATATGTACCGGTGGATTATATTTCCGTTCAAGATTCAACTGTGGGCAGAAAATAAATTTGATAGAAGACGAACTACAAGGTGTATGGTTCATCGCTGAACAAGATTTCGTTTTTAAAACGATACAATTACAGTGATTTTTGTGTAGCACAACAGTTTTATCTCTAATTTACTAACCCTATTCTGAAAAAATTCATATGCGGTAAAATGTATTGTCTGATATGGGATATTCATGACCAGTTGCGTGGAATAGGAACGGTAAAAGGCGCGAAAACCTTCCTTTTTGTACACGTCACGCATGCAACTGATGACGGACTTGTAGGGCGAGTTATACATTTGCATTCGCTGCTTTATCACGTCCGTTGGACTGGAAATGGCATCGTGTATGAGCGTGGCCGTCGCGCCGGATAACACTGCAAAAGTTTAATTAAATTGTTTATTTAGGTGTCTTTGTTTTGTTACTCTTCTGTACTCACTGTAATTCAAATTGTTATGTGATGTGAATTTCGTCAATAGTTCTTTCGTCATTTCATATGCACCAAAGTACATTGCATGCGCTGGACCTGCCCCGATTATCACAGCACTAGCTCCACGTATTGGCCTTGTATGGATAATACGTTTTTTGTTAGAGAAACGTGTGCCAGACATCTTTTGAACACTTACCGCATCAGGCCCTCGCGTGTTATCATATTTTGAAAAGTAGCCATTATATTCATATGCGCATTGGGAGATGTTAGGCTTTGCATTCGAGTCTGTATGAAAGTAAATACAAAAATGTGAAATTTAGTTGCATTTAGATGAAATAAAACTAATCTTAAGTATAATTCATCTTTAAATGTGTAATATATACATACTTGTAAGCAAAGTCAGAGTTACGATGCAAAAATATTATTATTGCTCTGTGTGTATTATATTTTCTTTAAAATTTTTACTGGAAAATATAATTGACATCATATTTTGTTTTGTAAATGCTTTTAGGGGATTTATGGCTGGTGTTGTCTAGCATATAATTTGTATATTGTTGCCGATCGTTTTGGCATGATGCATACATAACTAATTTTTGCATTTCTAGTAAATAGAAAGATATCTATTCTTCAGATTAAATATTAACAAGACAAAATCTTAATGTAAGCATATACGTATGTATGTATGTATCTCAATACCGACCACTTCGGGTCTGACAGTTGAATGGGTGCTCAAAACCGGACAGCATCTGACGGCGCAGTTACGTTGCAATTAAAAATTGCCGGCATTTACACATACAGATTAGATTTCTTGGAATACTCCAGTCAGTTATCTCTATATATGTAGATATGCAATCAGAAAATTGTACAGTATTGTTTTATGAAGAGTACTCATACCAACTGAGCTGTTTATGAAAACTGAGCAATAGCAAAATAAACAGACACAATTTAATTGCTACTGCTACAGAGAATTATATATGGGGACAAGATTATATAAATGGGGGAATCAGACGCTGCAAAAAAATTGCTCCAAGTTTTGCGTTATACTGCAAATGACAGATATCACAGCATTAGGGTTTCAAAGATATTTTTGCGTGCATAGCAATATACGAGTACATATGTATATACATATGTATGTATTTACATCAAACGCAAAAAAATAAACGCATTCGATAACCCAAAACCGCAAGTCGTACACGCCCAGAATCAGTGAGACAGGCGTGGCACCGCCCCCAGCAGAGTGTCATTGCAATGTGTGACAAGCATATACATACATACTATATACTACAAATAACTGATAAGTCCGGTAATAGCTGTGGACCCTATGACAATTTCACAATCACATTCGTGATAACAAAAAAAATTAAAATAATTATTAATAAACTAAAAAGCGGAACGGGAGACAGACAGACTTAACAGTCCAATTCACTACGCTCAATTTTGTTCGATGTCGTAACGTTCGGATATCACCTCGTCAGGGCTATGCTGGTAATCCCCGCCTTACTTTAGTTTGTCATTTAATTGTGGCTGGAGTGTCAAGTCCCTGTCTGGCTCCCCGTCCACTGTCCAATACAGTAATCCGCACGCAATTGACATATACTTAGTATTCCGAAATTGATTTCAGCTGAGAAAATCAATAAATGGCAACACCCGGTTCGTTGGCGTTCCTGCTCCCTCGCCAACAAACCTGGAAAAATATATGTATGTACATACGTACAAAATTGAAATTGAGCATTTATTGTATTTAGTAAATGTACCAACTACAATGCATGTAATTGTGGAATATATACACACATATAGTACACATTTAGATGCATATGCATTTCTATGTACATATGTATATATATGCATGTAAGTAGGTGTGTATTTCTATATGCAAATTGTGGAATCCGATTACAAATAAATTATACGGCAAGCGCCCCGATCAAAGCAACGACGTGTTGATCGCTTTATAAAGCTCTCTATATGTACATACACACTACATGTATATGTATGTATGTATGTTTATTACATTAAAGAAACCCAACGGAGTCTTAACCAAACACACTATCTCATGACGTTCAACATTCTCTTTTTTGGCACTAGGCAGCATGACTACTAAATGGAATGAAGAAGTGTACTTGCCTCTGACTAATCTTATCAGGCATATTCTAAATCATGAGAACGTGTTTTGATAAGCATTTAAGGTAACAGCGTGCGCGATAAGCTTGTCGAAATTCACATTAGTGATGGCATTGTTTATTAAAAGGTCAGAACCTGGACTCCCTCGACTACAAGACAGCTGCAATGGCCACCACCTAATCACTTGAGTAGAAGTAGGAAGCGACGCGCGCACTTGCTAGGAATTACATCACGACGATTATGCCAAGGCACGGTATAAGACAAAAACAGTACTGCACACACAAGCATAGATGGATTTGTGAGGTTAGGTGCTGCGTTTTTGACCGCTGCTCCGATTACATGGCTTCACTAGAAACCAGCAGAGAACATAAGTGAATCGACTTGCACTCACCTTAACCGAGTCCAGTGGATACATGACAATATGCTCCAGTACACCCGCAATAGCGCCAGCAGTCATATTTACTCCGACACTTGTCGTCGGCAATGATTCGTAGTCATCCATATTCATGGCTATAAGTCGTGTTGCTGTTGTGGTGCTGTGTGGTGCCCTTGGTATAGGTGGTTAGGTTACTGCTGCGAAAATTCCTTTGCAACTTAGCTTCTGCCTCAGCCGTCTTCCAGCTCAAAGAATACCACAAATGTGTTCAGTGTGCGACCGACAATTTGTGCGTTTGCGTTATTGCTGTTTCTTTTGCTTTGACAGAGAGCTTTCTCTCCGTTTGTTTCGCTTTTTCCGACAATTTTCGCACCAGCAATTTTACACCAGCTGATAAGCGAGTACGACCACCTTTCTATCTATGCGTGCGGCTTCAAATTACAGACATATGTATGTGCATATGTATGTAAGCACTGGCATAAGTACACGAGGTTGTTCACAATGGGTTGAAGGACATAAAAATGTGCATCGATTGCCGGCGACGACGCGTTGTACTCTAATTTGCACTTGGTAATTTTGTTGTATAACACAGACCGAAAGGTAACACTATTATTAATTGACGCTCCACGCACAAGACGACAACGTAGGAAATGTTGAAGTTGATGCTGCTGCTTAGATAAGTTGAGTTTTGGAGCGATTGTGTTGCGGTGGCGCACGCAGTACATATGAATTAAAGAATATATTTATTTTACATGTAAGTGCGCCAAGCTTTAACTTTGTGTATGTTTGATAACTCACGCAAACGCTAAATGATTGAGAATCCCATCCATCCGTTGGTCTGCCACATTCTCGCGGATAGCTAGTGCGCAAAATAGTGGTTGCCCTACAAAAAGCGCTGCCCATCTGTCTTTGAAAGTGCTACCCATGCTACAATCGATAGGTTACTTCAAGCAGAATCAGTACCAAAAGCGACGACTGGAAATTGAATGTAGAAAAAAGCAAAAAGCACTTCGATTTTCATTCGGAATACAGAAAGTTATAGAAGTCTGTGGTGGTTGGTTGTGCGCTTTGTTGTATTAGTGACGTGGCCTTTTTGCCGAATTAAGTGGATTCACTTTTTTGCGGTCGAAAATAAAATAAAATCAGTAAAAATGAAGTATTTTTTGCTGCTTGGTGTTCTGCTGTTGGCAGGTATGTTTGCCACGCACTGTCGGACATGCCGGTATTTTAACCTAATTTTTTCACATTCTTATTAAACGCGCGTCTTAGGCATCAATCAAATCGCTGCAAACACTGATGGCGGCGATGAAAAGCCAGAGACAATTGACTTGAATATAGGCTCGTTTAAGGAAGGTTCTAGAACAGGTATGTCTCTGGTAACGCCCCCTTCCTAAGTGGTAGCGTGAAGTACACGTCAGCAGTTACCGATCAATTGCTGTAAACGCCTTTCTTATCTACACCCCACAGATGCCGAAACACTGAAACGTGAGGAAGAAGCTATCAAACTGGACGGGCTAAATATTGCTCAGCTTAAAGAATTGCGCGAGAAGGTTAATATACGCGGCTACATACGCAGACACATTACTTAGGTATGACGTATTATATTCTCGTTGTCTTCCACTTCTAGGCCGAGAAGTTCACTTTCCAAACCGAGGTGAACCGCATGATGAAGCTGATTATCAACTCCCTCTACCGTAACAAGGAAATTTTCTTGCGAGAACTGATCTCAAACGCTTCCGATGCTATTGATAAGATTCGTTTGTTGGCCCTGACTAATCGCAAGGAATTGGAAAGCAATCCAGACCTGCACATACGGATCAAGGCGGATAAAGAGAACAAAGTGTTGCACATTATGGACTCGGGCATTGGCATGACACACCAGGATCTCATTAATAACTTGGGCACAATTGCCAAATCGGGCACTGCTGATTTTTTGGCTAAAATGCAGGATCCCAGCAAGGCAGAAGGTCAGGACTTGAATGATATGATTGGTCAATTTGGCGTTGGTTTCTACTCGGCTTTTCTGGTTGCTGATCGTGTTGTGGTCACCACAAAGCACAACGATGACAAGCAATACATCTGGGAGTCGGATGCAAATAGTTTCAGCATTACTGAAGATCCCCGTGGCAATACCCTTAATAGGGGCTCTATTATTTCACTGTATTTAAAGGATGAAGCACAGGACTTTTTGGAGCAGGATACAGTGCGCGAACTGATACGCAAATATTCGCAATTCATTAATTTCCCAATTTTGATGTGGTCCAGTAAGACCGTTGACGAAGAAGTACCCATAGAGGAAGAAGCTTCTAAGCCAGAGAAGAGCGAGGACAATACAGAGGATGCTGATGAGGATGCCAAGGTTGAGGAAGATACCGAAGAGGATAAACCAAAAACAAAGAAGGTCTCAAAAACCACCTGGGACTGGCAGCTTATCAATGATAGCAAACCTATTTGGACACGTAAGCCAGCTGACGTGACTGCCGATGAATACACCGAATTTTATAAGAGTCTGACAAAGGACTCAAGTGAACCGCTTACCCAAACGCATTTCGTCGCCGAGGGTGAGGTCACTTTTAAAAGCTTGCTCTACATTCCCAAGGTGCAACCATCTGAATCCTTCAACCGCTATGGCACGAAGTCTGACAACATTAAGCTTTATGTGCGTCGTGTTTTTATTACTGATGAATTCAATGACATGATGCCCAACTACCTTAACTTTATTCGCGGTGTGGTTGACTCTGATGACTTGCCATTGAATGTATCACGTGAGACGCTGCAGCAACATAAGTTAATTAAGGTCATAAAGAAAAAACTGGTGCGTAAAGTGCTTGATATGATTAAGAAAATCGACAAGGAAGCTTATGAAAAGTTCTGGAAGGAGTTCTCTACTAAGTAAGCAATGTTGTTGTAAGTACATCGATAGTGTTTAAATTAACTTTTGTATTTTCATGTCGCCGATAGCATCAAATTGGGCATCATGGAGGATCCCAGCAATCGTTCTCGCCTGGCCAAGTTGCTGCGGTTCCAAACATCGAATGGCAAAGGTGTCACCTCGCTGGCGGAGTACGTCGAGCGTATGAAGTCCAAACAGGATCATATTTATTATATTGCCGGTGCCAACCGTGCCGAAGTTGAAAAGTCGCCCTTCGTCGAGCGCCTGCTCAGCAAGGGTTATGAGGTGCTTTATTTGGTGGAAGCTGTTGACGAGTACTGCATCTCTGCTTTGCCTGAATTCGATGGCAAGAAATTCCAAAACGTGGCCAAGGAAGGTTTCAAGCTCAACGAATCCGCTAAAAGCAAAGAAAAATTCGAAAACCTAAAGAATGCTTTTGAGCCATTGGTAAAATGGTTGAACGATGTTGCGCTTAAGGACCAAATATCAAAGGCTCAAGTCTCAGAACGATTAAGCAACTCTCCATGCGCACTTGTCGCTGGTGTTTTCGGCTGGACCGGCAACATGGAACGCTTGGCTATGTCGAATGCCCATCAAAAGGCCGATGATCCACAACGCAGCTATTATCTTAATCAAAAGAAGACACTTGAAATCAATCCCAGGCATCCACTGATGCGTGAGCTTTTGCGTCGCGTTGAGTCCGACGAGGCCGATGAAAATGCAAAGAATATGGCGTTGATGATGTTCCGCACTGCCACGCTACGCTCAGGTTACATGCTTCAAGAGACGGCCAATTTTGCAGACAGTATCGAGCAGATGATGCGTCAAACCCTGGGTCTGTCGTTGGATGAGCAAGTCGAGTTGGATGAAGACGATGATGAGGCTGATGCCGATGATGCCAAGTCAAGCGAGGACAGCGGTGCTAGCAATGCTGATGAAGATGAGGAGGATACGCAGCACGATGAACTCTAAGCAATCGCATAACCGTTGCAGTGTAGATTACCCTGTATTGTACATAAGTCAGACTGAGTTTAAGCATCCATTCGTAAACATCCGTGCACCACCTGAGAAGTGTCTTGCTTTGAATCAAGAATGCTTCTTAAACGTGTGTTTAGAAGTTAAGTAACAATTTCGTAATACATTATATATATTAAATAGCAGTCGACTATGTTGTCGCCTTTCTTTATTACCTTGAAAGCAGCTCTGTGGCATTTCGCATTTTACTAAATAGCTTCAAACATTCGTGCCGACATAGTTATGCTCAAATAAAATCTTTAATCTATAATAATAGTGATTACTTTTTTACAAAATGAATGGAGTATGAACATGTCGATCCAAACAAAAATTAAAGAAATACACATGTATAATGAATTTAAAATTAAAAATGCATTAAATATCTAAGTCGGAGCTGATCGGCTCATCATGTAATGCCTTTAAGTAGCTGCTGTATTTCACCTGGGCTCTGATATGTGCTACCGCCTGGCTTAGTTCCAAATTGTATTTCTGCATGAAGAGACGAATTATCCACATGGGCAACAATCCATTGATCACAAGAGAAACATTAACCTACAATGAAAAACACGTTAGCATATGGATATAGTCAATCACTAATGTCCTACATACGCCATTTTTGCCATACAACGACAGTAGTTTCTGTATCATGGATTTGCGTATATCGTCTGTGAGAAAATCCATCACATCTTGGTGGTTAATGTTCTTATAGCTATTTGTGTTTGCATGGCGGGAGTTTTCCGAAAAGAACGTATTAAAGTCTGATTGGTATGTGTCGAAAGTGCCTAAAACGTATTCCTTGCTCATGTCCAGTAATCTACAATTGATAAGGACTTTCTGAGCTGTACAGTTGAACCGGGCTGAACGATTTTCACTTACAATATTTTAACGGCCGGCGGTTTTTTTAATTCCAGCAAAGAAGTCATTTTTTTGATCGCATTAAAATTGATACCCGAAGTTGCACCATCAAGCTGCTGAAATTTCCAGGGCTTGGATTCTTTATTTGAGGCAACTGCAGGTTTTTCCTTCGACGTGTCACGCCTTTTTTTTATTATCTCATTTTGTTGTGCATCAAAATGGTGCTTTGTTTTTGGCTTTCGTGTTGGTTTCTCAGAGTGGCTAGGAGGTTCTTCACATTCCACTATTTCCTTGTTCGATCCGCGTCGTTTTCTTACAGACTCTGCATCTCCATTTACATTCTTCGCTGATTTTACGTTTCGTGCGTATTTTTTGCTATAAATAATACACAGGCTGTAATAAAAAGTTTGGGAGCATATCTATAACTGGCTATTACTCCAAAACGTAGCCTTTCAAATGTAAAGGTTTCACAGGGGAACGGTCGGAACGACGAGGGGCGATGTTTTCAAGTGAAGTTGCAGTGCTGTTAAAAGTATACTTATATCAGTTTAAATGAACTTCATAATCGGCTCATTATATTTACCGCTGGGGACGGACGTCATCACGATGCCGGGATCTGCCTCTATCCACTTGTGGAGCAGGTTTTAATTGCAAATTGTCATTAGACTTGACGCCTTGCGATACTGAACGTCTCTTGCTTTTTTTGGATCCTGTGGTTTCGCTATTTGTGGACATCTTTTCTTGATGTGGGCTTATACTGTAAACAAAAACCCGCATAAGTCAAATTGCTGGACAAAACTTTCCACCGCTACCTTGTTTTCGCTGATAGATTTTCTGCATTTCCTTTTTTTCTTTTGCTGACCCGGGCACCAAAATCCACTACGGACTTAGCTGCGAGCTTCTTCTGCGGCGAGTTCGCTTGTGGTAGATATTGAACCTCCAACTCTAAACTGAGATTTACATTCTGCAGTTGGTACTTTTCCTTTACCAGCGACTGGTCTTCGCCTGCTTTCACGTTGACCTGAACGTTTTCATCAATAAGCCACACCGTCTGGAGGGCACGCGCATCTTTCTGCCAATCAGCAGTGCTGTCGAGCAGTTGCCATAATTTATTCTCGATCTGATCGAATTGTTGGGGTGCAAGCCAATTGTAATGCTTTTGTGGGCATATTTTGTAAAACTGAATAGTGCGCGGAAAAATCTTGAAGGAAGCATTGATGCTGTGCTGATAGTACTGCAATAAAATGATTTGTAATTTATTGTTGTCAGTTAGAGTTTAAGTTACTAACTCTATATTGTTGCAAAAGTATTGTATAATCCCCGGAACGTTCAAATTCTGGCATCCTCACAACAACTTTTTTTTTGGATCTTTCCGCCGTTGTTTAAAGATCACGGAGATGGAACAAATATCCAAAAACAATCGGTGTATTTTCGCATTGTTTAATTCATCGAGTGCTGCGATAACATCACTTACGCGCGCCCGAATGCAACTCAAAGCAACCCTGAGCACTGACGTATGCACAGTTCAGTGTGTCGTCGGCGACTTCCTTTCCTGTCAAATTTTGTCGACAAAGGTTGGTAGATTTTTTAAAAGCGCTTTTCAACGCAAATTAAGTGCTCATAATAAATTTGCAAGAGCCGATATAAATGAATTCAATTGAAGTTAACAATGTGTCGTATTTGTGTGTGGAGTACGTCCATGTCTGAAGCTTACAATACTTAATTTTTTGTCATAGCAATATTGCCGCTTGCCAAGTAGCCGTCGGGAACACGTGTTTTTTAACATTTGTCGAAAATGTCTAAAACTAGGTGCATATGAGAAAATAAATTGGATCATTGCAACAAAGTGCTCCAAACAATCCGCTTAAATATGTTTTGCGTAAGCCGAGCGCGAATTTGTAAAAATACTTACCGACTAGTGACTAGTCCCAGTTGTATGTTGTGTATGTGTGCGAATTTTGTGGTTTAATTCTTCAATCGGTTTTAAAGGAGCAATGGAAGTGAATTGAATTCCGATAAAAGAAAAATGTGCAATGCTTTAAATGAAGTGACCAAAACCGAAAAAATTTCACATCAAGGAAAAGGAAAAATTCGAAAGGACAGCGGTGTTTTGTGTTTAAATGGGGCAACCTGTTATGTGTTATGTTGTGGCTGATATGTAGTGTACATTTTTTATTGCAGATGGCTATCGGCAGATTTCCGAAGATTATCAAGCCTGGCGGCGCGGATCCCGATGAGTTTGAGAAGTCGATTGCCCAGGCGCTTGTTGAGCTCGAGGCCAACAGCGACCTGAAACCCTATTTGCGTGATCTGCACATTACCCGGGCGCGTGAGATTGAGTTTGGCAGCAAGAAGGTGAGGTATTGCCACATTTCATCTTATATTGAAGCTTGCTAAGCTTTTCCGGTTCTTTGTCCACAGGCCGTCATCATCTACGTGCCCATTCCACAGCAGAAGGTGTTCCAAAAAATCCAGATCATCTTGGTGCGTGAACTTGAGAAGAAATTCTCTGGCAAGCACGTCGTGGTCATTGGCGAGCGCAAGATCCTTCCCAAGCCCACACGCAAGGCTCGCAACCCACTGAAACAAAAGCGTCCACGCTCGCGCACTTTGACCGCTGTGTACGATGCCATTCTTGAGGATTTGGTATTCCCAGCTGAAATTGTGGGCAAACGCATCCGCGTCAAGTTGGACGGCTCCCAGCTGGTGAAGGTACATCTGGACAAGAACCAGCAGACCACCATTGAACACAAAGTGAGTGAAGTACCCTAGCTTCTATAGGCATATATAGTATGTTTGTCACCGTCCCTTTGATTTTCGGTGCGCGTTTCCCACGCACCCCGTTTGTCAAAAGGGACGCATAGAAAATACCAATAACTCGTTATTGGGCGCCACTTTCGCTCTTAAGCGGGCGTTCATCTCCATATATTGGGTACACTTGATTAATGCTACCGTTCTCGTGTTATTTGTTGAACTATTTTTCAAGGTTCAATGATTGTCAAGAAGAACGCAAATTAAAATTAAAGTCAGACTCCACAATGTTCAGCTTTTAACTCTAAAGCTATGACATTACTAAATGCTGGCTACATTTATGTACTTTACCGATCCAGACCCCCATGCAATTATTTATTATACTTGTAGTATTAATAACTACCGTTCTCGTGTTATTTGTTGAATTATTTTTCGAGATTCAATGATTGTCAAGAAGAACGCAAATTGAATTTCAAGTCAGTTAAACTCCACAATGTTGAGCTTTTAACTCTAAACCTATGACATTACAAAATGCTGGCTACATTCATGTACTTTACCGATCCAGACCCCCCATGTAATTATTTATTATAGTATTAATAACTACCGTTCTCGTGTTATTTGTTGAATTATTTTTCGAGATTCAATGATTGTCAAGAAGAACGCAAATTGAATTTCAAGTCAGTTAAACTCCACAATGTTGAGCTTTTAACTCTAAACCTATGACATTACAAAATGCTGGCTACATTCATGTACTTTACCGATCCAGACCCCCCATGTAATTATTTATTATAGTATTAATAACTACCGTTCTCGTGTTATTTGTTGAATTATTTTTCGAGATTCAATGATTGTCAAGAAGAACGCAAATTGAATTTCAAGTCAGTTAAACTCCACAATGTTGAGCTTTTAACTCTAAACCTATGACATTACAAAATGCTGGCTACATTCATGTACTTTACCGATCCAGACCCCCCATGTAATTATTTATTATAGTATTAATAACTACCGTTCTCGTGTTATTTGTTGAATTATTTTTCGAGATTCAATGATTGTCAAGAAGAACGCAAATTGAATTTCAAGTCAGTTAAACTCCACAATGTTGAGCTTTTAACTCTAAACCTATGACATTACAAAATGCTGGCTACATTCATGTACTTTACCGATCCAGACCCCCCATGTAATTATTTATTATAGTATTAATAACTACCGTTCTCGTGTTATTTGTTGAATTATTTTTCGAGGTTCAATGATTGTCAAGAAGAACGCAAATTGAATTTCAAGTCAGTTAAACTCCACAATGTTGAGCTTTTAACTCTAAACCTATGACATTACAAAATGCTGGCTACATTCATGTACTTTACCGATCCAGACCCCCATGTAATTATTTATTATAGTATTAATAACTACCGTTCTCGTGTTATTTGTTGAATTATTTTTCGAGATTCAATGATTGTCAAGAAGAACGCAAATTAAAATTAAAGTCAGACTCCACAATGTTCAGCTTTTAACTCTAAAGCTATGACATTACTAAATGCTGGCTACATTCATGTACTTTACCGATCCAGACCCCCATGCAATTATTTATTATAGTATTAATAACTACCGTTCTCGTGTTATTTGTTGAATTATTTTTCGAGGTTCAATGATTGTCAAGAAGGCAAATTGAATTTCAAGTCAGTTTCACTCCATAATGTTGAACCTCAATATCACGAGCTACGACATTACTAATTGCTGTGTACATTGACAGACTCGTCAGACTCCGATTTAAAAAGCATACCGTTCTTGTGTTATTTGTTGAGTCAGTTCGCCAGATTCAACGATTGTCAAAAATAACGCATATTGTAGTTGACAGTTTCACTCCATAATGTTGGGCTCTTAACTCCAAAGCTATGACATTACTAAATGCTGCCTAGACTATTGAAACATACAATTTAAGATTACAGTCCCGCCCATTTGCCTCTCAAGCGCCGTTTTGTGCCTGGTGCCTTGGGACTTCCTACATTGGCGGTAGAGAAATTGAACTTGTCGTGCGATCCTTGCTGCAATTTTACACATTTGCAGTAAAACGTGCGACCGGTTTACATTAAATTATAATGCACAAAATGAATTTAACATTGATTTGATAGACTCTGAAATTAATTTGTGTATTTGACTTTTTCACCTGCAGGTCGATACTTTCACATCGGTTTACAAGAAGCTTACTGGCCGCGATGTTACCTTTGAATTCCCTGATAACTACCTGAATGTCTAGAGTGTTCAGCAGGCAACGTCGACTCGACTAGCAGCAACAACAAATCTGTTGTACAGAAAATGAGTTTTTACGTGAGCTGAGAAACGTAACGTAAATTAAATAAAGCCCAACACATTTTTAAAAATTGATTCAATTGTTTTAATTAATTAATGATAGTAACGAAGCATGGTATCATTTGTTGAATTTAAATTTAGTGTACACGTTATGTGGTGCTACCAGACTTTTATTTGAAGAACTCATGGGACTGTGTATTCTCCAATTTACTAAGTGGATACACAAACCGTTCAATTTTCTATGCTAGGATTCAAACCACAATACTATATCGCCACCTAGCGGTAATAAGAGGTTATTTAGCGAATCCTAAAAATGCGGTTGCAACATGGTTATGTGAGTCTAAATTCTTATGCAACAAATGCTTTGCAACACGCTGCATTGCTCTCTGTGTAGCTGTGGGGGTGTTTGCGAAAGTTTAGAATAAATATTTAAAAAAATTAATAAATGATTAATGATTAATATAAAAGACATTTAAATTCACTAAACCCTTCTGGACTGCCGCCACATGAATTGACGGTAAAATTCGGAATTGTAATCATGCTTTTGAGAAATTAAAGCCTTCCAAGCATGTGCAATGGGACTGGGCTGCTTATTGCAGGACAATTTAAGTGTAGCAACTATTATCAACGGCCAGCAACTGGTCAACTAGCTCATACAACGACGATACCGAGGATATCAATGATCCCATTTGATCATTTAGATGGCTTCAATTTCCGGAAGTCCCAAGGTCATACGAAAGCAATGTTTTACTATAAGTTGACCTATCACGGGTCGGAGCTCCTGAAAATCAATTTATTTTGCTAACACAAAATAAAACATCAAATATATTTTACAGAGACCCCTAATAAAGAATATCAAAAAATCTAAAAACGAACAAAAAATCAGTAAAATAATATCCAACATAAATTTTACTCCTTCTTAGTAACTCATAGCAAAAAGAAGGGTGTATGTGTGTTAAGTGTGTGTGTTATAAAATGTATAGTTTTAAAAATGTTTGTAAAAATACCCAGGGAAAGGACGCTAGTATCAAATAAATACAAACATTTACAGCTTGATAATATACTTTTTCAAGGTCTTCTGAAAACCTAAGGCATACATAGGATGCCTGAATATAATAACTGTGTAAAAATAATTCTAACTCGCTGGGCAAAGAATATAATTTGGTTAAGTTTAAACCAACCCAAATATTCATATTCATACTTGTATATGGAGTTTTTATAATGTTGGGGGACAATAATTAATAACGTATGCAAGAATAGCAAACACAAAACAAATAGATAAGCATTACTCCCTCATATCGTGGCATGTTTCAGAAGTTGACTCTACAATTAAAGAGGGGCCTTTCGCCATCCTGGTCACAACACGCAAGGTATTATAGTTTCAAGCGCAGACAGGCGACAGCCGAGGTGCCCGCCCACGAATTTTTAATGGTGCAGTGGCCATTGTTCTTGTTGTTTCTGTTTTGACTGATGGGCTTTTGGTGTCGTATACGAAAAATTCGATTACACGATTGATTGTTGGCCGGGGGAGGAATACATTTTTGTTTAAATGAACGCGCCGAGACATTTAATATTGACGAGGGGGGCGTTCAGTTGACTTTAAGTTTGCCACAACTTGGCTTTCGGCCTTGAACAAGAATTTAAGGATTAATGATGGCGCCGCTTTGCCTTGGAGACGATTTTTTGTTGTTGTTTTTTTTTTCTTGGCGTTCAGCGTCTTGTGGGTCAACTCTATTTTACGCTCTAATTAAAATGCCACACACACACGCACAGAAACTTAGACAATAGGGCGCACTGAATTTACAGCCACTTTGTATGTAAATTTTATTCGTCATACTTAGCGGAAAAGAAAACGCTTATGTTTACGGCATCGAGGCGTCGTCATCGGCGTCCAACTGTTGCAGGCGAATGTCCTTTGGGCTGTCTATAGTGGGGAGTGGGTGAGCAGAGGGGTGGTCTCTCTTGACAGCTTATGTCATCACATGTTGCTGGTGTTACTGACGACGCTCCATGACCATGACTCACTGTAATCTCTAAAGTTGACTGACAGTTTGCAATGCATACATATACATATGTATGTACATAACTATACGTAACGATACTATATGTACATAAATATGTATGTATGTTTTTTACGCGATCTTATCAGCAATTCGGATACGGTCGGTAGTTGGTTGCATTTTGCTTCAATATCGCGTGCCCAGCAGTTGCAACTGATCCAGCAGTGCTTATCAGACGCCGCACAGCTGAGTCAACACGCATGACTCGCAGTGTATATATGTATGTATGTATGCCTCATGGGCTTCCCGTACCCACATCGTTTGTCAATCTACAAAATTACAGTCGTCGACACGACGTCCTAAGAATATAATTTTTTATGAAGTTTAGTGCCTTCAATCAAGATATAATATACATACATATATACACACAGGCATATATAATAATACATACATATGTATTATTTGTAATAACCCTAAGCGCGAAGGCAAGTTGTAAATATAAAGCAGAAGAGATAGACATGACAACACCCATCGAAATTCATAAGAAAATGTCCAATGATTGCACATTCGTCTTATCATCAATAATAAGAGATAACAGTTATTTATGAGTGTTTTTTGTTGTTGCATTAGCTGTTAAAGTTATTCTCCGTAGCATAACTTGTTTTTCCTTAATTACGATATCATAACTAGAGTGCGTTTTAATGAACTTAAATATTTCTTTACTATGTACTCTTTCAAATCCGTACACAATATTTAATAGCTGCCATAGGAGCGATCGGTAGATACACGACTCCCGTACATATTACATCCGAATCGGACACACGTTTTTGTCTTAACAAATATTGTTAATCTTTGAAATTTTGGTCACACAAACAAAGTGCTAAACATTCGGTATGAGTTAAGAGCACCCAGCTGTGGCTGATAAGCAAAAGTAAGCTACTTGCCGATAGCAATCAAGGCGAACACACTTTACAATTATTAAGCGACCAGCCTACGTTGTTAACCAAAACCAGCTGCTAATTAATTTCTAGTTGTCTCTCCCTTTGCGTTAATTCTATGAACATACATATGTATGTATGTATGTACATATGTATGTATGCATATATTTTTTCTATTTTTATCACAGCTTCTCTATTGCATCATCTTTTGCTCTGCATATCGCGATGTGCTCTTCCAGCCCCACTTCCCCCCTGCATAGACAATTCTTGTAAACCGGTTGCAGTCAATCGGAAAATTCAAACTATTTCATTGTTTTCTTTCTCGCCACACTTTTTCTACACACGCATGCAAACCAAACATGTATGAGGCATTTTTTGATAGACCATATGGCGGAACTACTACTGTGAGAGAATATTTGTCGCTGAGCATGGTAAAAAGAGCAAAGGTACGGCATTATAAACGAGCACCTTTTTTCCTTTCAACCAGGTTTTAGTGGAGTGATTGCTGGCATTTCATTTTGGTGCTCTCTTGCGATAATGCAGGTATCAATTAGCACGGTCTTCACCGAATAAAGGCTTCGTGTGACGTCACACGAAGAAAATATCGAATAAGTGTTTTTTTCTTTATACCATGTGGTTACGCAGCTTATAAATTATTGTGAAACATAAGGGCAACGAATAATTTTGTAGTTTGTACATACACATGTATGTATAGTTTGTAATATATATACACGTAAATATGTATGTATACATTCGTATATGTATGTATGAATGCATGTGTATATGTATGTATGTATGTACATATTTGCAGAAATGTTGATAAAAGCTGGCAATGTGATACATCAACAAGCAGAAATAGTTAATTAAATAAGATATTGTGTCGGAATCATGATTGTCAGCGCAAAAAACTGAAGAAAATGTCGTATTAATTGTAATTGTGTTACTTATACATACATATGTATGTATGTACATGAATAGATGAACTGTTGGCCGATATTTAATAGCTTTCAGTATGATCTTGCGCAGCCGATGACGAAATGTTATCGCACACATATGTATGTATGTATTTATGTATGCACACTCCCATATGTATATATGTACATACATATGTACGATCAGACTTGCCGGTAGCGCTCAAATCAGACACGTCTTTCTGATGTTTAAACGCTTCACAGACTATTCAGAGAATGGGAGACAGAGAGCATATTTAGAGACATAGAGAGAGAGAGAGAGGGAGAGCGAGAGAGAGGGAGCAATGGCGAATGCGCTCCAAGCTGAAACTCAAGCCGAAATTGCCGCATTGACTTTGAACTACAAGTTTTCTTTGCCGTTGCTTTTGTGCGATGTTTACGGAATGAATGAGCACAACAGAGAATGGTAAACATGGTATGACATGCGGTGGTGGGGCAGTGAGAAAAAAAAAAGGGAGATAATGGTAGTGGAGCCGCCAACACACATAACAACAGCAACAGCAACAACTATAGCAATAGCAACAGCAACAGACACAACAAAAACTACAACGCTATGACGCTATAATAACAGCAGCGGCAACAAATAAAAGTGAAATAAAAATTATAAAGGCGACGTCGCTGCCTGCGCTCCAGCGTCGACGTCAGCGACAATGGCAGAAGCAGAGGCAGCGGAATAGAGCAGAGAGCTCTTGTATTGTAAATGTCGACCGTCTGTGGCGGGCGTTGTTAGTCGTTTGAGTGGGTTCGTTTGGTCAACACATCAGGCGACAGAAATTCTTCTCTAGTTTCGAAAAATCAACCATTTTGAAAAATTGGACATCAATGCGGGCCAGCGTCGAGCAGTGATAAATATAAAGTGTGTGTTACAAAGTGAATAATACAAAATCAGCAATATTCTAAGTATTTATTTAAAAAACCTATGGCGTTTGCAAAAATGATGGCTTGCCCGCAAACCATTTGTTAAATTTTTCAAAAAAGTAAACGCGCGCTTTTTCGCTGACGTCACCAAAATTTTTGAATTGAACGCAGTTTCGCGGCATAATAAAAGGAATTACTTTAACAACGTAAATTAGTTTACATTACCCAATTTTTTCTGCTATTAATCAGTCAGGCCATTAGGGTGTCCTGGGCCCGAGTGGGTTTCTAGGACTCCTATCAAATAGAAATCGCATTGTGCTTACTGTAAGGCTAATTGCCCGTCCAATTCGCTGGCGCGCTCTTTGTCATTATTAGTGGCAATTACAGCGCCTGACATGCACACCAATACCCACTACCTACTCCTGCTTTCTGATTGTTGCCTTTAATTGTATTTATGTATATCCTTGACAATATGTGTTGATTGGCCAGGCCGGCCGCACGTGTGACACAGAAAGCCCATCCCACACAATGGCAATCATATCTAGGTGGAGTCGGGGCCCATGTGTGTGTAATGTTTATATACTAGGAATTTGCATGACAATATGGGCTTCACTTTGGTTCTGTTATTACAAGAATGCAATCTTATCTAGAAGTAAATAAAAGGTATAGACGACAGCTTTTGGTCCCTTAGGTATACGCCCTTGTAAATGAGCTTTTCCACATTATATTTTAGACTGGTTCAGATATTATTATTAACCAACAATTTTTCGTACCAAGTGCTGTTCCTAATCTTAATTGTTCCTATCAGAATAGAAAACTTTCCGTGCGATAGCTTTATTAATAGACTAGTTTCCATAGAAACTGTTAGACGGATAGGCAAATATGCGCCATATTTTACAAGAATCAATATAGTCTTTATAAGGATTTTTGTAGTTATATATTAATATGTGAAGCTCACAGAATGGACTAAGTGAACAATTTTTGGAACCGGTTTCTGGTTGCTACACTTTTCCGAAATATTTCAATAGCGTCGTGGGATAGCATATATCATATATGCTATTTCTAACCACACTTTCGTTGTCTATACATCGAAGAAGGAAGGGCATTTTTAAGGCCTGCATTAACTAAATACGAAAATAGAGTACTCAAATCATGGCCGACGATTACAGTATATGTACATATAAACAAAATGCCATACACTGATTTCAGTATTTGATTTTTAAGCAATAACTGAGTAAACTAGAACGCGCAATATGGCTTACACAATAACATAATTAACAATTTAAATGGGTTGAGTAGAAATGCGGGTGTCAGACTCAGTAACCAATTACTAAGTTAGCGTTGTTACAATTTGTATTGTACTATATACAAGTTGGTCGATACGAGTATCTACAAAACGCTTTCAATTAAAAAATAGTTTATACGAATGCAATTAAAGTGCTGCAAATTAGAGCGAGCAACATTTTTAAAGAGCAAGCAATAATAATAACAAATTCAAGCTCCCGTCCGTACCATATTTTTAAGACTACTACCGAAAGTGGTAGTCATGCTTTCGATAAACTATTGGCACATATTAGCGGATGTATTGCTAAATAAATCCAATGGATAAAGTGCCAAAAAGCTTGCTGCCAGTAAATTTTAGGTAGTTTTCTTGGAATATGTAGTTTCCATAAAAACGGGAGCAATGGATTATAGGCATGTTTCGTCCATCGTTTTGACGCAAGGCTGGTCAAATATATGCATACTATGAGTATATTTCGGGTCCGAAGTTCGAGTCGAGTCCGACGCATAATGAAAAGCTCACTTGCTGGTGGCGAAAAGATTTTAACGAGTGCCAATAAACGCCTGGCTGCGCCTATTGTTTATTATTATGTGTACTAGAATTTATTATGTATGTAGTATTTGTTGTTGTGTTCAAATTTCAATTCATTCTGGACGCATTGCCATATAAAATGCCGGCAACTGTTGCCAAGTTGCTTTGCCTCCGTGCCGATCGATGCTCAATAGTCCATACATAAAGTAAATCGATGTACAATACTTGTATATTGAATATTTTGGGTTTCCATAGTTTTTTCATGCTCGCCAGCCATGCTGAAATACTTTGTGGTTCCCTCGCTTTTATTTTTATTTAATAACCGGGTCGCGTGCTTCTGCCAAATGAATATGTTGATCAATTCTTATGGCACGCTCATCAAATCGGTTTTCGCAGCGTTCCCAAGTCTGCAGGGCGCCGCACCGGCCTGTCCCTTATCAAATTAGTGAGCCACTCTCTTTTAATTAAATGAGAAATGCAAATGCGGGGCGTGTTCGTCACTGCGGTCCACTTATCAGCATTTTATTGCCATGGGCGCGCACACAGGGCGTATGATGGATTGCACGAGCAAATGTTTAGTCGATATGCAAATCGCAATCAGGCTCTAAAACGCGTTGTCTATCTTATCAGAAGGAAGGAGTGAACAACTTCCGGAAGCCATTTACACATCTCTAGCTGGTATTTAGCCCCAGCTGTGTACACAAAATCAATGCTAATAAAATTTTTAATCGCTTACATAACAGAAGAGTTTCAATTAGTCATGGGCCAATGAACACCTGTCTGCTAATAAACCAAGGAGTGAGTCAAAGTCCCACGCATATGTTGTGCACGTCTGCGCTCTTATCACCGATCCATTGAGTTCCAATGATTTCATTAAGCTCGCACTTCTGCCTATTCCATTAAAGTGGGCCAGGTGTGCTGGTTATCGTTAAATGGCACATATTTATAGTCAACTACCAGCGAAAACTGGTAAAGATTCAATATATATATATATATATATATATATATATATATATATCTTATATACATATACGCAATGTCTGGGCTGTTTGTTTGGTAAATTTGTTAGGTTGTTTGTTTGTTTTGTATGCGTTATTCATGTTCGGATGATAAGAGCACTACAAGTTGCCGGCTTTCCGCCTCATGAATGCCTGCGCACTTTTCGGCTATCGACCGCTGGCTTGCTCACACATATATATATTTCGCAGACTATACTATATGCATGTATATATATATGTATGTATTACTACATACATATGTATATAACACAACTGAAAACGATATGGCGAATTGCCCATAAATGGCGAGATTCTGCTGCTTTCTACTGTTTCAGCAACCTAATCTAAATTTTCCATTTCATATTATATACTATACACAAGGTGACTTTCAAAGTAAATGGAGCTTTTAAATGCAAGAAAAGTTTGTTTGGTTTAAGTTGAAGAAGTTTTTTTTTTCGGAATATACTTACACAAGTTTCTATTCTATCTATTCTATGAATTTTTTGTTAAAAGCAGGCAATTTGCAATCTCTATTCAAAAATAACTCTAAATGAAGGCTTTTGCGCGCCTGTGGGTCATCATTTGAGTCAGACATGCTAAATGTAAATAAAAATATTGGTTCGAAAATACGTGAAAAATATATCTATTGGGCGAACAAAACCAGCGCCGTCTCTTGTGGTTCACCTCACAACTACAATTGTTGTTGTTCAGAGTATGCCAAGTCTGGATACATTAAATGAACTTTGAAACAATTTAAAATGATGCCCTTTTGATTTTTAAATTAAGTCTGTCTCGAAGAAAATGGGATAGTATTCAGCCCTGTCTATTCATAGCCATTCAAAGCCGTGTTTTCAGTATGAATTAACAGACAGGCAGATGGGTAGTTCTGAGAAATAATTCCCAATGAAGAGTATTGAATATTATAGTTAAAAATATTATTTAGCATAGGGCTCTTTTTCACTTGATTGAGTAACGAAGTTTTTGAGCAAATTATTTCTCTGTGTAAACATTGACCCAGACGAGATCGCAGTAAATTCAGAAACTGCTTTATTTTGTTTTCTCTCTGGCCGCATAAACTTTGTTTGTCCCTGTATGCTGTATATACTTGTATTGTGCAATATTTTATACCTATCTATAGTCATACTAGATAAGGCATGATTGTAACAAAGAGCTTTATGATTACAGCTCTGTACTTGGCTATGCGATAAGTTAAGCAGTGGCAGATAATGGCAAAACTATTGGGTGCTTACTGGTCGACGTTTAGCTGGCCGCCTTGTGTGTGCACAGCAATGAGAGCAAATAAGCTATGATCTGCTAATAAAAATGATAAACATGAAGTACCAGTTTCTAATAGCCGACTACCCACTCAAGTCACACACCAATTATATTTTCAATATCTGCGCACAATGAATGCTGTTGATAGTTAATATTAGGGTCGTCTAAAACGTTAATTAGCAGGTTTTACTCAGCACCGCCTCAATAAACTCTAATTCTTACTCATCCCTCTCTAGCATAACAGCATTAAAACGACATCAAAATGTGCCTTTCTAAGCCCACCGTTGCTGGGGATGCAGCAAGTGGCAGCTCTGCCAGCAGCAGCTGCACTGGAATGCAGAGCAATCGGACCTGCAGCTTGCGTGATGTCTGTAGTAGCGCCGGGAATGGAATAAAACATAGAGGTAACAAGGATTCACAGACCAAAGAAGTAGAAGATAGTTTAGGCTATAAGGAGGAGAACGCCGTCTACAAGGAAAATGAAGCGGCGTCAGAAGTGTTGGCCCATCAGCAAAAGCAGCAGGAGGAGGCAGAAGAGGAGTACATACCCCAAATAAGATGGCCAGATCTGGGAGCCCAGAGTTTTCTGCATGCGGGCGCACTGTACGGCATCTACCTCCTGTTTTACGCGAAGCTCTACACATTCCTTTGGGGTAAGCCGCAGCACTCATAATACTAGCCATTAGTAATGTGGATTAAATGTTTGACTGTATGATCGTCGAGATCTTTTAAGCAACAGCAGGCTAAGCCCTCAAATCTTCCGAGTAGAATACTAAAGTCTATATGTAAATCAAGTCTAAGAAAATGTTTACTTTGTAAATAGGATTTTTAACAAAAGAAGCTGAGACGTTTTCTCTGTTATTCAATCGGCATTGGTTTTTTTTATACATAGACATAAACTCAAGTTAGTGTAAATATATATACATATATTGAACGACTGTTATGGCGACTGGTTTGGAAAAAAACAGATTTGCCTAAAGCGGCGCGAGGGCGACTCACTCCCACTAATTACTAGAAACAATAGTGCGAATAGCTTAGAATCTGTGGTAAATAAATATAATATATATATATTATATATATATATATATATATATATATATATATATATATATATATATATACATATGCAAGTATGTATATATAAAGCAGAACATCAATTATGACACCACACTAAAATGAACTTTGACTAGCAACAATTAATGTTAACGAATGGTTCAATCAATTGTCAGGCAGGCAATCGGTCGAGAGTTCTAGAATATGCAAGTACGAGGGAATGAGTGCGATTTCCATATGAATAGACACTGTTCTATAGATCACTCGTGCTGCCCAAATCTATAGGCCAGCTATATTTAGCGCGCGCACACGCATTATGTCATCAGGCTGATTGGCGACCAATTCGAATGAAATGGCAGCTCCTATAATATATCTAGACCATTCTCTTTGTTTGTATTGCAGTTGCCGTAACCATTCTGGTATCGGGCATTGGCATTACGGCGGGCGCCCATCGCCTGTGGTCGCACAAATCGTATACCGCATCGCTGCCGCTTCGCGTGCTGCTTGCCTTTGCGTTCTCTATAGCGGGCCAGGTGGGTGTATATTAAAGATATGTTTGGATAAATGTTCAGTATGGGCTAATGCTGTATTTTGATTGCAGCGCGATGCGTACACTTGGGCTCTGGACCATAGAATACATCATAAGTTCTCAGAGACGGATGCAGATCCCCACAATGCGAAGCGTGGTTTCTTTTTCGCCCACGTCGGCTGGTTGTTCCTCACTCCTCATCCGAAGGTCATTGCGAAGCGCAAGGTGATCGACATGTCTGATCTGGAGGCCGACCCGGTTGTAATGTTCCAACGCAAGTACTATATACCACTTTTCGCGCTCTGCTCGATAGTGCTGCCCGTTATGGTACCCTGGTACTTCTGGCAAGAGAGCCTTTGGATGTCCTTTTGGATCAATTTCAATATGCGCTTCTGCTGGACCTTAAACGTGGCCTTCTTTGTGAACAGCGTGGCCCACATGTGGGGTCGTAAGCCTTATGATAAGTAAGCCTACCTTCTGCTATCTATTTTTGTTTTGCCTTAACGCTCCCTCGATTTGTAAATCCAATAGGAATATTATGCCCGTGGAGGCTCCGCTTGTGTCGCTTGTGGCTCTGGGCGAGGGCTGGCATAATTATCATCACGTATTCCCGTGGGATTACAAGACCGGCGAGTTCGGCAGTTACACACTGAACATTACCACCGGTTTTATAGATTTCTGCGCCCGCATCGGCCTAGCCAGTGGACGTATGTTTTGAATATTCATTTCCCCCATTTATGTGTTTCTAATAACTTACGGTTTTAGGCAAATTTGTGTCTCCGGATATGATAAAACGTCGAGCGGCCAAATGCGGCGATGGGTCGCGATTCCTCAGCGATGATTATGCGCACAAGGATCAGGTGTGGGGCTTTGGAGATCGTGATCTGCCCCGTGAAGATCTTGCTGAGCTGGCAAAGATGCAAAATTAAAGCAGCACAATTGTTGATCGTTCGACTGAAATACGTTGAGCCTTTGTTTACTGTAGTATTAATTATATTTTTTGGTTCACACAGGGATATATTGTCAGTTCAAGATCAGGATTGTAATTTAAATCTTATAAGCATTACGGACCTTTGCATTCAAACGAATGAAGCTCGCACGTATTAGAAGAGGCTATTCATATACTGTTTATCCAATAACCTGATAATCGATTACTATAATTACGACATTAAAGAGAGATAATGGCGGCATATGTATGTATTTCCACCTGTGTGAACTCGTTCTTACATATAAACTCCTAAACTCACACAAACACACACACACCCCATATATGTGCACATACTTAAGTCAAGCTTTAGTTACTTATTCAAGGGCAACATTATTGATTGTCGTGTTAAATAAAAGTATATATATATTCGTATGTATGTATATCTACTACACACTCGCAAGTCATTCTGTGTGAAGAGTTTTAAGCTGCATAATTTAAGGCGGCTCATGCATATGCAAGCGCGGAATTCAAATTGAATTCTGCTTTTGCTTGCAGCGTCAAGTCAATTTAGGTAGCCTTTAGTAGCGATTCGGCAGGCGCGTAAACCAGTGCGACGAATATTGGTCGCTATTTAAAGAACAGGTGTAAGGACTCGAGCTCCAGATCAAGGCTTCTGCAATTCATAGTTTCAAGTACATTAAGGCTAGCTACAAAAATGGAAGGCAAGCTCGCCACAAATACCGATGATAAGAAGACGACCACAGGAGAAGGTGGCGGACAATTCAAGAAACGGGATGCCTCCTGGCCCATGGTGCTATTCTACGTACATTTGAATATACTTGGTTTCTATGGCATTTACGTATTGTTCACCAGCACCTCATTATTGACTATAATATTCAGTGAGTTCAAAAGTCAAGCAGCTAGGCCTATTGAATTCAAATTTCAATGCACTCTCTCCTTCTGTAGCGGCCGTTCTGACACTTCTCGGAATTTTAGGCGAAACAGTGGGCGTGCATCGACTGTGGGCGCATCGCACCTTCAAGGCAAATGCGCCGCTACGCGTTTTTCTTATGATTTGCCAGACACTGGCCGGGCAGGTGAGCCTCTCTAGTCCCGAGTGTAAAGATTAGGTTACAATTTCAAAACAGTTGCCCATCGTTTAAGTTGTTCAAAAAAATAGAGTGTTCTTTAATTGATTTCGCTTCAAACTTCATAAGGTGATCACGTGACGTCACATTTGAAAGCAAAAGAGCTGGCAAATAACGGAATTGCGTAGTGCGTCAGCTTCGTGTTTTTTGCTTTGTTACTTATTTATTTGATCGCCACCCCTGGCAAAAGTTGTATCGAAAGCTGTGCAGCAGCTTTTAGCCGAGACATCAACCATTAGTCACTTTATCGTTTCTTCTGCTGGCAGGGTACAATATACAGTCGCGTCCAGGCCCATCGCCTGCATCATGCGAAATTTCGTACAGACGAGGACCCGTATTACAGCAATCAGAACTTCCTGTACGCCCATGTGCGTGGCAATCTATTCAAGTACTCGCCGCAGCAGGAGGAGCTGTTGCAGAAATTGGAGATGTGGGACATTGAGGCGGACTCGGTGGTTATGTTCCAGAAGCGGTAAGAGCCCTGAGTCCCACACAGCTCTATTGATTTTCTATAATGATAGTGTTGCTATCACTCTAGTTTCTACGTCCTGCTCTACATAGTTCTGAACGTTCTGCTGCCTGTGAACACGCCCTTCCAGTACTTTGGCGAGACTATTTTAGGAGCCATGTTTGTTGGCTTCTGGCTGCGCAGCCTCATTGTCGTGAATGTGGGAAATCTCGTCAATTCGGCTCACTTCGTCTGGGGCATACACAAGGACTTTAAGCCAAGTGACTCGAACAGCATCTTCATCATCACGAAGAGCTTCTGGCCACAGTTTCATTACCTGCTGCCCAACGATTACCAGAGTGGCGAGTTCGGCGACTACTCCCAAGGGATAGGCTCGGCGATGATCAGAGTATTCGCTGCCTTGGATCTGGCCACAGATTTGCGGACCATCAGCTCCGTGGCAGTAAGAAAGGGTCTCACACAGGCCCTGGACACGGATCGGCCGATTGTCGAGTGCATCGAGGAACAGGTGAAGTTGGAGGAGAACGAACTTCCTGCCAATCATTTCCTCAACCGCAACAAGTTCATGTGATTGCGCAATAGCTTGGAAATTATGCGTGAAATGTGCGAGAGACTATTGATGATGAATAAATAAATGAACTAACATACGTCGGTGTCTGGGTGCGACACAAAAAAAAAAAAAAATACACATACATAAAATACACGTACATGCCGACCTGTAGAAAACCTAATTATTGGTCAAGCACAGAAAAATGCTTTAAGAGTTTGGCAAACAAAGGTGCAGTTTGCTTCGAAGTCGACGCTCGTTGGCTCTTCGAAACGAGTTTCCCAACGCATCGATCTGATGCGATGACGGTGACAACAACCGCAGCAGCAGCAACAACAACAACAACAACAACAACAACAATAAAAACAACTGTAATTAGGCACATAGCTAAGACAAAACAAATAAGGCGGCCACAAATCAGCATAAATATATATTCAACTGCCTCGGGCCACATTTTCTGCTCAGCTATTTCTACACAAACCCAAAGGCCCACAGCCATTTAAATTTTGCAACTGATTTAGTGGCTTTCCATATGCGAGCCGAAGTGCGTTATGTGCTTTGGATCGGCCATTGACTGTTTTAGCACTTTACTTTGATGCCCGCCTAGGCCCGGCCAAATCTAATGTGTCGCACTCAATAAATTATCACTAATACGCAATGTGGACTCAGTGCTTGATTGCGTCAATATTTGCGTTTGGACGGGCCCGTACCTATGGTTTTTATGCATTATTTCGTCTTTTTTCTAGCTGTGTGTATTGTTCTCAGCCCAGATGACAATATTAGCTTCCATATTGATTGATTATCCGAAAAAATATCAGACAATGATTTAAAGTCGTCTGCACAAGTACTTTTCGCTTGAGCAGCACCCAACCAAGCCTCACTGAGAACTTGTCTGTCGAACTTCAAAAACACAATTTGGTGCCCTTTGAACGGCTGGTCGTTTCAATTGCTTTCACAATATCTAGTTGTTAGTGGTGTAGTAATATTATGGCATTAACACACCCAATTGCAGGCAATTGTAGGCAATTGAATATAACTGATTTGTGTAAATTTGGTGAATGTTTGTAAGCAATTGAGACTAGAAGCTGGCAATACTTGTAGTTTTAATATCAAGTTTACCAAGTTCTTCTTTATTACAACAAGTTAAGGATGAGGGTTTATTTAATAAGTTGCGGTTGAGTTTTATAATTAATTTAAATTAATGACGTTTGTAAATACCTTACACTAGATGTTTTGAAAATATAAATGATTTGTTTCTGCTTTGTTTTTTTAATAATAGTTTGGTCTTTGAAATTGCAGTTGAACTACGGGTGGTATAAAAAGCTCACATAGAATTTATAAATTCAAAAATTTATAATATATTACTTTATTAAGCATGTAAAGACATATTTTATTCTATTTTATAAAGAACATTTCTTCTTCCAGTAAATATGTTGGTAGTTTGTCTGCCTCGGAAATAGCAGCTGGAAAGTTGAAAGCCGAAAGCCGTTTTTATTCTTTGTACATGAAATTTACAAGAGTAGTATTTGGTGGGGAGAAGACCCCACAGAGTATACAAGGTGTGTTCCAAAGTAAACAGGACTTTAAAAAAAAAAACCGAACAAATGGTTTTTTCGGCAAAATCAATTTATTTAATTCAAAATAGTCTCCTTCTGCTTCAATACAGCTTTTTGCACGATCCAAAAGCATGTCGAACGAGTGTTTTAGCTCGTTGGCCGGTATGGCTGCCAGTATGCCGGTGCAAGCCTTTTGAATGGCCTCTACGACTGCATAACGCTTTCCTTTGAATACGGCGAGTGGTTAATGGTTGAAATGTGATTTTTGGTCAAATAGTCGGTCACAATCGGTTGGATTCTGAGAGATTTTTGGTCGTCAGTCAATTTGTGCGGAACAAACCGTGCACACGCCTCTCGTAAGCCCGAATGTTCGGTCAAAATGCGATAAATCGATGTTTTGGAGATGTTCAATTCCATTTCCATCAATTTCAATGATGATTTCGGCTGATTTTTGACGAAATCACGCACAGTTTCGATGGAATTTTCGGTGATCACGAATTTGGATTGGCCCACATGTTGATCGTCATTTATGTCCTCACGACCACTTTGAAAACCTTGAACCACTCGTGCACTCTGCTACGGGATAGGCAATCATCGCCATAAACTTGTTCCATCAATTGAAACGTTTCGGTAAAAGTTTTACCCATTTTAAAACAACATTTAATGTTGGCTCTTTGTTCGAAGCTCACTTTCGCACCGATAACACCGATAACACAAACATGCTGACACTTAAAACGCAATAACTTCACTTCCAATCGATGAAATATCATGAAATTCTCACTGGACAATCGATAAAGATAGAAGATTCTAACGCACCAGTCGACATATAGATAGCGCCACTAGGGGGCGCTAGGTTCAAAAATTCCTGTTTACTTTGGAACGCACCTTGTATATATGCTTGATCAGCATGACAAGACGAGTCGATCTAGCTCTGTGTGTCTGTCCGTCTGTCTGTCCGTATGAACACCTGGATCTCAGAGACTATAAGAGCTAGAGACACAAAATTTTGCACAAAGATGGCTTATATGTGTACGCTGTGCAAGTTTGTTTTATTTTTTGATGCCTCCCATCCCCACTTTCCCACTTTGGGATTTTTTCCCCGATTTTCCTTTCATATAATCATATTTCGAAGACTATGGGACCTAGGGACACCTTCCTCCCTTTCCACCGCAATCACTGATCTTCTATAACTCCCGTGATTCTTGGAAATTCGAGCTCAAAATACCCCCAGTTAGTTAGTCCGCATGCTAAGTTTCATCATGATTGGTCAATTCTGAAGAAGGTTTAGCCATAAATTATAATATTTTATATTAAATATTTTATATTTAATTTAATTAATTAATTAAACACGCATAGACACGATTCTGATGCATGGAATATTTTATATTTATATTTAATATTTTATGTAAATTTATATATACATATTTTATATTTATATTTAATATTTTATATTTAATTTAATTAATTAATTAAACACGCATAGACACGATTCTGATGTATGGAATATTTTATATTTATATTTAATATTTTATATTTAATTTAATTACACAAGAGAGAACGCTACAGTCGAGCAAGCCCGAAAGTGGAATACAGGGTACAAAAAAACGGATATCTCTATTGGAAGCATTTCTGGCTGCCGATTCCACACAAGACCGAACACTGGGGTTCGTTCATAGTCGGTCGGTTATGTGGGAGCTATGTATATGGGTGCGATCTGGATGAAATTTGGTTGGGTGATGTAAAACTTTCTTTAATGGATACAAACAATTTTGTTTATTTCGGATAAAAATCAAAAAAAAAATTGTTGCGCTAAGATTTTATTCTGAATCGTTCAGTTATATGGGAGCTATGGGATATAGTCATCTGATCTAATCTAATTTCAATACAAATTTCAGTACAATAGCTCCCCTATAAGTATTTTTGGCCGCTGTTCCCATACAAGACCGACCACTGTGCAGTGCCTACGAAGCCGCGACTGTCCAAAAAGCTGTCTTGATGTTCAAAGGCTAAACGAATCCACGTCCATCATTTGCATTAATGGGTATTTAAGCGATTAACTTACTGTAAAATATTTAAAGCGTTAAACTCCTTCCTGATCCATAGCCTGAACCTGAAACGTAGAGATATCGTAGCACCCCTATCCGGGCGTGTTGGACAGTTGTCTAGTGGCAAACGTATAGCAAATATTTTTAATTCCCAAATTTGTTTTACATTTTTGGTAAACAGAGATAGGCGGATGTTTTCGTTTAACAGAGGACCGGATAATCGAAAAAAATTCGTCAGTTTGCAAGCCTCATTAAAATGTCGAATGTAGTCACAAATATTCTTACCGGAAATAAATACCAACCAAATAGTTCAAGTAATAAAATCTCTTCATTAACATTAGGCTTTTGATGTTAAAAGTGCTAGATAAAAATCATGAAAGTAGGAATTTATTAATGTATTTAATTAATTAGGGTTGTCTGATTGAAATTAAGCTTTAAGGAGTGTTTACGCATATGGGTTCAAAAATAATTCGACACATTTCGTTTTTTATTCGAGAAAATACATGGTTATTCGATGTTGATGCATTCCTATATTTAACTAAAACTATAACTCGGCTTAGCTTACTTGAAGCTATAGTCTGTTCATAGACAATTGTATAGAAAGGAAATAGATAATCCATGATAATCTGTGAATGATTTTTAATGGTTCTCTTCTTGCGTTAATTGTATTTTAAATGGGACAGGTTTTTTTTTATATTTGCTTTCAATGGATCTGATCCAATGTAGATATCTGGTTTATGTGAACAATGCAATTGCTCATTGAAAATAGTATTTAGGTAGCACGTACGTAGGCCAGCCAGCTACTTGTACAAATCCTAATGGCTATGAAGTGATTTACAAATGAATTTTCTATTTTAAAGTTGCAATATTTCATGTCAGTTTTTGCTTGTTGTTGCCTTTTTCTATTTCTGTTTTTGTTTTTTTTTTTGCATGCGAGCTTTGCATTTGTAGGCCCATTCACAAGCCGTTTGAAGTTTTAGGCTCCGCTTTGTTGCAAATTGCATGAGCGTTGTGTGTATTTTAGCGTTTTGTTATGTTAATATATTTTTCATAAACTTTTGAGTGACAGTTGAAGGTTTCACAAAGACAAGTGGTTGCTGCTGCTGTTGCTGTTGCTGTAAAATAGACACAATTGTCGGCTGTTTAACTTTTGTAAATGTCTAATATGTATTTTCACAGATTAACACATGGCCGCAGAATCCGAGCCTCTGAGAGTCGCACACTCTGAGAGAGGTATGTCGATTGAGAGAGTGAGAAAGATCTGCGACTGAGGCTGAGACTGAGACTAAGACTGAGGGCTGCCCAATATGTTGTCCATTGGCCAGTTAAGCTCTAATTGCGCTCGATCTGAATAACCCTGAGCAGCTGACTGCCGGAACGCCTTCAAATTACTTCGTTTTGGCCAAAATAACAAATGACGTGTTTCAAAACACTTCAGACTAATCGCACAAAATTGTATTTTCATAAGGGTGTCGGGGCACAATGAATGAATGAATGGCTGGTGATTGTGCAGAGTGCGGAAAAAGCGAAGAATCATTAAATTGAGAATTATTTTAGCTGGCACAATAGTCGCGCACATAGTACACGGCATTGTTGTTCAATCGCAATCAAGAGTGTGCGGGGGGCGGAGGGAGCTTTGCCAAGAATTCTGTTGACGCCTCATAAAAAACGCTGACTGCGCAAAGTTGGCTAAAATAGGGAAGCTGCGTAATAAATCAACGTATTTTATATTCACAAGAGGTGCTATTAACTAATTTCTGTAGCGTTTAGATGGGTACAAATATTTATCTACATATATACAAATACCATATCAATCCTTTTCTCTTGAATATATACATGAAATAATAAAAACGTAAGCTAAAATATTTGAATTATTTATTGTCGTTGCTCCTATTGCTGCACTAGCAAATAGGAAAAAATTTGACCTTTCTTTGCTTAATTCATAGTCAACATTTCTAATTTGTGTGCATGTTTCGGAGGAGCCATGGCTACCAACAGGTTTAATGAAAAGTATTTGCCTAATACTACCAATCGCTAGCATGTCGGACTACTAGATGATGAAGCTGTAATAGAATAAGCTGTAATAAGAATGGCCATGCACTTGTCGACAAATCGAACTGATTGAATTTTGTTTCAAGAAAGAGCGAGCTCAACAACTAAGTACTCCCGACCATAATAGCTATCCAAAAATTACAAATGTTAACAACGGGCAAATCCGAGGATCATTTAAATTTTACAATTCAAACATTGACTTATCCGACAAATGAAACCGAACCAAACAACTGTCCAACTGCCTGAGACCGCGCACCATTTACAACTGAAGGTTGGTTCCGCTGCTTTGAATTCTGAACCTGGAGACGCACCGATACTCAAAGGAAAGTTCAAAGATGATAAAGTTTTCATTCCGAGAATTCCAATGCTTTCGACCGATATGACGTGCGAGCTTAAATGCATTCTATTTTTGATACGTCGTGCATTCGCCATGACGATCAACAAATCCCAAGTTCTATCCTTGAGTGTTTGTGACCGAAATCAAGAAAGTAAATATTTTTCTCGCGGTCAATTATACGTATCATGTTGTAGCAACCATCCGTTTGTTGTTCTCGCACTTGAAGACAAACCGTAAAATGTCGTGTATCGAAAGGTAATGCAATGAAGCGAATTGAACCGGGGGCAACCCATCTAGAAAATAGTTGAACAGAATACTTGGTTTGAGCAAATGCTTAGCTACTAATGAGTAAATCCAACATATATTGATACTGAGGTGTACGTAATTCGGTGGGTGAGCTACTTAATTATATATCTGAAGCCTTCACCAACTCAAATACATTGAGAAAAACTATTGTTAACGGATGGCAAACCAGTATATGTATTGCATAACTACAATACAAGTACTAGAACATTTACAATCGATTTTCTAATTAAAATACAAGTATGTAACGATATTTGCAAGGGTATGTAAGCGTCGGTGCTTAAAAGGCAGCGCAAACACTTTTAAGTAATTCTGAAGTAATTAACAAATTGATATAAATACTATAAATATTTAGTCAATTTTCTTTGTAATGGAGGTACTGCGGCGTATACATAATTTCCTAATCAGTATCAAAATAAACAACAACAAGTTGTTAACAACTACAATAGCAACAACAACAACAACAAGGGGTCGCGTGATAATCTTGAAATATGCATGCGTACAATTTTTAATTAAAAACGCGAGGTGTTTTAAAATAATAAATACATTTTAGTTTGTGTTCGTTTACGTTTTGACATTTGCGTGGAGGGCTTCTTCCTATTTTACGCTTTTCGGCGCCGTTTTCAATTAATTAATGAAGTTTTGTTTTCGTCTCTTTGCAACGTTTGGGTTACGTAAAGAGAAAGCCATGGCGTTGCTTTAGCTGCTGCGGTCACTGTGGTTGCTGCTGCTGTTATTGTTGTTGCAGTTGCGGCCGCTTCTGCTAAACTTCATGATCTCTGAACGGCTTTTGACTTTGGTCAACAATCAAGAAAAAAGGGCATCATCGCGGAAACCCATTTTTTTAGATGCTCATACATACATAATTTGGCCGGCATCTTCGATTTGGTGTTTTTTTTTTTTTGACTCTATTGCTCACGAACAAAAAGAGAGATTCGAGTCGTGCAAATATGGCTGAGGCGCAGAATTAGGTGGCAATGTGTTGATTGTCTTGTGGTTGATGTTGTTGCTGTTTTTTAAACAAGCAAGGCTTTTATGTGTTTCTTAATGTTAACGCGCCTTCTCTGACAGCCTCACAGTCTCTCGTTTAGGCGCTCTTTTGCAATGGCACTCTCCCTTTCTTAGCCTGGCTGCTCGACTGAGAAAAGAAATCGGTAAATTGTAAAACCTGATGTTCGGGGCATTTGAATACGTATTCAAATATATACGTGTATGAAAAAAAAAATATATCAGCTCATTTCTTTGATAACGGTGACACAGTTTTGTTCTTTCCAGCCGTCACAGATTTACATAATAAAGTTGCATAGTTTAGTTTAATTTTGTAACCTATACTTTGCTTTGGGAATAATATGCATTCATTCGCTTATTTCCTGGTACATACTTGTGCTTAGTTGTTGATAGTAAGGCAGCCGCTAAGTTTTCCATATGGTATTGGAAAAATAATGACCAAGGAAAATTCATTGCTTAATTGAATAGTGTTAGCACCTTCATTGTCTTTTAAAAAACCAATGAATATGAATGATATGAACTTAGCGACAGGTGAGCTAGATTAAGTCGGATCTACGCATCTCTATTCTATACATATGTAGGTTTGCGGGCATGTAAATGCCAATTGGCAACAGTCTTGACTAAATTTGTTAAAGGGAAACCATCGATTTCAATACTTGAACCCACGGCACACACAATTAGCATTTAATTATGGCCTGATATATAAAATGTTGTTTCACTGAAAACAAATGAAGTTAAATTTTTAGGTAAAATGTAGTCAAGCCGCATGGCTTCTAAGTTTAAATGTGCAGTTCATTTTTAAGTTATTTCATCAATGGGGTCTGCCGCTAAAAAAGGCCTATTAGTGTTAAATTATTCAATTTAAATAATAATGTTTTAACATTTTTGTAACTTTAGGGTTTGATATAGTAGATAAAAATGTTTAAAAACGTTTACCAAATGATTAATATACACAAATTAATTATTTTTGTTAGATTATTGTTTAAATACTCAAAAAACTCAACAAAAAACGCTTCCATTTTAGTACTCTCTTTAAAATAAAATAAAAAATAAAATCAAATAGTATTTAGTTTGGCTTTTATATCGTACGTATAAGAGGTAGTAGAGAGCAAATACATATCGATTTCATTGTTGACAAGTTGTCCAAGCGTACGTCACACATTAGCATTTCTACTTAGCATACATTTTTTGACGAGATTACTGGCCAAAATGTTTAATACATCCGTCTTCAACACCCAATAGGAAACAAAAATGGTTATAGTAATGCTGAAATTTAATCACTTATACAAAATATGATTCAAATTTGTGGATAATTAATAATTAGTATGTAGCGCCGAAAACGAATCAATTGCCAAACAGAAACCTCTGAACGGTAGTTAGAATATTTATTTAAAATTTAAAAATGGTATGTTCGTTTTTCCGTCATGAAGAATTCGAAAAGTTGTGCACCCATTAAGCTCCGGACTGATCTGCCGGTAGCAAGGGGAACACCCGATAACGGCAGTAGCATGCGAAACATGTGGAAGGATTACGCAGGTTCACGATTGTATAGTTTATGTAAATAGAAAACGTATCCATTTAAAGCCATTCAATCTATCAGATCGAATTATACTTTATTTTTACATTTATCATCTCGACCGTTGTTCGCTAAATTGTAAGTTTAACTTTTATGTTTTTTGTATTTCTTTTCGAATATTTAGAAAGTGGCAACACGTTCAGTTCTCTGGTTTATTGTTAGCGAAATGGAGTGGGGAGAGCGATGAGAGATGGACAGAAAATGTTTAATAGAGAATATATATCTATTAGGGCATAAAACCAAATAAGAATATATAAAATACAATTATGCATGCAAAACCGATTAATCCAAGATTTGTTGAGTAACGGAAGGAGTCCTAAAGCTAAAATGAAGACGAAAAACAAAAACATTTTTAGTGGCGCGGCAACGCAAGTCTAAATTAAATCTACCTTACGTGGACATACATACATACATACATATATAGGCACTTCTATTAAATAAAAAAATACGCTTTGGAAAAACGACTTGCAAATTGCTTTAATTTTGTAAAATAGTTTAATTTCTAAATAAAACACCTTAATATAATAAATATTAGATTTATAGCTGATGACGAAGCTGTGAACGATCGGAGAAGATCATGGAGAAAGGCCGTAGCTTGGCTATATGAGCAATTCTTAGGCAATGTGGATAAGCCGTCGCAGACTTCTTGTCGTAAGCATGCGGCTAGTTGGGCATTCGGCCAAAACAAAGCTGATGCTGCGCACGCCCTGCGTTCGTGCTGCCAACGACTGCTCGTAGCGAGAGCCGAAGTCTGCTTGTTGAGCCGAGGCTGCAGCCGAAGCTGAGGCCGAAGCTTGACGCTGTTACAGGTGATTGCCGCCGGTCGATGCTTATGCGCTGCGGCTGTCAACGCTGCCGAATGTGTCATGTGTGTGCTTGAGAGTGTGTGTGTGTGTGTGTTTGTGTTTGTGTGTCTGCGGTGGCATAATCTTGGCCTTAAGTTTCTGACTTGACTATGCGTTGTCTTTACTGCAGCCACAGACGTTAGCGCGCGCACATCAACTTCGTCGGTCAGTCAGTCAGTCAGTCAGTCAGTCAGTCAATCCGTCAGACAATAAGGCGGCGAGCACCCAAAAGAGCGATAGGTACGAATTTTTACTTTTGGCTACGATCATTTGTCTACGAAACTTCGGCGCGTTTAGTTCGTCAGGCTTCGCAGCGCGGACAAAACAATACAAGAAAAGACATACAAACTATTTAAATTGGGTCTTGAAGCAGCAGCCAAGGCAACAGCTACAATAACAACAATATCTACAAAAAGGGCCCAGCTGCGTGGTGTGCATTGTGTTTGAAAGTGGCTGAGGCAAAAGAAAAAAATAAATTTTTTAAATAAAACGAAAAGAAAAGCGACAAAGTACTTAAATTGCAATTAAAGTTATTTGGTCTCTGTGTAAATTTGTGAAGAAAGTTTGAAGTTGCTTGAAGTAGTTTGGAGCTGTTGCGACACCTCACATCCGGCACTGTGTTGGATTAAGTGTTAAACGTAACCGTAACCGTAACCGTAATAAAATGGGTCATCTGTCCACTACGGAGCACGTTTGCAACACGGCGCCCACGCCGAGCACGGGCGAAGGCAGTCCGTCAATGTTGTCGCGTCGCTCCAAGCTAAAGGACATGTCGCCGGAGCTGTCCAATGGACAGGCGGCAAATCCAGCTGCTGTCGTTACGGAGCAGAAGGAGTACGAGAAGCATATACCACGCAACATGATCAATCTGGAGGAGTACAAGCGCTCCTTCCGCGGCGACAATATCCTTGGGTGGAAGTTTAACGCACCCTTGAAGTGGGATAAAGTCATTCAGATATCCCTTTTGCACTTCATATGTGTTGGCTGTCTGTTGACGTATCCGCTGCACAGACTCAACTGGAACACTGTGCTCTGGTGTAAGTATTACACATACGCACTGTTGTGCGCCTCACATTACATAACATCTTATTTGGAGCATTGTCATCATGACCGCCACGGTCAACATTAAAACCAACGACAATCGGCCGCTACAGACCGACACATTTGCAACGAAGTTAATTGAGAAAGGCGTTGAATAGACGGTCGCAAACAAAAGTATTTCATATCTATAGGTATGTTACATCAACCTGTGACTCAAACCTTAGGCCCAGGTCTCAGCCTCTTAAAGATTGTCGTGTTTGCTTGTCATCGCACCTACAGACGGCTACTAAACAAAACAAAAAAAAAAAAAAAAAGATAAAAAAACAACAGAAAAGCACACATACGCTCTGCAATTATTTGCAATTTGCCGCGGCTCCCAATGTAAATCTGTTGGCGTTTTACACGCCGTTTCAAAAAGAGCACACAAATTTTGGTTTATTTTATTTTGTTTTTATTTTTGTCGACTTCAACATTTCGACATATTACAGCTTACATTTCGTGGCTGTTGTTGTTGTTATTGCCTTTAATTAACTGCTACTTAACATGCTTCTCTGCAGCTTGTTGCCTCCACAACCTTTGCACTCCGAAAAAAATTGCATACCACTAGTGTAAAGTATTTGGGAGAATTAAATGCTTTCAAGTACTTGTATTCATATATGTATGTATACTCGTAATTGTGAAAATATCTAGCTTATTTGAAAGAAATGGGGGGTTTTTGGGAATTCGGTTTCTACGTATGTTGTAGAATTTTCTAGATTGGTTTTGCGTGATTTCATCTTGTTTTTTCTCTGAGTGTGACTGCGTCGCTGTCGAAATTTCAATGGCGCCCTCTCTTTGCTTTTTTCGGGTCTTCATTGTCTTCATTTCTTCGCATTTGTTGATTTTCGTTTTTTAAGTTTTCGGTTTTATTTTCACAAAGTTTTGGTATGCAATTTCAGCATAAAATTTGACTGACACAAGTGAATTATGAAAACGAAACGTTCGAAAAGGTTGCCAAAAGAAAAGCACGAAAAATGAGTTGACACAAATTATTCGAAGCGCTGAATTTTGATATGCATACAAGGGCCCTCAAAGACAGTCAAAACAATGGTCAATCATAGCCAAGGTTGCTGCAGCTGTTCTTAAGTATGTACTCTACTACGTTTCAAGCAGTATGTCGTTGCCAACTTCCTGGGCCTGGGCACGTGTTGGGACCTCAGGGGCGACACTTGTACAAAAGATTACACAAAATATTTCGCAAACCCCCTGTTTGCCGGCAAAAACGAAAAAAAAAGACGAGCAACAAAAGAGTTGAACTTGATATACGCACGTAAAGCTCAAAAAAACGGCGCAGACAATGCTATCGGGCCTACAGTATTGCCTCGTAGCTAAAGGCAAAGTAAAGATGGTATTTCGCTCGATACACCAACTCTTTGTTCGCACTGTACACGTCACACGCTGCCAATAAGTTTATGGACATATATGATGTATTCCACATACACATGCGATGTGCGCAGCCGCGGACAGACAGACAGACAGACGCACCCATGGACCGACTTACAGCTCTGAAGATGGCATTGAGCTGGTCGCGGCCGATGCGTTTTCGATTTCATTGGCGGCATGGGAAATACCGCGTTTCCTTCGAAATCAGAAAAAATTGCAATTCCAAGCAGGCACGACCAAAAGTTGTTAAATATATTGTAAATTTTAATATTTATTGCTCATTGCGTTGCAATTTTCCCTGACAAGGATCCCCACAATGTTCCTTTTTTGTGCACGGGGCGTTCAGGTCGTAAATATTTAAGCAAATTGCTGCTTGACGCATGTTCCATTTTTTTGTTGCTACTTGTATACTACTTGTATATAGTTTTTTGCAGCCTTTTAGAGTGTCTTAAGATGAGGTTGGTGCAAATTGTCGTGCTTCGTGGCAGTGAAATAATATTGATTAAGCGCTGGACCACAATATGGCATCTGTCGTTTTTATGCAACTCTTTTATGGGCCATTAAAAATAAAAGAAAAATTCGTAGTGCGGTTGGCGCTAATGAAGCTTGACCAACAACAAAAAACTGAGTAAAAACTAACATTTATATAAGGGAATCACAAGAGATTAATTTATGTGTTATGAATTTTGCTTTTGCAAATTGTCACGCCGGTTCGTTCAACTCAGCATTAGCTTTACCTTTAGGTACATCTTTCGTTTCGGAAATGCGGACAATCATGGTTTCACAACTGCGACCAGTGTGACGGACGGACGGGCGGACGGACTTATGCAACTTGTGCATTTCATTTTCATTTAAAATTGAAATGAATTGATTTTGTTTTGGGCTCTGCTTTTGATAGACACTGTTTTTGGCCTTCGCAGTGGTTATTTATCCAGCGTCGATAATCAAAACGACTCGAACGTGGGCAACATTCTTAAATTTTATTAATTTGTTGCCAAACAGAGCCGTCGCTTTTCGATAGATGGATAAACAGGTGGTGGACCATTTCAATGAGTTACCCATGCTGTAGTTATTTAATTTTTTATTACGAATTCCCATATTGAGGAACTGGTTTTTTGGGCAATGACTTGATTAGGCAGGCAGGCCGGGAGGCAGCCAAACAACAAATGTTGAAGGTTAATCTTTCATTCAAGCGCGCAACTCTTAACACTTGAGCGATAGCGTTTCTCTGTCCCAGTTCCCCGCCTCGTCCCTGTCACCATAAGAAATCTTGAATGTCTCATTAATGGTTCATTGTGAAATGTCCCTATACTTGTTTATGCTGTTGGACTTAGTTTAGGCTCAGTTTGTTGTTTAATTGAAAGTATTGGCTTTGAAGTCCATTGTCTTTAAAAGTTAGTTGCAATACATTTGTTTTTATATTATTTTTTTAGTATTTACTCGTATGTATTCGCATGCGTTAATTGTTAGGAAAAGTTCCGGCTGCAAACTATAAATAACTATCTATGCCTTGATTAAGATTGCGTTTAATTATTTTTCTAGCGGGTAAGTGGAAAGTATCTGGCAGATCAATTTGCATTCGAAGTGACAGTCATCGAACGTGCATCACGCGCGTCATTCCATTTAGCATTTTTCTCTGTAACAATGCAGCTCAGTGGAATCTGTCATTGATAAATACACAAATTTAGACAATAATTAGAGAGCTGCCATTAAAAATAACAAAATGACTATGGAATCTCCGCCATGATATAGCATTATGGACAATTTGTGCTATTCAAGGTGCTAGAACCTTGCACTCAAATGCATATTATGCTGGTCAGGGAGGAAATCGTGCCTCTTTCCATCATTAAATTGAATTAGAGGTGCTTCTGGTCTGAAGCCTGCAATTATATTGTGCTTAAGCTAGAACCCCTATATAGTCAGAGTTTAAAGGGTATACGACCGACCTTCACTCGCTCTGCTCTGATAGACACGTTTAGTCGTGATAGCTGTTTGCTTAAATGGTTAACAACATAATACGAATAGCTCTATTTCCGTCAATGTAATTTGGTATTTTCACATTTGATTAGCACCGCTTTTAGTTCGGATGACACATAAAGCTAGAAGCTAGATTAGCTTAACCTCAACTTATGCAAACATTGATTTATGTTCTAACCTTCTCTCTCTCTCTCTATCTATATTTGTAGCCTTCTTCACTGGTGGCGTGGCCGGCTTTGGAGTCACTGCTGGCGCCCATCGTTACTGGACACATCGCAGCTACAAGGCGAATGTTGTGCTGCGCTTCATTTTGATGATCTGCTTCTGCGTGTCGGGACAGGTGAGCGGAATGCTTAGATAACGAATGAATATGTTTAATATCCTCAAGCTATAGTCAGGCAGGCAAATGAAAAATTGGGCCCAAACTTCTACCAATTAATTGCAGCCAAAAAAGACAATTCTTTTACTACAAACAAACAGATTTCAACTTATTTTTCATGGCCCATTCGAATAATTGCACAAATTAGTGAGCAAAGTATTTGTCTGTCTGACCAGAGCATTAGTTTAGTTTCTGCTTTTCGGTGGCGAAACAGGTAATCAAATTAGTTGGATAAACAATTGTCAAATTTGAAAGACAAACAAATTATTTGCGCGCACATTCCACCAATTTTATGAGCATGTTAGTTTGCCTGTCTGACCGTAGCTCCAGTTTGGTTTAGAAAAATTACAAAACCTTAGTATCTATCTGATGCTCAACTTATTAGTTAACATTTGTAATAATAATTAAATAGGTCTTTTAAATACCAATTTCATCACAATTACTGACAGGTCTGGCTAACGTATGATTATTACAAGCATGACCTTTTTAATGTTCATTGCAAAAATGCGCGAACATTTTTGCAATGTAATTGACATATGTTTTTCGTTTTTGGTTTTTTGTTTCTTGTTTTTGTTTTTGATTTGTGCCTATTCATTTCCATCAGCTTTTGCTGCAGTGTCGTTTTTTCTCTTCAACTGTAAAATCGTCATAAATGTAATTAACATTAATGGCATCATTAAATATAACAACTTGATGCCTTTTTGTTGTTGCTCGCTAGTCTACTGTGCATAAGTTTGTGTTTCGCGTTTGTGCCTGCAAACTGCAAATCAACAAAGCTGTCAATTTTCAGCAGTCACTGTTGTCTGTTGTCAACAATGGCCTGGCTTGGGTCTGCTGTGTACAGTCGTGTATCCCACAGATACATTTGGTCGGTTGCTTTGGTTTGGTTGTTTAATGACTGCTGCGATTAAGCGCGACGTCCATCAAGCAAAAGTCGTAAACTTTAATTTTTATAGAGTGTTAAATGACAAACCGACGAACCGCACTGACCCACAAACGCGTTCGCACGCCCATCCTCGCCATATACTCGTAATATTAAACTAAGCGCCCTTTTACACCTCTTGCCTTTTTGCAGAACACTCTCTATGACTGGGTGCGCGATCATCGAGTGCATCACAAATACTCGGAGACAGACGCAGATCCCCACAATGCCAATCGCGGCTTCTTCTTCTCGCATGTGGGCTGGCTGATGATGCTGAAGCATCCAGAAGTGCTGCGTCGAGGCCGTCAGATCGATATGAGCGACATCATGGCCGATCCGGTGGTTCGTTTCCATCAGAAATACTTCGTACCGTTGAAGATCTTCCTCTGCTTTATACTGCCCACCGTGGTACCGGTCTACTTCTGGGGCGAGGAATGGGCCCTCTCGTTTATCCAGCAGTGCATCTTTCGTTATGTGAGCAGCCTGAACTTCACCTGGTCTGTGAATAGTGCGGCGCATTTGTGGGGCTCCCGACCATTTGACAAGTGAGTAAAAGCTTCACTCATGCTCGGGCAATTGCTTCATTGCTGTTGCTTTCTTTCCAATTCATTTCTGCAGGCGCATCATGCCCAGCGAGAACATTTACGTCTCCATTGTAGCCATGGGTGAGGGCTGGCACAATTACCACCACGTCTTCCCCTGGGACTACAAAGCAGCGGAGCTGGGCCAATATTCGGTAAACTTCACCACCATGGTGCTGGATGCCTTCCACAAGCTGGGCTGGGCCTGGGACATGAAGCAACCTTCCAAGGAGCTGGTGCTTCGCACGCTCCAGAAATATGGCGATGGCACACACAAGTCGCAGCAGGGAAAGGAGGGCGTGGACGGCACCTCAGGTGCTGGCACACAAATGATCGGCCATATACACTATGCCGAGGTGCCCGATCCGGAGTTGGAGGATGAAGCCGAGTCGAGCAGCACGGAGAGCGCCAAGCTGGATGAGAACGAGAACGAGAGCGAGCGGCAGAAGAAGGCAACGAAGAAGGTGGCCACTTAGTGGCTTACTGGAACCAAGTCTTTGGTTACTTAAGTGTGGGGCTCAGAAATGTACAAGAAAATCACAAATGTTTTTTTAATATCTATTATTTAATGCAAGGCCTCCAACTGGAGAACAGGTCTTGTATGGCTGTACTATATACGATATCTGTATCTATGCATCTGTATCTATACCTTTCTACACTTGCGCATTATTCAAACCTGAAGCGAGGGCGGGATTTTTTGATAGATGATATTTGTTTATCTTATTTTATTTTATTTTATTCGTATTTTTATTTGTATTAACCTCAATCTCAAATTGTCGTGCTACACCTTTCAGGCGCGAGCTCTTTTTTGTGGTCAAATGGGTTTCCGTATGTATAAGACAGATTTCGACTTCGACTTCCGACTCAGACAATACAAATACAAGAACACCACCATTATGGTCTTATGACACTGGACTACACTCTAAGCTAGACATTTAGTTTGACTGTGAAAAAGAGATCCAAACAACCAGCTATTGCAGAGCAAGAATTGTATACTCTGCTGTATTGTGTTTTTAATGTTCGACCATCAATTTTTCCTTCAAGTTCAGTTTTATGTCTGGTGTAATAAGGCCATAAGAGCTGCAATGCAAGCGACAATAAAGCACCAAGAACGAAGCACACACCCATCCATAATCATTTGTTTAGGTCTAGGTATTTAGCATTTAGCATTATACGACATAATTTAAGCGAAACAAAATCGGAAAATAAATATACATACTTATAAAAAAAAACAAAACAAATGTACAAATAAACAATTCTAAAAACTACAAATTCGCACAATCTGCTGTCTTTATTCTGCAGGGGGAAATAGTAGAAATGAGTTCTTCCAAAAATGTTCTAAAGAGTTTGTTAACTTATTCATTTGAATACAAATATATCAATATTTACTGTATTGATGTTAATTTGAGTCGATATTTTCATTTCATTTGATGAAGCTGACACAGCCTTAGTCTATAGTATTGGATATTCAAGCTCATTTCTCTGAAATATTTTCGCTAATTCAAAAATCATTTCTTTTTTGAAGTAGACGTGAAGCATTTAAGCGATCGTTTTTATGCCCTGTACCCAAAGGGCAAAAGGGTATATAAGTTTTGTTCGAATGCATGTAAGATACAGAAGGAATATATAGTTTGTGGATCAGGATGACAAGATGAGTCGATATCTGCCCAAGCTCTGCCGGCAGCTGTTGTTGTTGCTGCTTTACACATAGACACGTGCTTGATGTATATGTATGCAGTTGAAACTGTACATAAACCTATGTCTCCATTATTTATGTATTTTTTTTATTTAATAAAATACATTTAATTTTTCTGAATTAATTAAAAGTGTTATATAACTTTTTTCTTTTCTGTTGGAATGGATTCAGGGTATTTAAGAGTTTAAGAGCCCTCTCGACTCTAGCATTCCTATCTTGTTCCTTCTAATTTAGGAGCTGTTTTGTAGTAAAATTGTGTACATATTTCAAGAAAAAATGTTCACGAAATTGATATTTTTGACAACAATATTAAACGCTCTAGCACAGCTTCGGCACACTCATTTCCTATGCATAATGGCTAATCTGACCCTTTTTGTCATTCACTGATGTTTTGCTTAAATTAACCTTTCCGTGTCCATTACGAAACTTAATGGCAATATTTAAATATTAAATACTAACCAATCGTCCGAGTGTTGCACTATTTGGACCAGAAAAAGGGCGCCCACTCTAGACAGCTGCCAACTGGTTTTGTTTGACTTTGGACTACGTGATCAATGATGAGTACGTCAGAGGAGGTGGTTTGAGTTGCAGGAGTGCAGAAATGCTAGCTAATCGGTGGCTGCATCCCAGCTATTTCTATATGTACTTGTATGTATGAGGACAAGTGGCCTACGTGCGGTTTGCACGTAAATCCATTTGCAAAAAGCAGTCGCAGGGCCTTGAAAAAGGTTCTTTTTTGCAATTTTCATCACGTAGGTTGTGGGAATTCCCAATATGCGCCGCCTAATTGTTCTCTCTTTTTTTTATTTATTGTTCTTATGATTGGCTAGTCAGTAGGTAGGCCTAAGAGCTAAACGAGTGATGCGAAAACATCAATATTTGTGCAGTGACCACAAAACTCACTCACACGTAGTCATCTCATTAGTAAAGGTGCAGCAAAAGTGTCGCAAATCTATAACTATATGTATCGGTCTCAGTCACGGCTTGTTAACTATTTGAGCTGACTTCAGTTTGGCTTGAGTGCGCTTAATGTGCCATCTTGTTGTGGTCATGATCGTGGTGTTGGCCAAAAACGCCTCTTAATTAGTGATACGCCAGCAGATGAGTGAACGCCAACTACACCACCCACGACCTGCGACCCACGACAGTCGCTGCTCATGTTAATTGAAGGTCAGTCAACAGGGCGATATTAACTTGATGTACAAAATAGTTTTTGCATTTCATTTCTTCCCTGAACTGCAAGTTTTTGATTTTGCTTCATGATGCTAAGTTCATTTACATATATATATCGCTTGGCATTGCGCTCTCCAATATGTGCTGCATTTGCAAATTTTACAAAGTCAGCCACTTGCATGTGTGTGTAAGTACTTACATATATGTATGAATGCATGTATTTACATAGTTTTGTGTATACACAAACATATTTATGAGTGTATGTGTGCTTTCGCATTGGGGGGCAATAAACAGTTGTATATTGTTTCCAGCTCACAATCTGGCTTACACTTTTCAGGGCCGAAACGAAAAAAAAAAAACAACACGTGGGTGACGGCTCTTGATTTTCAGGTCTGCCATGGAAGACACGCTTTACCTATTTTGGTATTTATGTATGTATACAAGTATTTCCACATGTATTTGGTTGTTAGGCCTATTTGTTTTAGTGAAGACATCGACTCTTTATAGCTCACATCACAGTTATTAATTGCGAGCATCCACGTTGAATTGAATTGCAAATTTGTGTTGTAAGCTGAAAATGTTAATCATATTTCAAACATGTGCCATCCAATATTCCAATTTTGGCCAGTGACATACATAATTTATGACCCTTTGCTCTCAAGTGACAGTTTTGCATATGCAAAGGCGTTGGCCCTTTTATGGGTAGACTTCGACGTATGTATTGTTTTCCAACTACAAGTATTCCCAAAATATAACGTTCACAATTAAATTTCAAAGCTGGCATGAGGTGGTAATCAAAGAAGTTGCGCAACTTTCTCAAATTATTTTACTTAAGACCGCCATCTAAATATCTCATTATCTTCCAGAAAAAATATAAACTTTCGCAATTAAAAGACCACCCAGCAAAACGGTTTATTTTATTACCGCTGCAGAGGTGACACCTTCATTTTCCAATGTGGCTCTGACTGCCTAACAAACCGTTAATAACCTTGCCAAGAGCTCGGTGACGAAAATCATTGAGGTAATTTGCGTAACATTTGCAACGAAGCACGAAAATGGAAACCGAAAGCAGCGAAAAGAGTGAAAAGAAACTAGCGCAAGTTCGAGCCATTGCTAATGGCTTGAGCCCCAAAAACAGATGCCGATGGTATCAATAAACGAAAGTAAACAGCGGCCGCAACCACAGCAACAAACAAATTGAAAGCCAACATAAACAAATGCCGAGGCGTCCAGTTTTATATGCAATTATGAAGACAAGAGCCAAACTTCGACTTTACGTCGATTTTGAAAGGGTATTTTGTAATCTTAGCGCGCAGGTTTTTCTAATATGTTGGCGCCGGATGCTGCGCCAACGTACGAGTATGTATGAATGTATGTTCGTATATAAATAGTTTGTGTATGTGTCGTCACTCATTGAGCATACGTCATTAAACGCTGAATATTTGATTTCGACTTAAAGATTGATTTGTGTTATTGCCACATGGAATTTAAAATACAATAGAAAACTCAAGTTTTCATTGTCTAAGTGACAAATGTTTAACAACTTTTGCAATTTCTTTGTCGCTGTGTTGAAACCAGTTTCAAGATTCGTCAAGCGACAAAGCGAGCAAATTGTATAGTTACAAATATTTACGTACATATTTAGACCAAAATGCAGATGACTTGTATGATTTTTTTCAATAATAATGCAGGTGTCGTAGAAATAGACAAAACAAAAAACTATTTGAGCGCAAAAAGCATGAACCGCGAAGTACAGGTTTTGAAAACGTCAAAGTTTCCGACTTCACGTGCTGCAGTAAACACTGTAGGCGTAGGTATATATGCATAGAATACATACCTACATATGTACATACTTGCACATACATATGAATGTACGTCCCTCTGAGTTATGAGTATGTGCAAACTTTATGTGCAGTTTATGGCTGTTTTTTGCAAATCATTTTCCACAGTTGCGAAAACCCTTGATGTGAGCTGAGCTGGCATTAAAGTAAGTGCCAGAAACAGACAGACACACACGGGCGCAATTAACAACACCCTCAACTTGCTGCGGTCTTACAATTTATGACAATGTTATAAAATATGAACGAATATGAAAAAATAAAAAAATTGAAAACTATAATGTTGACATTTGTCCCCTTTACGACTAATGGTCGCCGTATCTTGCGCAAGTCTACCAGCGACCAGTTTCAAGTACCAGCGTCAACTTTACGAACGGACCGAGACATTTTTTAAATGCAGAGCATTTCCGGTATGCCGCTCAAGGCATACATTATCCACACAGTGGAGCTCTAATTATCAACAGACACCGCAACTAAGTTAAGTCGGCAGTGGACACATGTGTGACATAGACCTTTCTTAATTTGCAACTTACAAATCGAATACAAATCACAGTTTTACCTATTATGTTTGTTTTTAAATATTTCTTATTCCATATATAGGCGATTGTTTGACAAATTCATCGAGTTTGCTTTGGAACAACTCTGAAGTAACTACCGTTCCGGGCGTCCAAAGTGGATCTCGCACTACGTATTCGACCCAAACTTTGGCGTATAGTTGCTGCAGCAGCTCTTTGACATTAATGACTGCTGTGTCCGTATTAAGCACAAATCTGGGTTAAACACATAATAATAAGATAAGTTGTTACGCTTCATCACAGTCCACTTACTTTAATCCTGAAGGAGTTTCCAGATAATGCAAAGCGTACCGATTTGTTTTGTAGTAGAGAAAACCTTCGCGAGGATCGTGGGGTGAAATTTTGCTTACAAAAGATTTAATGGAGTACAGCATGCCATATGTAAGTTTGTATTCCTGGAATAAAATAAAATATGATCATCTTGAATATGGCTCTTGGAGTGTAGCTCCATAGAGCAGCACATACTTCCTCGCTGGTAATTCCTGAACTTTTCGTACGATTCCATTCGGCGTAGTGCAGCAGTGTACCAAATTTGTCGAATATGTACAGGTTATATATGGTCATTGTGATTATAAGAAACCAAATTACGCCGGCCAATCAAAATTTAATTGCACAGTAGTGCAAATTAAATGCTGTAAATGTTTGTAAACTTTTTTTTTTGTCGATTTTCTATTCATTCGTTGTGTACTAACAGCTGGGCTCAGTATTTTAAGTGCTGCCAATAGATACAAAAATTGTTTGGTATTTCTGATAACACCAGCAGTGCTGCCAATCTATTTTCTTGCAATACGTTGGTCAAAAACAAATGAACTATTAAAATAAAAATTCTCCTCAATAAATTTCTCCTTTATTAAAAATAAATTTACAAGCTTTTTGGTTTCCCTACATTATCATTGTCAGAGCTGTCAGCTGATTGGCGCGAAGCAGAAGGCGAGTTTCTGCTAGCATTGCTATCTGAAGTTCTTGCTGGACTTTTCCGCTTTTTGTGCTTGTGAATTTCAACGACATGAGGATATGGTTTGGCTGGTGTGTCAGTGTTTATGCTTGCATCTTGGTGCCTACGAATTTTATTTTCCAGCTTGTGTTGTTTCGCGCGAGTGCTGGGCAAGGCTTCATCTGATTCTGAATGCTGTTCCTCCGAACCTTTTACAAGACTCCTTCTTTTTTCCTTTCCAGCAACTTCGACTACATAGGGATAGTCTCTTACTTTAAACTCAACCGGAGGCAGATTAGTTGCCGCTGATTTCTGTTTAATTGAGTCATCGTTAAATTGGACATCATTTGATTTTGCAGTACCAGGAGCTTGCTCAGGCCTTTGAGGAAAAATGGTATTGCTGGCCTGCTCATCGACACGAACGATGTAAGGATAGCTGATATTGGAGGGCACCTTTTCCCCTTCAGTATCTTTTGACACCACACTACTGGAATCAGATCTTGCTGAAATGTATTCTTGCTCCGATGCGGAACTGTCATCGCAGTTACATGTGCTTTAAAATAATTTTGATCTTTAAGGTATCTGCCACTGGATAAATGAGTATTTCAAAACTTTACTTAATTTTTATGTTCCTAATTTCATGCTCGCTGGATGTTTCCGTAGCATCATTCGGCGACTTTTTTGCTTTGGGACCATCTATTTTATTTGTGAGATCTACTGTGCCACGTTTGTTTTCGATTTTTTTCCTGGAATGATTTTTTAGGGACTGAGCATCTTGGGATCGCGCGCTGTTCTCGACCAGCGCAGTCTTACCCGATTTCGATTTTGATTTCCTGCTGGTTTCCCGACTACTAGGAACTGGGGTTACAGTATGACGGTGTGACGTACTAGTTGTTGGTCCATCTCGAGCTCTGCGTGAGTGGTCATGAACTTCCATCCTTGAGTATTCAAATGGGTCTTCTATGCCACGCAACTTCTTTTGACTTTTGCTAGATGGATTTCGGCGATGCTTTTGTGGCTTATGTTCTTCGTTGGGATACGAGAGTTGTCGTCTACGATCCTCACTTGAGTGATGTTGCCGCCGCGACGATTGAGGATCAGCATCAGATAATCGCCTGATTCTGTGCTCATAGATTGAGCTTGAATGACCGCGTAAGGCGCGCACGTCGGCTTCCCCATATGCTCGGTTTTGGAGTGATTTACGGTCCTGTTGAGACGAACGCTGTTTGTGCTCGCGCTTTGGACTACCAGATGGGCTTAATTCCTGGGACTCTGCAGAGAATCCGTGGGCCGTTGGTGTTCCTGCGTCAAGTAGAGCGGAGCTTCTACGTAATTCTGGGCTTCGCTTAGCAGATGAATGCCGACGAGAAGGCGGCAGCCCAGTTTTTTGAGTAGATGGTGCAGAATTTTTTCTTTGGTGTGATGCTTCTGAAGTGCTTTCAGGATGTGGGGATGATATTTCTTGTCTGCTAGTACGTACTGAGCTACCGCGGCTAGTAGTTGGTGTTGTTTTTCTTGCACTAGGATGGAATGGTCTTGTAACTAAAAAAAAGAAAACAAATTACGGGAGCACAGGTCTACCATGCTTAAAATTAATCACTTGAGACGTCAGAGCTCGAGAAAGGCGGTAACAAGGCAGATGTGCGTTGATCCCGAGATGGTGGATCCGGGCTGGTTATGGGTGCTGGCGGTATAATGAACGGCTGAAGTGGTTCTTGAACTGATCCTGCACGTGATCCTTGGTGTGACGTTTGTGTGTGTGCTGACTGAGGCTCAGCTTGATATTGCGGTTGTGGTGGGTAAAATGGTTGGGGTTGATATTGATATTGCATATGAATTGGATACGCATAATATTGATTGTTGCTTACTTCGGGAAAGATATTATCCCACTGTAAAAGAAACAACCATGAGTCAGCAGCTTCATACAGTCAGTCAGTGTTTGCTTACCATATAAAATAGACAGACGGCAATCAAAAAAGCCAGTAAGAGAACTGCAGTGAACTTTGTGAATTGTAACATTAAAAATAACACAACCGCGGCTAAAATCTCGGCATGCTGAACTCCCAACAATTCAACTACATGTCGTATCTCCACAACGCGGGCCGCTTGTAAGTAGCTGACAGCACATCCCAGTGCATCGCAGCCTTGTCGTAACACGGCTGACATTTTGGGAGAAACGTATTGAGAAGAATTATATGGCCAACTGGATCTGAGAATTATCACACTGCATATGGATATGAAATTTGAAATGTTTTAAAATTGCGCCAAGTGTGTATGTATGTACCTTCTGGCAGAATGGGTAGCACTGCTCGGTCAGCTGTTTGACCACTCCGTGATATTTGTTTTGATAAGCAAATGTGTAATGGGCGTTTAAAAACGGAAGCATATGCCGTATAATTTAAGGCAAAAAATCCTTTAATTCCTGTTTGAGCTGCTTCTATCTAATGTTACGACGTACCATGGCTGAATTTGATATCAAAGCCGGCTTACAGCACGTACTTCAGCGCATTGATGAGGTTTCCATGCATCGGCCAAAAGTGAGTTATTATTCGCGATAGCTAAAAATTATAGTGAACGGCTGCTTGCAGGAAATTATTGCGGCTAAGCCAATACTAGTAGCTGTCAGTAAGACAAAGCCTGCGGAGGCCGTCATAGAAGCGTACAATGCTGGGCAAAGACATTTCGGTGAGAACTATGTCCAGGAATTGGTGGAGAAGAGTCAGCATCCGGATATTTTATCGAAATGTCCCGAGATTAAGTGGCATTTTATTGGTCATCTGCAGAGTAACAAAATCAACAAGGTCAGCCATCAAACAAACTATGATCATCAGTAATTATTTGTACCTTTTAAGCAGATACTCAAGTTGCCCAATCTGCACATGATCCAAACCGTCGACAGCAAAAAACTTGCTACTAGCCTCGAGGGTGCTTGGTCAAAGCTGGAACCAGAGGATAAAGAACCACTGCGGGTCCTCATACAGATAAACACCAGCGGTGAAGAAGGTGTGCTTTTGAATATTTGTTTGAGAAAAACTGCTAACACATTTACATTATCACGCCATAGCCAAGAGCGGCATATCGCCCAGTGAGGCGCCTACGCTGTATAACTACATCCGTACAAACCTAAAGAATTTGCAATTGGCTGGCATTATGACCATAGGTGCCTATGGATTCGACTACAGCACTGGCCCTAACCCAGACTTTGTTTCGCTTATGGCGGTGCATAACAGCATTTGCCGTGAAAACAATCTGCCTCCCGAGTCGGTGCAGGTGTCCATGGGCATGTCCAATGACTACGAGAAGGCGGTAAGTAATGTTAAGATATTTTCCATTGTATGTGCCAAACTAATACATGATCCGTTTGCAGATTGAAATGGGAAGCAGCATTGTGCGCGTTGGCACATCTATTTTCGGTTATCGCGCGGCCAAAGCTTAAGGTCGTGCAAGGGGCATGTTGAGGGGAATGGTGCCACGATGGAATGCGCGCTCTCACCCTCGGGTGGTTCTCTAATATCAAGCATCAAAATCAAATATAGTTGGTTTTCAATGACGTCGCAAAGTTGCTGGGATATGTGATTGGCGTTTTGGAGCTCATTTCGTCTATGTGTAGGCGAATTCTAGTATAAATTGTACATATGCATGAAGAAATATTTGATTTTAAATTTAGCCAATTTCCAGAAAACAAAAATATAAAAAATGAGCGTAGGATTTTACCTGCATCTTATTTGATTTATCTAAAATGATATAGTATATATCATATATATGTATTTGCGTATAGTCGGGTACATACATAAACATATTGTTGTTAGTTTGAGAACATTTCAATAACTTGGAAATGACAAATCAATTTATTTTTGAACTGTGCGGCGGGGACGAGGTCGTATATAATAATGAAACAAACAACAAAGATTAGGCATAAGGATGATTTGCAGTGCATACCAGCAAACACACCCGATCTTGCTTGAATTATGGAATACATACATACATATGTAGCACGAATCATTATTTTTCTGGCATCCATTTGGGCTCTACCTTTGTACAAATTCTATTTTTAACATTTGTGCATTAGACTTCTATACATCGTGTAGTTGAGAATTCTTCTTGTATTTTTTTGGCGTGCGTTCAAAATGTCGCCTGGTTACATGCCAAATTTTAAAGCGTCTTTGAAATGTTCGCTAAAAATCACTTTTAATGTGGCACGAAAAAAAATTGCAATTGTATTCAATTTATATTATTTATGTCTGATCGATAAAATCTTTAATGAATTTGCATACATATGTATTCGTAGTATTAAAGAGATGTATAAAAGTTCGGCGGCCTTTAGAAAATTCATTGAAATACCGACATATTACATGAAATGCTGATTTCTTAAAATATATTATGTATGTACTACAGAAATTGGAAATTGGACTGGAAAAGTTCATTTAACTTTGCAAAGAGACGTGCTTAACGTATAATTTTCATTGTTATGCAAGTTTATGAATATATGAATAGACAATATATACAAGTATGGTATATGTACATATGTATATAAAATATTTGCATTATTCGCTGTTGCTAACATGCTGGCGAAATATCATGTTCGTTGCTTATATACATACATATATAAATGACACAATGTATGACACAAAATATAAAATATATAGAAAAACAGTTCCAAAGCCAAATATATGAGGAGTGCTTCTAGGATCGTCATATTGCCCAAGAAATGAAAGCAATAATAAAGCAGAACATACATACGAGTATGTGTGTATGTAAGCAAGGGAAAATACCATCCAACGAGCCAGATAAACGCATACACATATATACAATATAAAACAGTATAAGTATGTATAACCTCGGAACAGTATATAACTGATCCATGTATGAACATGTAAACATAGGCGAGACCCACATGTGTGTGTGTACGAGTATTTGCTCTCGAGACAAATGTAGGTGATTTGAACGCAAGAGGACACCTTTACCAAATACCTCAATAATATAGATGGACAGAATGTGTATTTGCGTATATGTATTGGAAATATACGTGTATGTATCTACAACAAAGAGCAGAAGCATAAAACAAAAAATGTTTTCATACCACACAAAAATAAAAATTGAACGAATATATGTACGCATTTTCCGAAGGCGAGCGAAACAAAATGAAAACTTAAAGCATTTTCTTTGCCGTTAAAATTAGAATTTGATTAGAGGAGCGTACGATGAGTAAACATCCGAGGCGCTGGCTAGACCCCCAAACACCACTCCACCATGCCTTGCAGATACTAAAAAAGGCAGCACGAATATTGCAGATACAGATACGGCGAGCCGAGTGAACCGAGCGATGACGACGACTATGGGGCTCGGTACCGCAGCCTATGGCGCCCGATGTTTGAATATATATATATGTATGTGTGTGTGTGTGTGTGTGTGTGAGTGTGTGTGTGGAAAAGAAAATGCCAAAATGATCTTAAAACATCGTTGTCTTAACGATAAAATCAGCCAGAAGTTTCAGTGTGCTCTGACCGCTCGACTCGTTTAGACAACACATCAAAGTTCAGCACCATGGTAAGGAATTCGGGATATACATCCAACTACCATGAATATATACATATGTCTACATATGAAAAAAGGACTCGACCCCAGTTGTGTAGTGAATATTTTAAATGGCTAGAAATAATAATATTAAAAAAAGGAAAAACATATAACCAAAATGAAAAATAAAATTAAATGCAGTTCAAATAAAAAATCGCAAATAAATGCAATTTAAATGGTGATCTTACGCAATTAAACTCAATTTTGTATGGATATCGCACTGACCCCAATGACTCACCTGCGTGTGGATTATTGTGCCAGACTTACATACTTGTACATACATATGTACATATGTATATAGTTTGTATGTATTTGTGGATACCAACATTTAAAATAACGGATACATTTATGCTGAAACTATTTTTAAACATTGAGGAATTGTGTTAATATTAAAATTTTTAAACAAAACTTTTCGTATACATAATGCTAAAAATGGAATTGAGAGCAAATTTCGAAACTTTTACGCGTAGTAACGTAATACGATATAGAAGAATGCCAGAGCGGGATGGCAAGTGTATGAAAGGGCATTACGCAATCTGTGGCACATATTTTTAGTAACGTAATACTGTGAAAGCATTAATTCGTTTTTTTTTCGAGAAACAAATTTAATTTGAAAAATCTTTAAAGAACCTTCAAGCTATTTCAATGCAAGTCTAGATTTACGACGTCACTTATATATGTACTTTTTTCTTTCATTGCTCATTCCCTAGGCCGATGAGAAGAAGAAGGTTAAGAAGAAGAAGACCAAGGAAGAGGGTGGTACTTCTGAAACCGCTTCTGAAGCCGCATCTGAGGCAGCAACCCCAGCACCAGCTGCAACTCCTGCCCCAGCTGCTTCTGCCACTGGATCGAAGAGAGCGTCAGGCGGCTCTCGCGGCTCCAGGAAGTCGAAGCGCGCTGGTTCCAGCGTGTTCTCTGTCTTCTCCCAGAAGCAGATTGCCGAATTCAAGGAAGTAAGTGTTAACATTAGAAGATTTTATACTTCAACACCCGCACGAATGTCATGCGCTCAATCCTCAACCAATTCCTCGCACAAGTCAACGACCAAATCACCAACCCATTCTCTGTCTCTTTCTCTCTCTCTCTCTCTTTACAAATGTGAACTGCGTGCACATAAAATAGGCCTTCCAACTTATGGATGCCGACAAGGACGGTATCATTGGCAAGAACGATCTGCGCGCTGCCTTCGATTCCGTCGGCAAGATAGCCAACGACAAGGAGTTGGACGCCATGTTGGGCGAAGCCTCTGGTCCAATTAACTTCACCCAATTGCTGACCTTGTTCGCCAACCGTATGGCCACCTCCGGTGCCAACGATGAAGACGAAGTTGTTATTGCTGCCTTCAAAACATTCGATAACGATGGTCTCATCGATGGTGATAAATTCCGCGAAATGCTCATGAGCTTCGGTGACAAATTCACCATGAAGGAGGTTGATGATGCCTTCGATCAGATGGTCATTGATGATAAGAACCAAATTGATACCGCCGCCCTGATCGAAATGCTCACCGGCAAGGGTGAGGATGAGGAGGAGGAAGCCGCCTAAGCAGCAGCCCCACACACATCCTAACTTCTAACTCAACATCCATATTACAGCCAAAACTTTTAAAATCGTCAAAAAAACAAAAAATAAACGTAATTAAAAGAAATGCTCGTTTTAAATATGTAAATTTATATATTTATATAATCTCTTTTGTTAAAAAAAAAAACAAACACCAAATAATACTCTAAACTTCTTCAACAACAAAGTAGTGATCAACTATTTGGTAACAAAAACAACAACACCTTAGAGTCATTTACCATGTACCGCATGTACCGTATCCATATAAAGGTACTTTTAAAGATCAAATCACAATACCAATACCAACAAAATGTCAAAGTACCATCTTGACTGCTAGTTTTCTAGTTGATTTATTATTAAATTTTACACGTAAAATTTATAAAACTGAAATCTATTTTATTTAAAAACACGTATAAAAATCAACAAAAAAAACTTTAAAAAACCAACAAAAATTTTAATTTTTAATTTAATTGCTGTTTGTTGAAGAACCAAAAAAAAAAAAAACCAATGCAGTTGTATACTGCGGTTGCGGTCGGTGGGTGGCTGTGACTCGCCAGGACCCATTTTTGATTGTTCGATTTTCTTAGAGGGAACAAATGTTGTTCCACGGGTTTCTATAGAGAGAGAGAGAGGCATATCCTCGTATATATGTATACCCACATATGTACCATATATTTATGTAAGGGAAATTCAACTGAGAGCAAATTATTTATCTTTCTGTACACACAATACAACACACATATGTATATCTATCGTTCGTTAATGATTTTCAATTTTATATATTTGCAAAGTTGTCGAGAGTTAGGCTAGTGATAAAGTTCATTCACTCAAATTGTTTTATGCGAATTTACATAACTTAACAAAAACTACTACAAAATTTTTCTACTTATGAATTATGAGCGTTATAATCAAAAACTGTTTCTAGTTTATGCGTTCGAAAAAGTTTCGAAAAAATGATTAAAAACCAAAGTTTAACATTATATTTATTGAAGAGTAAACGTTTATGTTTTCTAACAACTGAGGCGCCGTTGGGCCAACCTGCAGAGATGTTTTACATATAGTTACAGATTAAATACATACATATTTGGCGAGTATATCGGATAGCAGTGTGACTATCTCAATGCATAGTTTGAATACTAAATATTTTTAAAAGCAAAAAATCTACCTTAGATGGCAAACTCATCAGCAACAATAATTTGTGTTGAATCAGAACCGGAGAAATGAAGATAGAAACTGCATATCTAGATTTGGTCATATTCAGTGGCAGATCATTAGTGCTTAGGTAAATAGAAATTTAAGTGGAAGCATCAATATACACTACTTAACACACACTACTTTAAATTAATAAACAACAATTTGTTAACTGCAAAATCTTACTCCAGTATAGCATAAGATTTTTATGTGCAAAACAATACAATTCGACAAAGTTTTTTTTTTACTGATCAGAATTGCGTGACTACCAAAAATAATTGTTTTTATATGACGATAATGATGATGATGATGACTTGGAATAAAGCACAAGTAAGTCGTCTAGAAAAAACAAAACGGAGAACTCTGTCGTTTGATTTATAGGGATTCGTGCATGGCCATGAAAAACTGTTACTCCAGACTGCTGTAGACGGAGGCGCATACTTTCTTTCCCACTTTATGTCAATACTTCTTTTCTTCTCCTCACTACTTCTTTATCTATACATACTCGTTTGTATTTACATATCTGCCATGCGCACTCTTTTCATGGGTTGATAGTCGATATTTATTTTGGTAACAACTTTCGTACGAAAATCATCTGAGAGCAGCTGCGAAGCGGCAACAGGCCATGCATGTGGATGCAGAGCACAACAAAACGTCTGCTAAAGAAAGAAACTAAAAGAGAGAGAGAGAGAGAGTGAGAGAGGCACAGAAAAGTAAGTAACTCACCACAGTTGGCCAAACGGCTTTGAACCAACATTGCTGGCGCAAGGTCTTAGTCGACCAGTTTTCAGTCGAGTTTTCTGCTGCGCCGACGCAAAAGTTGACGTTGGTTGTTTTCCAAGGTGCGCACGCAGGCGCAATAAAATGTGAAAGTGCTTGGCAAATAAGTTATTGTAAATATTGTAAAAATATTCCTGTAAACTGCAGTCTGCGTGGGAATGGCCTTAGCTATTAACTAGTATTTGGAAACGGACTCTCGGGTACAAGTCCAACAATTTAAACTAGTTTTTTGTAAACCAAAGCACTATAGCATTAGAAAAACCAAATATTTTAAATATGCAATACTCAAGTGATCGAATATCAGTATCAACTAATTCATCAAAATAAGTCAGAAGAAATTAACCAATAAAATGATGGCCAGAATTCGGAGTATGAGTTTCTTAACGTTGCTATGCGTCATCGTCGGCTGTTTGATTGCATCACCAAGTGGCGGTGAGTAGACAATTATGTTATGCATATAGGCGGAAGGGCCAGAAGGGCCATTGCTACCGGGTGCAAGTGCCCGCATTGTATGCAAATGTAGAGGAAAAAGTGTAGTGCCACAATGATGGAAAGTTATTTTATACCAACACTCTGCTCTTCTCATTTTCTAACACTCGTAGCTGCCGCGCAGCATCTGGTCGCGTACATCTCACAACACGGCTTGCATGGTGAACTAACGTTTCGTCAGTTAAATGGCACGACCGTGGAGATCAAAGCCAACTTAATGGCCACACTACAGTATCCTGATCAGGCTTGGAGTTGGGTGGTGCGGCGTTTTCCCGTCGACTACACCAATATCAATCCAGATGAACGTTGTGAGCTCAGCCGGCTAGGATCACAAGTTCTCAACTTCGATGATGATCTGGACTATTTGGTGTTGCCTGGGAATGAGACGGCGACCTGGCACCGTGAAATGCAACTCATCGGCGATCGTGGCATCTGGGGGAAATCTTTGGTCTTAACCGAGCTCAGCTCAAATGCACGCATTTGTGCGACCATCACAACTGTGCAGAGTTCTGTGGAGCATATGGCAGAAGCGCGTTTTAATACGCCTATTGCAGGCTCTGTCTACTTTCGTTGGCTAGCCCCGGTGGACGGCGAAAGCGGAGATACACTGATCTACTCCGATCTATATCATGTTCAGGCACAGCCGCCAGAATTTGAAGAAAATGAAAGGCGAAAGGAGTTCACGCAGCATCACTGGAAAATATTTGTGACGGACATTTTCAAACATGATCATCATCGCACTGAGGATAACTGTAATTTTCTGCAGTTGGTCTTCGATCCGCAGGGTAAGGGGGCTGGTCTGGGTATTGGCGATCTGGATACTCGTTTAGGTAGAATTGGCGTAGCCAAGAATGCTCTTCAGACGGCTCAGCGAAGCGTATTCCGCGATGCACAGCTTGCACTGCTACCCTCTGACTTAACCATACCGCATCGAACGCTCTATCTGGTGATCTACGACAATCAACATCCGGACAACTTTCTGGCATGCACCAAGATACGACGCGTACAAAGGCTAACGCATAAGTTAGTTGCACTGAAAAGTTAGTAGGACAAACAGGAATTTCATATTTGTTTTATTTTGCAGAGCCTTTATCAACCAAGGTGGCGTTCAAGGAGAAGTTACCTTTATACAACGCTCTAAATTTGATCCTACCTTCCTTAACTTTACGCTCGGCGCACCCGGTAAGTTTAGGCAGCAGGTGAGCCAAAAGTTTGCCGCAGATGTGGCCGCCTTTCGCTTGCACAATCTGCCGCCGATACCACATCGAGCCGGTCATGCCGATTACTGCTCCACTACGGGCGAATTGTACAATCCAAGTGAACTATCACAAGAGAATCTTCCACCACCTGGCTACGGTACGCAGGAGCAATATGCCGTAGGCGATCTTAGCGGGAAACTACATGGTCGCAATAAGGAGTACTACCATCAATACGTTATTCCCGGTACTAGTTCCGAGCTAAGTGGTCTCTACTGGGACGTATATTTGCCCCTGCAGGGCAGGCACAGCATTGCGCATCGCAGTCTGGTCATTTACACTCATAATCGCACCGATGTTCAGAATATTACCCAAAGCATCTGGGCATGCTCTCCGCTCAACCAGTACCAACGCAATGGCATTTATCAGCAGAATATGTTTACAGCCCAAGTACTCTTTCGCTACCCGGTGGTAGGTCGAGTGTTGTTGCGTCAACCTGCTGAGCAACCATGGCAGGACACGATGGTACTCTTTGAGTATCTCATACAGGCGGACGGATCCTCACAGAACAGTAGCTATGACCATCGATGGGCCATCCACAGTAACCCGCCAGGCAAGGATTTCTATGATTGGCAGCAGCGCTGTGTCTCTGCCGGTGATGTATTCAATCCCTTTAAGGTGGATTGGGGCAATCGGAGTGCAGATGAATATTGTCGTCCCCATCTGCCAGCCATGTGCAAACTAGGTGCTTTGGATGCACGTCTTGGCAGACTGACCATAGCGGGTGGGAAACGTATGGCGCAGAAACTTAGTCGTCGAATGTTTATAGATTCGAATTTGCCGCTCTCGGGCAGGCATAGTGTACTAGGGAAATCGCTGGTCATCTACGATGATTTTGGACCCAAAGCACGTGGCGAACGGCTAGCCTGCTCCAGCTTAATTGGCCACTATCGACGCAAGGTGGTGGCAAAAGATTGGTATGCTAATGGAGATGCATTGACGGTCAGTGGCAAGGTGGAGATTACCCAGCAGTCCGAGTACGACATGAGCAATGTGGAGGTGCAGCTAAAGGGATTACAGGATAATAGTGGCTATCACGTACATATGGTTGGTTGAATTTGTGTGATGTCAAGAAAACCCATTACGGAATAGGTCTTTCAATAAGTTATATTAAATTGCTTTTCCTCAGACACCCGTGGAGGCGAATTTGGCGTTTCCTTGTGAAGAAACAACTCTCTATGGGCACTGGAACCCATTGGAAATAAATCCCAAGTCATCACCGCCGCCAAAACAGGGCACAAGTGATCAGTATGAGATGGGCGATCTTAGCGGAAAATTCGGCGTACTAAATGGACTTATGCAGTACGAGGATAGCTATAACGACACAAATTTGCCGCTTTTCGGCTATAACAGTATCATCGGTCGATCAGTGGTGATTCACAAGAAGGAACGGAATGCTCGATGGGCTTGTAGCACATTGGAACGTGGCTACAGCCCCAATGAGGCTCGGGAGCTGCGCGCCATCGCCTCCTTCCATCATCCCACGGGCTATGCCTATGGCTATGTAAAGATGACTCAACTCGTCCACAATGATGGCAGTCAGTCGGAGACAGTTATTGAGGTAAAGCTACGACATCCGGGCAAGAACGACCGGAACTCCACACGCAATCACAATTGGCAGATTTTTGTGAATCCGGTGGGCGTGGATGCGGCTGTTAAGCCAACTAGCACACGTTGCGTGGCTGGTGGCTACGTATGGAATCCCTTCTACACACAATTGGCGGATCCTTTAAACGTGAGATTTTTATAATTTGGTAGCATTTGGTTGCCTTAACATATGTTATTTATTTTTTACAGCTTGATCTGTATGAGCAAGAATGTGGGCCAGATAATCCTTTGCGTTGCTATGTGGGGGATGTGGGCGCTCGTCTTGGGACTATAGGTAGGAGAGATTACGCTTTTAATTTACGATTACTTACCATTGTTCATTTTGCACACAGACCTTGGTGGCGAACGAATGGTTTTCACCGATTCGAACTTTCCGCTCGAATCCCCCGTGGGAGCGATTGGACGTTCAATTGTTATCTTCGGTCCCGAGCACTCACATGAGCGTTTTGCCTGTGCCAACATAGAACCTGATCATAACGTCATTAAGTACATCAACTTACAAAAGCCACCGCGATTTGTTGTGTAAGTCTAGAAACATGCTTGCATGTGTCTCCTCCATAATTATAGCTTCATTATTACCTGCAGTGCGCAATTCCTAGAGGAGTTGCGCAGTGTTATGGGCATTCCCGAATGGATGCTGGACGTGGATGCACGTAAGACGAAGGAACTGCATGGAGGTTCTTGTATACAAATGATCATACATTTCAAAGGACCTTTGGCGCACCGGCTAGAACTTGATATGTCACGTCTTATAGCGGCCGGGCGCTTAGAAGCCCCAAGTCTCTTTATTCCGGGTTACGTTAATGCTAAGCGTAAGGCAACTATTTCATATCGCACGTGTGGCGTCAGAGAACCCAATGAGAAGCGTGAGTACCTAAACAAATATATATTAAAGTATAATATTAATATACATATATTGTGCAACTCTCCATGTTATATAGGTACGAAGATCAGAAAAGGCGGATTTAGTTATTCAAGCGTCGGAAAAACAGCACAGCCAAAGTCTTATGTGTTAGCAATACCATTCATTGGAATAGTTTATAGAGCATTATTGTAAGTTCTGCAAAGTAAATATCGTAATTCCCAATTTGTTGTATATATGTAAGTATATATGTGAATGTAAAAAAAATTGTATTGAACGGGAAAATAATAAATTTACCTACTTTTCGAATAAATGCCTTGTAAACTACTATATACTGGGAAAATATATTAAATATCCCATCTAATTACAATATATAGGCCAGTACGTAAGCTTTCCACCACTAAACAAAATTTCACCGCAGCACACACAAGACATTGTATCGTATGCGCATGTGGGTCAGTGTAGAGGATTTATTGATGTGTATACCCTGTACGCGAAGGGTGAAAAGGGTATATTAGGTTTGTGCAAAATATGTAACAGGGAGAAGGAAGCTTCTCTGACCTCATAAAGTATACATATGTACATATTCGTAATCAGCATGACGAGAGAAATCGATCTAGACATGTCCGTCCTTCTGTCCGTCTGTCTGGATGAACAACTTGATTTCAGAGACGGCTGAGCTAAGATTGACCACACTTGGTATGTTGATTCTCCATATACCCAGACAACATGACATTATTTTATTTTATTGAAATTTCCCCCCTCTTCACGTTTCAAAAATTCGACCATATAAAAAAAATATTTCACACGTCATAAATATATGTATAACTTTACTGTTCTTATGCAAATTGTTAAATTCAACGAAAGGCTATTAGCCAAAAAATTGTACTCCAGTACTACGCCTGCCCACAAACAGCAGAATGGGGGGGGTTCACTCTCCTTCTTCTTTTTCTTCTGCTACGGGTGCATGTAATGGAAGTTTCTTTGAGTACAGGGTATTCCACGGTCGGGCTTGGTCGGCTGTAGGATTCCCTCTTCTTAATCATAGGCTTTTTCGAGCGGAGCACTCAAAGTCTCGCTATATACATACATATTTACGGTATATATGTATATGTATACGTAAGCTTTCCACCACCAAGCAAAATCCCACCGCAGTATACACAATACCTTGTATCGAATGCGCATGTGCATCAGAACCCTGGATTAATTGATTTTTATTCGTAGGCTTTTCTTCAATCACTTTCAGACGTCGTTTTACACAGAGCAGTCAAAGTGTCGGCCAATTAGTAGAAAAATCGGGGAACGCCTCGTAAAAATGCAAAAAATTGTGTTGGGCCTATTTCTAGGCCTAATACTAACTTGCAACGCTGCCATTAGCGGGCCCTATCTTTTCTGGGGCCATGACAAGGTCTTCAACTTGCAGCCAGAGGCTTTAGTCGATGCCAAGGAGCAGACGCTGACGCAACTTTTTAAAGATGCCAAGGCCATACAGATTTTCGTGCGAAATACAACTAGTCGCCTAGAGGGGGGAAATTATCCAAAGTTTGAGAATCTGGTGAAGACCAACGCCTGGACGTATTTGCCACAGCGCAGCTTGTCAGTAGAGCCATTCAACTACAACGCCAACATTGAGGTGTGTATATTAAAAAAAAAAATGAAAATGTGATCCACATTTTAAAACGGCCACCACCCTCGCCCCCAAGGTCATCAATTTGTCGGGTCATAGTGAGGATGATGATGCAGAGCTGCTTTCCAGCTACAATGATGCTTTGACCATTTATGGCCATGGCGAAGTTTTGGGCATTTTAGCGAGTCGTGAGGAGGACGCACACTTCTTGGCGAAGCGCGAGGCCAGAGCTGAAAATGAGGAGGATGCGTCACGCACAACTACCGCACAACCGCCGTCCGCTGAAGAGACCGAGCAGAGCTTCGTCTATGTAGCCGAGGGCAACAAGGCCGTGCTCTATTTAAATTCACCGCCCGTGCTGCGTCTTAGTAACGAGTCCATCAAGCTGCTGGAGCACAACAAGCACATCACCTTCGATGATCAGCATGCCAAGGGCTACGGGCGACTGAGCATCACCTTCATGCACAACAACGACAAGTGCACCTTGCGCTTCAAGTTTACGCTATCGCGAGGAACTTGGCAGATGAGTAACGTCGAGGTGGACTATAAAGGTGTCTTAGTGCTGCCAGCTCGAGGAGATGAGTACACCCTACCTTCGGCACCGCTCGGCTTCTCATATCGCTGCTCTGCCAGCAATCTAATCTTCGGCAGCAGAGAGTCTGCGGAGAGTCTGCAGCTCACAGACTTCCAAGTGCAGCCTTGGCTGAATGGCAAGAAGAGTTTTGGGGAGGTCTACGACTGTGTTGGCTTTACCTCAACGCCCATCCTGTCTGGCCTGCTGGTGGTCTCCTTTCTGATTGCCATACTCACGCTCGGCATTTCGGCAATGCTGAGCATACACACGCCTAATCGTTTCGAGAGCTCCCGCAACAAACAATTGACGTTTACAGTGCAGGAGTAAATTGGACGACGGAGAGAGAAGGGAGACTCTAAGTCTTTGCATATACAAGTATTATGATGTTATTGGTCTTGATTACATTCGTGAATGTTAATCCGTTGGCATTTCTCACATTGGCAATTGAGTTTTTCCTAATACACTTACTCTTCATTTTAATATCACTATATATATACGTGCTGTGGTATTACTGAAGAGTAATCAAACACAAACTAGGGAAAACGCTACAGTCGATCAAGCCTCCCACAAAATTAATAAAAATGTAATTAATTAATTAAATTAAATACAAAATATTCAATACATACAAACAGAAGTGCAGACATTTGTTTATGTACATCAGAATCGTGTCCATACGTGTTAAGTCAAGGCAGCAACAACAATAGCTGCTTGAGCTTGAGCTTGGCCAGAGACTACATTTATGGCTATGAAAAATCAATAATTGCGAGGGAGTGACTGGGGGTGCATAAGAAGAAAAGAGCAAACTTGTCCTTTTTCTTCGGAGAATTAGGATACCAAATTTATACTTATACTTTCTGAGACCCTTGCGTTCATACGGACAGACGGACAGACAGACAGACAGACGGACGTGGCTTTATCGACTCAGCTTATCACCCTGATCATTGGCATTTCTCACATTGACAATTGAGTTTCTATTCTTCATTTCAATATCACAGGGATATACTCATATATACGGCGTGCTGTGGTATTACTGAAGAGCAATCGAATCCTGTAACTGTAGGGTATATGAATTGCAAGAAGGAGTAATCTATACTAATATTATAAAGAGGAAAGATTTGATTGTTTGTTTCTTTGTCGATTTAATGGATTCTTTCACTGTTGGGAAGTTACACTTTCGACGGTTAACATGGGCTATATTATATTTGCAAAAAATAATGGAATCTTTACTAAAACGTCAATAATGTAACCAAAGGTGTATAAAAAATTACCTTAAAAAACTCCTGAATATCATGCTGTTAATTCATAATCATCCTCGAAGCATTGCCACTTTAAATATTAAGGCAATCTTATTCAAAAGCCCCCCACCCAAATAAAAAATTACAAATCGATCGACACCGTGATTAATATTGAAGACATTTAAATTCACTAAACCCTTCTGGACTGCCGCCACATGAATTGACGGTAAAAATCGGAATTGAAATCATGCTTTTGAGAAAGTAAAGCCTTCCAAGCATGTGCAATGGGACGAGGCTGCTTATTAAGGAATTGCAGGACAATTTAAGTGTAGCAACTATTATCAACGGCCCAGCAACTGGTCAACTAGCTCATATAACGAGGATACCGATGATTCCATTTGATTATTTATATGGCTTCAATTTTCGGTAGTCCCAAGGCCAAGCCTTCGAATTAGTAGGGATCGACATACGAAAGCAATGTTTTACATTATCAACATACTGACCTATAACGGGTCGGAGCTCCTGAAAATCAGAGAACCTCTGACCTAATGAAGAATAACAAAAAATCTAAAAACGAACAAAAAATCATTAAAATAATAATATCCAAAATCAATTTGAATCCTTCTTAATAACTCATAGCAAAAAGAAGGGTGTATGTGTGTTAAGTATGTGTGTGTTATAAAAGGTATAATTTTTAAAATTGTTGTAAGAATACCCGTGCAAAGCAGGTGCAGAACACTAGTACATAGTTGTACATATATTTTTAACCACCATTAAGTCTGTCTGAATGAGCGCCCGGGTTTCGGAAATGGTTGAAGCCACATAAACCAAGCTTGGTATATAGGCTCAACACGTTTACAACATTTATTGAATAAAAATATTAATAATAACAATAATAAAAACAATAAATAATTTGTAAATATATACGCACATAGCCATGCATACAATTCACACGACAGTTTGGTGCAGCATGCGCTGTTTGTTTAAAAAGAAGATGATCGACAATATAACTTCAGATAATAATGATAAAATGCATAATAATAATAATAACAGATGATTTTACTTTCTTTTCGCGGCCACAACAAAAAGTGAAAAGTGCGCGATGCTGCTGCATTCAACAAAGAATTTATGTCGCTTGTTGGAAAAATGGCCAGTAAGCCTTAAAAGGCAGCTACTTGGACTGACCGGCCGCCGCTGCAGTTAGGCTGGAAATTCTGGTTACCAGTTTCGGAGTTTTTTTTGGCTATCAGCACAAGACTTTCGCAGTCTCGGCCACGCCATACGAGCAATTAAAGCCAAATCAAAAACTGAGTACGAGGGTCTATTAAGAAGTCCTAACAAAAGCCGAACATTTATTTATAATAAGAGTTTGCAATAGAGTGGCTTTCAAGCTACATATTCATGGCGAGGCTTAAATTTCAGGAATTGAATAAATACCATTTGGGACGACCACTTCAGAAATTGTTCACAAAATCTCCGATTCATATACCGCCAAGTGAAAGCGCACAGGTTTATTGTTATTTCAATTTTACACCAACGTTTATTTGTGAGAAAAGGATTGTTAAAATGGGCAAAGAATAAACGGAATTATGTGTTCAATTCAAAGAAATGTTTAAAGCTTTTCCGGATAAGCCTTATTTAATAAACCAAGAAATAGTGCTGTCGATAAATATTTAAAAACAATAATTTATAATATATTTTAATATTATAAATTAAAATAAAGATAAGTAATAATAGTTCTTTATAAATTAAACTTAAAAGATAAGAAAGCCTAAGAAAAAGCTTTACAATAACGTCTATTAATGGGAGAATTTTACTTACCATTTGGCCAGCTATGCCAGCCATATGTGGTCAGAGACATTATAGACCTAACAAATTAAAAAAATAGTAAGTAGAGGACGAAAATTAATTCTACTTAAGAGCTAGTTAACAATATAGAGAAAGAGGGAAATCTCCAATCCGATAGGAGACTACAAGTATTTGAATGGCAGTCCGGCAAGCTATGCATCGATTCACAGCAATAAGTGGTCAAAGATTTCCCGGAGATAACTATAAAGGATCAATTGTATAGATATATGTGGATGAACCTTTATGTCCCAAAGGTCAAGGACCAGTCAAAACAGTGGGTTTTTAGAGTAGATCTGTTTTGCAGGCCCGCAGAATCATAAACCATTGGTTAATTAGAAGAAAGGAATATAAAACTTGTCCTGCATTGGAATTTGGAAATTCTACTTCTTTACCTATTTCGTTCATACAGATGGACAGATGGACATGGCTATATGGATTCGTTTATTCATTACTGATGAAGTATATTCTTTGTGGGAGCTGTAACGACACCTTCAGTGTGTTACACACATCAGCTCTAAACGAGACATGGCATACAAATAATTCATCCACAAAAGAGTTCTGTGGAAACTTAATAAGCCACCGTCGTGCGCCTATGCAGATGCGTGCCTCAAACAACATTGATTTATGCATCATTAAGTCACGCCAATAGCTCGTCTGAGCGCCATGTGAGCTCGACTGTGTGTGGATTGTAACTTTGCCTGCTGCTTCGTTTCGTTGTTTTTCATTTATTTGTTTGTTTGTTAGTTTTTTCGGGTTGAGTTTGGGTTACTTTAGCCGCAAGCTGTGGGCCACCCACTTTTCATCATTTCCATTTTGAATACATATACAAGTATCCAACAAATTTAAGCCTAGAGCTGTGTTTCATTTCTTTTAGAACGATCATCATCAATAGTTGGGTCGCAATATTCTCACTTGCTAAGATTTCCACGTGCCAAAGTAGGTCGAGCAATGCACTCACTTTTCCTGCTGACTTTTACTGTCAACTGAATTGAATTGAATTGAACTGCACTCTACCACACCGCACCTCATCGCACCAAACGTGAGGCTTAATTGCGCCAGTTCACTGACATGATCCAACAACAACAGTAGAGCAGAGGGGCAGATCAGGCTTAAAAGTAAGAGCAAAAGCAAAAGTTGCACCTGATTCTGTAATAAGAATTGCTGTACGGCATCGGCAGCGCTGTTGGCCGGTTGGGACATTCGAGACCATCGCGACCATCGCGGCAATCGCCATAATCACAGCCGCCAGCCAGTTTCGGGCAAAAGTTTTGTGAAAGTTGTTGTCAAACGGCAGCCGTCTTAGTCTTAGTCTCAGTCTCGGCCGCAGTCCAAGTCCCAGTCCCCGGCCTGTCAAGGAGCTGCTGCAATGGCTCTTGCAACATGTCAGCCATATGATGTGCTTGTCTTTGGATTTTCTCCCGCATTTGGCCATCAATCGATGAGCGCAACTCTGCTGGCCATTTTTGTGTTTTAATACATTTTTCGAATTGCAAGTTGGCAAGTTAATTTTCACGGCTAATTATTTGTTATGGGCAACAGTGTTTCTCAGTAGTCGTAGCCATCATTATGAAACTTTCTACATACGAGTATCAAAGAATTGCCCTGTGCTGTGTGTGTACAACAATTTCCAATCACAACAAATACAATGCCATAAATTGTTGCATGCAGCGAGTCCCAGCTATTGATGACGCTGATGGCAGCATGAAATTGCATTATTTTTACGCACCTTCCTTCCTCTCATAATTTACGGGCTGCCTCGGCAGCCCCATTGTTGCACTAACAACTCCAGATAGACGAACTACAATGAGAGAAAATTATTTATTTTTTTTGTTTCTTTTCTAAATAAAAAAAAGAGCGTTTAACTTGCAACAGCGGAAGAGCGGTTTTCATTTATTCTTATTGTTTAGTGTAGATTGTTATCAACAAATATTCGTGCTCTTGCCAGTTGATGCAGCTTATGACCGCTATGTGAAACGGGGTCATGGATAACCAAGCCAGCTCATAAATATATTGAGAAATTTAAAAGATGAAGCCATAAATCTTTTAATATAGAGCTGGAATTAACACTATTTATTTGTAATTAATTAATAATTTGTATACTTGTCAACAGGTTTTGAATCAAATGTAATTTATTTAATGAAAAACAAGAAAGGAATGCTAGAGTCGAGCGGGCTCAACAGAATTACAACTACAGAACAGAATTAAGTCAAGAAACAGCAACAACAATAGCTGCGGGAAGAGCTTGGGCATATATTACATTTATGGCTATAACTTTCTTTCAAATTTATCTATCATAATGAAACTTATTATACAGACAGACGGACATGGTTATATCGACTCGTCTTGTCATCCTTGTCATCCTGATCAAATGCAAATACACCCAGTTAGTTATTATATGTCCGTATGCCAAGTATTTCAAAGTCGGGACACCCGACTTTAGTTTGTTATACCCTGTACCCGTAGGGTAAAAAGGGTATATTAGGTTTGTGCAAAGTATGTAACATACAGAAGGAAGCATCTCCGACCCCATAAAGTATATATATTCCTGATCAGC